CGAAGACAAAGAAAAAAATATCTTCTAAAACAATAGATAACATAATGTCTTGCTAGCGGCAATGCGGATTCCTCGTTGATATACTGTATTTGTAATGTTGTCTAGTCAGAGACTAGCCATGCTAAATATAACACTGAGATGGAAACATATGTCACAAAAAAGTTGTAAATTACATATCTCTCCATGTCCTAACACTTGGCGGTAATAAAGAAAGCCGAGCGAGAACTAGTCCTGATTTTTCACACCGAGGACAATGTCTCCGGATCATGACTTGATTGCCTGCGCTCATCATGTATCCTGGGACTGTCGTGGCCATATCAATTTAGCGAGTATGACCTCACTGATCGGGTCCTGGATCTACGGCGTTGCATTTGATGGGGGTATTTAACGATAGGGCTATGTCTTACAGATCGTCTGGACCAATTCCAGCAACAGTCATTTGATAGAACGAAAGCTAATCCCTCTCCACTTTGTAATGCTCCGGATATCTATGACTTAGACCAAGATATGCGGCTGATTGGATTTATGTTGATTGGTTTTAATTTTAAACACAATAGGTATTTTGGGACACCCCGTTAGTGATGCTGTATGACTATATTATCTCCCATGCCATCAGGCTATTTGCCATATCCAGTCAGACATAATTATAGTATAGCCTTCTCTTACCTGACGTAACTCAATTGTAGAGTTTTCAGCACTGACCATAATTAGATAGATAGACATATGTAATCTGTACCGTCTGGATCTTAAACCAGTCCCTGTGTTGAAGGATGAACATGGCGCTGTCCATTCCATACCAAAAAGATAAATAACTGACTTCATTTTTCTCTCAATAAGAAAACAACAAAAAGCCTTGCCTTAATCTTGCTACAAAAGCACTTTTATAATACAATTTTCCTATATCTCACTGCTATTGTCTTAATTCTTTTGGGAATATAACATTACTTACATGAAGTCATAATAAAAAGATCGAAACATCAAATGTGGATGACAGAAATAATAAAATTCAGTACCATTTTGTTGGTATTTGTTTGAGCTGTTAATTACAATTACAAAGCAGTACATGTGAGATGTCCCATTGGTATATATTGCAAAATTACAAACAATGTCAATGACAATATTTCAATGATTGTACAAAAGGAACTAGTGATTAGCACATTTCTATACACATTTAGAGATACACACAGTAGGGCCAGACAATGAATTCATTTGCCTGTTTTTTAACAGCTATGTTGTCCTTTTAGGATATATCAGTGGTGCTAAAGGCCTAACCTGTGAAGCTGAATAGGCGACTGGGGAAAATCTAAAGTGTTTCTTTTCCAACTTAATGGTATGGAAGTATAATAATATCAACACGAATGCCTATTTTCCAACTTGACGAAAGTGCAAATATGAAATATTGGGGATACTGTCAATTTAATGTGTTGTTATCATCAAATATCTAGAAAGGCCATTTAGACGAAAAATCAAAACCGAATCGGGAGACTATTAAAATATTTCAAAGAGATATTTTTATTTTACGATAACGCCCTCGCTTTTACCATAGCTATGCACTCTGAATATATGATACTAGTGATATAATACACAGCAATATTGATGAACATATTGTTAAATAGTGATTTTTATATTTATATTTTATCTATGAAATGTTGTATGTTTTTCTATAAAATGATTGATGTGAAAGTCGTGTGATTAAATTTCTATTGTGTATTTCATCAAATTGATTCACAATCAAATTTAATTGAGAGCACTGGTAAATTAAAATGACAAAACTTTTATGGTCAGCTTAATTGACATTAAATAATGAAAAAGAAAACGTAGTAATTTTAATTTACTCATTTAAAATGAATAATATTTATTCATGACTAGTTTGATTGTTGTCCAAAATTAATTTATTTGAGCACCATATGTCTCCGTAGCAGGTCGAATACTTGGGAGGCGTTGGAAATATGGCTTTCTTTATTGCTTTTTCCACTCCGATCATAGCTCTCCCAAGAGTCATAAATACAACATAGTTATAATAACTATCCATAACGTTCTATATTATCCTTCCCTTGGCTCCGTTCACCAATTACTGAAGTGTTATATTCAGTCTTCCTGTTAAGGTATAAAAGTATTGGCAGAATTATCCATTTTCTTGCCTCCGCATTACACATGCATGACTGCACACCACAGCTTAATACTGGATCGAAATCATCCAAGTTCAATTAATTGCATATTTTGAAACAGTCAATGTTTCCATAAATTGTCCCACTTCGCCGAAACATACAACCAAATCACTTCTTTTCGATAATTGATAATGTCTATCCAATCAGTGTCACGCGATTTAAAAGTACTCAATATATTTAACATCGTTATCCGGTCCGATATTGGTCATTTTGATACAAACTACAAACAAATGTGTTTCTGACGTCTCCAGAATTCTTCGTTATTCCCCAAACTCGAGATATTGCTACTTAAGCAAAGTGTGTATCTACCATGTAGTGAAGTAATGAGTATGCCTTTAGTCTGAGAACAAATGTATACCAAATGTAAACTCTTAACCCGAAATATCTAATTTATTAAATTTATTCGCGAAAACTCCTGTCAACACTTACACTTCTTTAATGATAATGAAATCTGTCAAAGATGTACAATAAAAACATCGATAATTTCCTTATCCGAATACTATTGTTATTGAGTAGACGGTTTATGTGACATTGGGTCTAGTACTAGAAAAATGTCCTTAGATAAATTATTTCTCACAATTGATTCCAATTCTAAATTACATTGTATATCTTTCGTGCAATCTTCTCTCAGATGTCTGACAACACATTGGCATTTAAAAAAAACAATGAAAAATAATGAATGACAAAACTAAAAGAAAAAAAAAATAATGATTTAGTTTCACAAAATAGATTGAATGCTGCAATATTCACCACGTATCATGTATCATAGCCATTGGATAATATAACTACACAAAGAAACATCGAGATGCTGAAGAACCCTAATGAATAGCCAAAGAAAGAAGCAAGAATCTAGCTAAATAGTGACTTAGTTTTTGACACACTTTTAAGTACTTTAGGGCATTTGTAGTTTGGATTAGGATTTTATTTACGTGCCGGGATTTTCTTGTTGTATTCGTGATCAGTTTAACCTGAGTGTAATAATATATAACATGACCAACCGAATAAAGAGTCCTTTTTATTTTACAGTTGTGTTCAACAAACTAGATTTGTAGACATTTTGTTAGTCATTTGGGTTGAATGGGCGTTCAAAACATCTCTGTACCAAACTGCTACGATCAGTTCTAAACCATGTGCGGAACCGGCGGTAGTAAAACATCTCAAACTACATTGTAACATACCTAATTTCTGTTTAAGTTCCTTTTTACCAATTCGGTTTTTCCAGGAGGGAAGGTTTTCGTACAAAACAGTAGCTGTGGAATGTGGTTTCAAATACATTGGAACATCAGACCACGAAATTGGTTCTAAGGGGAGAAATTTCACTCCGATTTACTGCCGCCTGGTGCATTATTTCTATATCCGTACCTTCCATGCACTTCAGGATTGTTGCTTAATTAATATGCAATGATGATCACTGGTAATTGACTTTGTACTATATATAATACTTGTACCTCTAGTAACAGGTTTGTACTTGGTTAATTGTTATGTATGAGACAGACATAGGAGAAAGAGTGGTGTCGGGCCTGGTCATCATTGATATAGCCTAGAACAATGAGCATTATCTACAATAAAACGATTACATGTCCAAGTCTTGCTTAATACAATTAATGATTACACTACAATGGTATCTTCATGTATATTTAATTACCAATTTCATTGTATATCATTACAGTGTTTGAATGAGAAATGTACTGTTGAATTCAAATGCAATGCAATGTGCAATTTCGCAAATTGCTAGTTTAGTCTGAACACAGTTTAAAATATTGTACTCACTTAATTTCCTTTCTAGAAGAACAATGCTTACAAAACGAAATAACGCCCCAGCATTGTGTCAAGATGTCGGTTCTAATTTGTGTAATTACGCTTTATTGCTAAAAAGCATTTAATACCACCCACGTAATCTTGACATCGTTCTTTAAAAAAGCAGTGTCAAATGTTAATCATTATATTGAGAACTGAGAACGGCAAAACCTTTCCTCTCCATTCTTCATATGCCACTTATTTATGTATGGGATACAACTTCATATGCTAACTTTAATTAAACTTCCCAGGAGATATCACTGGGGATACCTTACCTCAACGGAAGCGAATATTTTTAAATACTCCAAAACTTCTTGTTGAGACTCCCTAGTTTTAGTAGTTAATGCGCATCTAAGAACGTCTTTGGCAAAGACTCTAATAACGGTTCTTTCCATTGAAAGTTTTAGAATTCATAAACATTTCGCTAAAATGTTTCTTACTGCAGGACACTCATTTTTAGGATATTCAAAATGATAACGGTCATTATTGAAATAATGTAGAAGAACAAATATAAATACCATCAAATGACATTGCGTCTAGAAAATCCATTAAATGACATTTCTCCTAGAATACCATTAAATATCATTTCTCCTAGAAAAAACATTAAATGACATCAATATCTCTTTTTAAGTCACATTAAATGATTCCTGTTTATTCCTCTTCCCCGCTGTATATGTTGGATTGCTTCATAAATGGCTATAATTATTGAAGATTTTGTTGGAAAACGAGTGAACACTCTAAAGTTATCAAAACGCATGATCAGCTATAAATAAGTTTATTAACTTCATTAATTATTGCAATCGATATTTCGAAATATTTAACCAAATGATGGCAATTTGGAACGAAAGATTGGCCTGGTTCATGCAAAGCTGTCAGGATTGGTTTGTGCGACGTTCTTGAAGCGTTTTTGTGATCAAAAGTAATCAGGTACTTGTCAGACTAGTTCAACGCTTGAATACATTGGCGGGTTTCACTTTATCTCTATATCTATCTCCCCCTTAGTAATTACGCCTGCATCAATTTTATCTGTTATAGGTGGCCTGGCTTGATCCTCGTGAAAAGATTCTCACTCTAGAAGAGAGGAGAGTGATCTCGGATGACAGGATCAGTTTAGAAAGGCCCTATACCAACGACTGGAATTTGTTTATACGAGACGTCAAACCGTCAGACAGCGGCAAATACATGTGTCAGATCAACACAAATCCAGTGAAAATTAAAAACATCGTCCTCTACGTCCACGGTAAGTGGTCAAAGCCTTTTCATACGATTGTCACATGACCAGAAAATGGATCTTGTGACAGTGAGGATTTTTGTAGGATAAATATTGTTTATTTTTTTTGTTCAATATACATCTAACGTTTAACATGAAAATTCAAAGAGTTAAAGAGAATCCAAGAATAGCTGTTGTTTGCGATACGGAAACATTGCATTATAAAACTAAGCGCTTTCTAATGTATGTATTTAATGTCCATGAAAACAAGTTCTACTTGAAAGAAAACTGTCACACTATTTGGATGTTCGTCTTTGTCTCAAAAAGAAAGCACTTAGGCTGTTTAAATTACTCTCCGGTACACAGTTTGATTTTTTTTAAAAAACCGTTAGGTTTTGGGTGTTTACTTTAGAAGTACGGAAGAAGAAATCCACTGTTCTGTAACATGTATAAAACGATCGATATTTCATTGTTTTAAATTTTCTGAAATGGCTTTTTTACTAATGCAATATGACTGAAATCTGAATGTCACCTTTCATTTAATGCAAATAGTGGTAAGCTGCAGAATTTACACATGTACTTGATGTTCTTTGCAAATATCTAAATTCTACTTTGAGGTTGCTGTTAGTGTACTTCTCCGTCTCAAACACGCGGTTCAACCAACATCGCTTTCCGTCAATCACCTTTTAGAATTTTGCAATATTAGACCTTACCAAATACATGATAAGAACAACTAATTGATATTTTTTTAAATATTTTTTTTTTAATATTTATTGAATACTGAATTTCACACATGTCAGTGTACCTCCCCATCTACTTTAAAACAGATATTTTGACCGATTTGGATTCTTCTCAGTCAATATAACAATTTAGGCCATCAGGTTTACTGAAAGAAGGACGAAACAGTGGATGTGCGAAGAAATTATATTCATCGTTTATCTATACTGTATATAATGTTAGATTTGTGCTGAAAGCTATTGTTCATTTGTGGGTTTCCTTTACAATCTTAAATAAAACCCCGACACCTATTCCGTAACATAAATATACAGTGATGGGGGATGTACATTTGGGCGTGTTAAACATACTACTCCACTTCCCTGCTGTACAAATCGGTGTGACCTTTCTGATGTTCCTTTCATTTAAGGGTATCCCTTTAGACCTTATAATGACACATTCGTCATATCATAAGTTTTCTTCTACGATAGTAATGATATCTTTATCTTAGCTTTTTCGAAAAAAATCTAGAATTATATTTCGTTTGCAAACAAACATAATTTTATCAATTCTTATTATAGAGAACATGCTATCTCTCATTCCTATCCATGTAGTACTGGTTTATTCAGGGCAATACACCCAGGTTTGATTTTCTTGTATTACACTCCCACCTTTGCAATACATGCGCCTAGTAATGTGTCATTTCCCAATTGACGTCATCGCCTGATACCATGCCTACACATTTGTATACAAATACTTATTTGCAGTGACGGATTTTCTAATGCAAAATTTGTTTGTCAAATCTGGGTACACGGAATTAATTCTATATGTCAATTTGTCGATTAATTGTATCATAAAGATATTGTGATATGTAATATGGAGTCCGTTGTTGACGTCTGCAGATATTTTCGCCATTAGTTTAGAATGAGAAATGAGAAAAAAATACTTTTTCATATTGTTTTGGTGAAGGATGGGATTTTTCAACCTCGAGGTATAATAATGTGGTAAAGCCTACGGGCTGGAATATCCCTATCCTACACCCGGACACATGAAAGTGTCTTATGATCTCCACTTGTTAAGGACAGGCGGTATTTGTATTGATTCCTAGTTTGGAACACTTGAGATATATATCTCCTTTTGCGGAACACTTGCGATCTTTTTTCTCTCTAATATTTCCTTCTGTTTGGATTGCTAGTTCACGAAAACACGCCGTATGGCGTGAACATAAAGAATACAAGTAGCCTTGTACAGTATAAGCAATTCTTTCATGTTGTAATTTCATTTGCATTTTAGGACATATTTTACTCTATCGAATAAAGAACAATTCATATTTAAAATCTTTACATTAAGTATATTTTTTTTGTAATTCATCTCTTGAAATAGCGATCAGAACTCCCATCCCCTCAATTCAAATTACTCCCTTTTCCAGGGTAGCCGATCCTTCGTTAACCAAGATAGCGATGCACTTTCTCTCTTATCCGATCTGATTTCTTCCCATATACCAATTATTTTCGCACATTTCCGATCAAAGTTACAAAAATCATGATGATTGAAATTAATGTGACGTTGATGATAAATGGCTGATTTGAATATCTTGACAGAGCAAGTCCGCCCCATCAGATCATATCGAATGCGACAAACCCAACTTTATGTTCTATACCGTAATGCACTGTGGTGAAACTGTTGCAAGCAAGCAACCACCACATATGATTTATGACTTTCTCTACTATCTCATGACACGCTCATCACATCTCGGCTCGCCAACAGATTTTCTCTTTCAACTTAATCATATTTATTTTTCTATAAAATGCAATTGTATGTTGTCTATCAGAGATTCAGTACATTGGCATTGTATTTTGGTTTTAATAAGTAAACGTTCTCTTTTGTTTTCTTATCAATAACGTAAACACATTAATTGAAAGACTTTTCCTAATCTGACGGATTGATGAAATACTATCACATCTCGTCAGCTCGGTTTGTATCCGCAAAATATATCAGTCGTTTATCAGTCACTGCTAATATACCTATATACGTCAGCGAAATAATTAACAATTTGAAATATACATGGATTTCAGTACAAAATTTGTACAAAAGACACATCAGTGAATATCAATTTTTGATAATTTCGAGTGAGATACAGTAGTACCAAACAATGAATTAAACCTCATCATAGCTGTTTCGTTGGTGATGTTAAGGCCCTAAATTTTGAAGCCAAGGAGGCGACTAAGAAAAATCCAAAGAGATCGAAAGAAAAATCAAAATCTAGACGGGGAGGTGCAGCAGCCCCATAATTTGATAAATTTCGCAATTTGATTAAATCAGATAATTTTAGAATAGCGTCAAGTACATGTGTATTTTCTTAACCGTGCCACTATTCAAGAGCATTAAAACGTGGCAAGCAGGTTATGACAATGCTCTGGGACGTAAATTCCACTAACAGTGTTTACCACCTGCTAAGATTTGTACAAAGATTTTACAAAAGACTCTGATTTCCTAAATACTATCTTTACAGTGAATGTTGGAAAAAAATGAAATTTGATCCCCACGAAAATACATTAACTTTCAGTATGTAAACAATTCAGTGTTATCACGCATATGCACATGGGGTATCTGACAACAAGAACTCTTCTTTATTCCCCGACAGGGTTTATTGTGAGTAGTGTTACTCTGCCTACAAGCTTTGTTTACGTTTGTCGGTGACAGAAAATCTCAGAGATGCTGTCACACGATACCATAGGGAATCAATCGGCTTTTAGTGATTTGCGAATTGTAATAAAGTAGTATTACATATTCAATTTTGCCATCGTTCTCTACAACATTTACCCTTTCAGCGTTATTCACATGGCGGTGATTAGTAAATTGTTCTCACTGCAAATACAGAAAAAATATCATAATCTACTTTTATCACAATATTGTTGTGTGTACTGTCACCATAAACATAAACCCGTTTGTGACAACTGTAATGATGCCCATTTGTCTTCATGTGTTCAACACATGTTAATGATGTCAGCCCTAATGGGAAGAGCCGAAATCCTTGTAATTAAGTCATTAATGTGATAAAACTCACCTCCGTTTCATCTTATATTTTTTCATAAAACTATTGGTGTCTTCGAGAGACGTGATCCTGGTGATTCATAAACACCCAAGAGCGTAGTCTTGTTGTTTGCATAAGACATCACTGATAAAGATATTTCAATAAAAATGATAAATGATACCCATGCCGTATTTGTTATTAGTTAAATTGAAATTCCTAACAAATCTAATCACTCTCTAATTGATTGTTTAAAATCTAATATAAAATGAAACAAGTTACTGTTTCAAAAAAAGCTTTGACGTGGTTCATAGAACGCCAACGAAATTTATACGGCCATAGATTATATGTAGTCGAAAAATATATAATTTTTAACATAAAGGGATATAAAAAATCGATCGTTTGATGTGTCAGAAAACGGTCGTTAGAAAATTATGTCTTGCTGGCGTTAGTATTAAATAAATCTCTTTGTAAGAGAAAAAATGCCCACACCGAAAGCAATAGATTCAGCGGGGGATAACTCCCTGATAAAACAACTCAGCTTATTTGAACACATAATTTCTGCGAATGGGTTAGATACGATCTTCCTGTTTTCATTTTGGTTACAACGATGAGCATAGTAAAAGAGGTGCTTAACATTAAAACAATTTTAAAATGTGCTTCCCATATTAAAGACAATGTGATACCATAGATTGTAAGATCAAAAGGAGCCTGTCTGCTGTAATGACGTTTTGAAGTAATGTGTTTTCTGTGTTATAGAAGCTGCTTCCATTATTGACGAATTGTCTAGTTTTGACACCACTGCCAGAGAAGGGGACACAGTGCAGCTAATATGTAATGCTACTGGTATTCCTCCTCCTACAGTCACGTGGTATCGGCGTCCGTCAAGCACTAAGGAAGCAGCGAAGGAAGGTAAACTGGAGTTATCGTCCCTGAATTTCAGTAAAAATATGGAAACGTCATATTCAGCATTTAGTGATTTGTTTCTTGAATGTAAGCATATAATGGCATTCATTTTTGAACTCACAATTAGTAATGTTGCAGAAATTTTATGTTATAGATAATTTGGATGGATTTGCAGATAAAATATTAGTGAAAAAGTAAGATTAAAAAAGACAAAGCTTTGTATGGGCACACTGAATTAAAAAAACTTGTTTTGAAAAGAATTACGTCATACTTTTTTCTTAATCAAATTAACCATTCGCCTGTCGAGACCAACCCATTTTTGTTTCCCTAAACCACCGGGAAATGGCAGCTATTTCAGACTAATATAAACTCGATAACAGCGACATGTGCCTTAAACCATGTTGCCTTAGTGACGACATCTCTGTAGGTACATGTCTTCAATATAAAAACAGGATCCGTTCGATGCTAGTTATTATCGCCTCCCCGTCGGAATTATGTAATAAAACTACCCAGTCGTTATAACAAAACAATCTACCCAACACACATAATTATATTTCGGCGCATCAGAAGTGACATTTTAACCAAGAATTAGAACATTTTGTCAAGACTGGAAATCGTCATCTATAATATAATTGTCACGTTCCCTATACGCTGTCTGGCGGTCGACGTGTGTCAGTGTCATAAAGTTGTAATGGCTGTTTTTTCCTCGCCAACATGTATCATCATCCTTTTGATTGAAAAACGAGCCAGTATTACAATAAAAAAACTCATAACGCTTTTTAGGTAAAATCAGTGGAAATCCTATTTACACGTTGAAATATTAAAGTAACAACTATCGTCCTTCCTCAAACAAACAAGCAAACAAAAAATAAAAACAAAAACAAATAATCAAACAACAAAACGCACATATGGAAACGTTTTCCTCCTTTCCTTGACAATCTTACAGCATATCGGGATCAAGTCTTGAGACTACACGTCCTTCCTTTATCCGTCTACGTAACCTTACGTTGCAGTAGGATCCCGCGAGGCCCAATGTTGCTTGGGTTTGTTGTGCCTTTCGGTCTCAAAAAACGTCCCAGTTCTTGATTGGCCACCATACAGTCCAGCTTTCTCCCCAAACAAGCAATGGCGTGACAAGCTGGGCAGGAGGGTTTAGGAAGCGCGTTGACATACCAAATAATATCGCTCAACTCACAAAGGACCTTATTCAGGAGTTGAATCATATCCCTCAAAGGACAATAAGTATTTTAGTGGGGTCAATTTTTAAGGAGAGTATGAGCAGTGACTGTAGTCGGGATGGGCAGACACGCTACTGGTTTGGATCAAGAAACGTCGCCTGTGATAGGAGAATAAAAATCATCAAAATGTTTTCAGTAATATGAAATAATGAACTAATCATTAATGAATCATGTAAAATAACAACTACTGAAAATCAACTTTCGTTTCCTTTTTTACGCTAGAATATAGACTTTAACATACTCACAACACGACGGAATAACTTGTCACTATTGACAACAAAACCTGTCCCCTGACTGAAATCTTCAGTTTGCATTTCCTTTAATGTACGTATAATTCAAGAATTGATTCGTCGCATTGTTAAACGACGTGCTACCAACAGACAGACTCTCATCTTGTGAAGCTATGCCTGTTTTGTTGTATCTGTTAACATTTAATATATGGTACTACTTGGAATGTGAAGAGACATTACCTAACATGCCTGGTAGTAGATCTTATTCCACGATAAATTTACTTGCTTAAAAAAAGAGTTCTGTGCTTTGTTCGATTTACGTTTCTTCATTGCATTAACGAATATCTTACAAAAGTTATTCTTCATATTTAAATAAATTCATCGAATGATTATTTGTGCTTCATTTAGATATTTGCATGATATGGATCATTGATATAAATGCAAACCAATACCTAATATCATGCTAGCTTGTTCTCAATAATAAAGAGAAATTACACGCCCAAAAGACGTTCCCTGTTGTGCACGAAATCCATTCCTTCAGTCTAAACATTCCACTGAACAGAAATAGATACTCAACTTAACTTCTTATAAGATCAAAGCTTCGTTGTTACGCCGGTTATCGATTGAGTGTTTCTGAAACAAAGTAACAATAAAAAAAACCTCGAAATTTAGAGGATATGAATTTATTTTTTTTTTTACATCTGTGTCTTTGTTGTTTCCTGACATATTTTTTGTGCTTTCAGTGGTCGGACTTAATGGAGAAGTATTGGTAATATACAACATTTCCAGGTATTGCGACGACATCTATGAATGTGTGGCCTTCAATGACATATCGCCTGCTGCAAGCCGAGAGATCCGAGTAGTAGTTGAATGTACGTGCCTCGTGCTGCTCACATAACACACATGACCTTGAACTCCCCATGCGGCGGAGTTACGTGACACTAATATACCAACACGAAAGATAGAATTATGTTGTTTAGCAGAACTGTTTTCCGTGATAATTTGATAAAGAAATAAAATATTGTCCCCGCATGTTCCAAATTGCAAAGACGAAGTTAAAATAACTATGTTCTATGTATTTTTTCTGCACCACATTAAGGTCTAACTTACCCTTAGCCAGCACCAATGTTTTAACAATAGGCGAAGTTACGCATGCGCAAATACGATCTGAGGGAGATAAGCATGATTTAATCTGATATCATAAATAATATGTAAGGCCTATCCGATGCATACAACGCAATCAAATATCGTTTGCTCCTATCAATGTATATAGAATCCCAGATTATTGGTCACTATATATTAAAATTATATTGCACTTACAGATTCTGTGTGCAATCATTTGCCATAGACTTGTACAGGAAACGAAAACGTAGTGACTTATCTAAAGCTGTTAGTTAACCCTTAGTTAAGATAAACGTTTCAACATGAAACAACGATATAATAAGTCTTGCGTTAACTCCACTGTTTAAAAATTTCCATCCTCCAAAGATAAAAGAGACCAAATTCTGAATCATGCTGTCGTCTGAATATCAAATAGTGTAAAAAATTGACCACAGCTGTGAGAACGTGAAATAAATCTCACTTGGATCAACATTAATCTTTACAGCACAGCTAAGAAACCGGTTGTACTATTGATGAAACCTAATTAGCTCTATTTGATTTTTTTGGAGTCTACAACGTTACAATTAATCACTACACCTAAACGTGTTGGGAATCTATTTGGATCTTGTGAAACAGAACTAACCGATCCTCGGTAGAAAAGAGGTATGCATGTAATCTACGGTAAAAATTGTTATCAAAGTAAAAAACCTAGTCGAGATATTAAGGATACATGAGAAGGATATTTATATTAGATTTTCGGGAATGCTGCTGAGAGAAGATAAGCATCAGTGTCATGTAAATGTGAATGTAACCCGTTGGTACATTGGTTGGAAAAGGGCATGCAATCAGTATCTAGTGAAATGTTATTGCCTGGTACAATTTGCTTGCTCTCTTGGGATTTTAGAGCTGTAATTGTTCTTGCAGTATAAACAATGAATTAGTCACTGGAGATAAATGTGACGATTAAAACGATCAATCCCATTTGTCTAATTTGTGACTTCTTACTCTTCAGATAATTGGACGTGTTAACTCATTAAACAGCGTAAATAGTCTTACTTCAATACTTAGACGAACGGATATATTTTTCAACTGTTCTTTAATCTTATGTGTGAATCTATGAAAAAACACAAGATCATAAATTATTTAAACAATGAAATAAATTTTACTATTCAAACACCACTGGTAATATTAATGTTGTTTGCTGTTACATCGACAGAAATTATGGTAGAAAAATATCTGTAATGCATTATGATAGAAATATTTTTCTTCCCAATAGGACAATTAATTGTTTTAAAAAATGATATTCATCGCCTACGCTACATCAAATTGATCTTTGATGTTTGATTTGTCTGTGTTTAGTGTTCGTTTCAAGAGAGATATTTCACAAAGGACTCGAAACAGCAACGTCTATTGAATAGACGTTTTTACATCACAACCTGTAAGAAAATCATGTATGACATTTCGATAACTGCTCTGTCACATGGTCTGTCGAAGGTGACAGTTTAGCCATTGAAATGTCACACATAATTCTCTGTCTGGTTGTGATATAAAAACACTTATTTCTTACTGTGAAATATCATATTTGTGTGGGACTCTTTTTTGTGTAGTTTCATGCACTAACTTAATTTTCGTGGACGTTTGATTTCGTGGATAAATAAAACCCAATACCTCTACTGACACTAATTTTAGCAGTTCATAGACATATGCATTCGTAGACTAGGTGTGCCCACGATGTCAACGACAATGAATCTCTACGAAAATCAATGATTTTGCAGTAAGAAACTAATAGTGTGACATAATATTCATTCAGTATGCTATGAAAACGATTAGCGATAGATACACAACAAGCAAAAAGAAGTAAAAATCATCTAGCTCATCATTATCGTATTATTGTCTAGATGTGACTGCAGAAAAGAGCCTATTTTTTGCCCTAACCCATAAATCAGGATTAAATGTGAGAAAGTCTGAGCTTGGGTATGCATGGGATGACTTCCGAACTGATTACATTGTAAAACCGCATATAACACTTACAAATAAAATAAAACAGATGAGAAATCAATAGTATGAAGATGCTGCTTTATGTATATAGTTCTAGTAGCGGCATCTCAATTCATCAAGCTTATAAAGACGGCCACATGCCAAACTGATCATAGCGTAGCAATTGTAAGCACCCCCACATCAATTTGGAGATAAGCAATTAGCTTGGTAAGGCTGCTCCTTTAAAAGAATCTACGTCTGTTGTTAGTTTATTATAAAACATATTTACGAAGCCCGTGAAACAACCCATTGCTATCGACCCTAAAAGTCGGCTAGCTCTGTCACTCTGTGGTCTATAGTTTGTAAGGGGATTTAGCTGTCTAGTAAATAACAGTTTTACTAGGGAAAGAATTCTCATCATTGTTGGCATCAGTTCTGATAGACTGGTCTTAGTGTGATCGTACTCTACTAGTGTTTCACAGTGTTTGACTATCTGAGAAAGTATATTGCAAAGACATCTGTTATCATCAGCAACAGGTCTGGCCGCATTGTGTGGTTCAGCATAAACACAAGACAATATGATATGTTAAATGAAATCATGCCTACATATATTTATGTATTTCATGGTTTAATATTGATGAACCAACTAAATGGTACATTAAAACTATTAAACTATATTCATACCAATATATAATCTTAATATGTTCCATATTGGAGAGGGAATACTGGATCCAAATCAACCATTGTAGCCACACTTCTCATCAACACATATGGTTGTCTTGTTGATAGGACGTTGTATCATTTGATATTGAAGTTTCCTTATCACTAGTCTATAATGTGAAGGAAAACCGTCATACTAGTTACCTGGTATATTTCTACCAAAATATTGGCGTAGTTTTTTATGCAAAAGAATTCACATTTTTTTTCTTGTGAATCTATTTTTTTGTCTTTTCTTCCAGTTGCACCTGAAATATTTCTGCCAACAAAACGTTTGGGACAGTATCTGGGTAAAGAAACAATACTAGAGTGTCGCGTGACGGCTAATCCTCAGGTATATAGTACATGGAAGAGAAATGGAGTTGAGATTACCAATAACTATAAATACAGGGTGGAAGTTTACGAGGAGGATAAAAACACCATCACTATAAGTCTGAGGATACGAGAGATTGATGAGCATGATTACGGAACTTACACCTGTAAAGCGTCTAACTCTTTGGGAACAGACATGGAGGAAATGTTTCTGCATGGTAAGTGATGTTGTTTCTATGGTGCAATATCAAGATATTATGAGGTAAAGGGGCGTTGTATAATGTCATATAACTACAACAAGTACGAGGTCAGAAGATAATACATAGTCTGATACACTGTAACACGATAGTATGCTTGTTCAAGAAAAGTTTAATGGTGTAAAATCGGAAATAAAAATGAAATGCGATATCATGAATGTTTATCATGCCACATCCTCGTCAGGTTCTCTTATCACATCCTTGTCAAGTTGTCTGGCTGGACACAATATCGTCGAATTGCCATGTCACATAATTCTCAGGAATTTCTTGACAAATTCTTGTCAGGTTGTCATATCATATAATCATGAGGAATATCTTGTCACACCCTTGGTAGGTTGGCTTGTCATATCCTCATGGGGATTATCTTGTCACAGCCTTAGTAGGTTCGCTTGTCATATCCTCATGGGGATTATCTTGTCACACCCTTGGCAGGTTAGCTTGTCATATAATCATGAGGATTATCTTGTCACACACTTGGTAGTTTAGCTTATCATATCCTCATGGGGATTATCTTGTCACACCCTTGGTAGTTTGGCTTGTCACATCCTCATGGGGATTATCTTGTCACACCCTTAGTAGTTTAGCTTGTCATATCCTCATGGGGATTATCTTGTCACACCCTTGGTAGTTTGGCTTGTCACATCCTCATGAGGATTATCTTGTCACAACCTTGGTAGGTTGGCTTGTCATATCATCAAGGGGATTATCTTGTCACAACCTTGGTAGGTTGGCTTGTCATATCCTCAAGGGGATTATCTTGTCACACCCTTGGTAGTTTGGCTTGTCATATCCTCATGGGGATTATCTTGTCACACCCTTGGTAGGTTGGCTTGTCATATCCTCAAGGGGATTATCTTGTCACAACCTTGGTAGGTTGGCTTGTCACATCCTCATGGGGATTATCTTGTCACAACCTTGGTAGTTTGGCTTGTCACATCCTCATGGGGATTATCTTGTCACAACCTTGGTAGGTTGGCTTGTCACATCCTCATGGGGATTATCTTGTCACACCCTTGGTAGGTTGGCTTGTCACATCCTCATGGGGATTATCTTGTCACAACCTTGGTAGGTTGGCTTGTCACATCCTCATGGGGATTATCTTGTCACAACCTTGGTAGGTTGGCTTGTCACATCCTCATGGGGATTATCTTGTCACAACCTTGGTAGGTTGGCTTGTCATATCATCAAGGGGATTATCTTGTCACAACCTTGGTAGGTTGGCTTGTCATATCCTCAAGGGGATTATCTTGTCACAACCTTGGTAGGTTGGCTTGTCATATCCTCAAGGAGATTATCTTGTCACAACCTTGGTAGGTTGGCTTGTCATATCCTCATGGGGATTATCTTATCACACCCTTGGTAGTTTGGCTTGTCATATCCTCATGGCGATTATCTTGTCACAACCTTGGTAGGTTGGCTTGTCATATCCTCAAGGGGATTATCTTGTCACAACCTTGGTAGGTTGGCTTGTCACATCCTCATGAGGATTATCTTGTCACAACCTTGGTAGGTTGGCTTGTCATATCCTCAAGGGGATTATCTTGTCACAACCTTGGTAGGTTGGCTTGTCATATCCTCATGAGGATTATCTTGTCACAACCTTGGTAGGTTGGCTTGTCATATCCTCAAGGGGATTATCTTGTCACACCCTTGGTAGTTTGGCTTGTCATATCATCAAGGGGATTATCTTGTCACAGCCTTGGTAGTTTGGCTTGTCATATCATCAAGGGGATTATCTTGTCACACCCTTGGTAGTTTGGCTTGTCATATCATCAAGGGGATTATCTTGTCACACCCTTGGTAGTTTGGCTTGTCATATCATCAAGGGGATTATCTTGTCACACCCTTGGTAGTTTGGCTTGTCATATCATCAAGGGGATTATCTTGTCACACCCCTGGTAGTTTGGCTTGTCATATCATCAAGGGGATTATCTTGTCACACCCTTGGTAGTTTGGCTTGTCACATCCTCATGAGGATTATCTTGTCACACCCTCGTCAGTTTTATCTTGTCACATCCTCATGAGGATTTTCTTGTCTCAACCTCGTCAGTTTTATTTTGTCTCATCCCCGTCAGTTTTATTGTGTCACATCCACGTCAGTCTTATTTGGTCTCATCCTCGTCAGTTTTATTTTGTCTCAACCTCGTTAGTTTTATTTTGTCTCATCCACGTCAGTCTTATTTGGTCTCATCCACGTCAGTCTTATTTTGTCTCATCCACGTCAGTTTTATTTTGTCTTAACCTCGTTAGTTTTATTTTGTCTCATCCACGTCAGTCTTATTTTGTCTCATTGTCTCAACCTCGTTAGTTTTATTTTGTCTCATCCACGTCAGTCTTATTTTGTCTCATCCTCGTCAGTTTTATTTTGTCTCAACCTCGTTAGTTTTATTTTGTCTCATCCACGTCAGTCTTATTTTGTCTCATCCACGTCAGTTTTGTTTTGTCACATCCTCGTCAGTTTTATTTTGTCACATCCTCGTCAGTTTTATTTTGTCACATCCTCGTCAGTCTTATTTTGTCTCATCCTCGTCAGTTTTATTTTGTCACATCCCCGTCAGTTTTATTGTGTCACATCCTCGTCAGTTTTATTTTGTCACATCCTCGTCATTTTTTGTTTTGTCACATCCTCGTCAGTTTTATTGTGTCACATCCTCGTCACTCTTATTTTGTCTCATCCTCGTCAGTTTTATTTTGTCACATCCCCGTCAGTTTTATTGTGTCACATCCTCGTCAGTCTTATTTTGTCTCATCCTCGTCAGTTTTATTTTGTCTCATCCTCGTCAATTTTCTTGTTATTTATCTAGCACCCGTTTCCTGTTAACACCACCCTTCCCATCTTTCCAATCATTTACCAACCAGCGTTTCCAGCGTTTGAGTCATTTACCCTCAATCATGTCCAGTTTGCTTTCCTGTTATCTATTCACTAAAATGTCTAATTTCTGTCTTCAATTCGCCACACTGTGCAGTTTTCACTAAATCTACCATGTACAGTTTCCATTTGCAGTTTTTTTTTAATTCCACCCGTTTCGGTTTCCATTTTTCTACCATACACCTTGTCTTATTTTTCCTTTTCTATTTTAATATATATTAATATTTTCCGGTTTCCCTATTTTTCTGCCCGCAATCCTGTCTGGTTTCATCATTTTCCACTCAGCTCCTTTTCCAATATCTTCGTTGCAACCAACTACGTATATGTCTTTCTATTATTCAGAGTCCTTCCCTAAGACAGTTCCGCCAACCACGACCACAGATCTAACGTTTGAACAGCAGCAACCTTGGCAGAATAGACCGAATCAACAGAACAATGGCGGTGTAGATACTATTTCCATCCATAGAATCAACACCCGGCCGGACTATCACAATCAGGGTAAGAATCGACGGTGCACATGTACTTGATAAAATGATTTTGAATATATGTCCATTCAAATACTTAGTTCCTGTAAACGTGTCCTGCTTCAGTCAAATTCTTATTTATTTATAGATTTATTTTGGTGTAGAGAACTATTTAATTTTTGTACATAAAGTATCATTTAATCACTTGTTTGGTAAATTCCAGGTATAGACCCGAGTCAACGCGGTAGCAGTGGCAACACCGTCTACGCTTCTCGTCTGCTGATCCTGTTGGTTCTACTTTCCATTGTGTTTGACATGTATAGGTGACCACTCAATGAATAACATCTGCGTGGACTTTATTATCTATTTCCCATTTGTACATATCATTTACACTCATCGCCATGTTTACATCGATTATCAGTCTTCTTCATATTCACCATAGCCGACTGCATACAATCGCATTCTCTTGCAGATCATTATAATATATAGAGTGTACCAAATTAGGATATTTTCAACATTTGAGACTTTTTCTATATTTATTTGAAATCGTTTTTTTACGTAAGCCTTTTGTTTAATCTCATCAGAAATCAAAATTACAAAATAATTGCCGTTTTACCTTCAGCGAATAGTTTATTTCTTACTCTTAGAGTAGGTTCCCTTTGGCCGCTCTTTTACTTTGAAGGATGTAAATATTTCCTGCTAAGAGTAGTCTCCCTTCCTTCACACTCTTCTTAAATGGGACGTAATTTTCATTCCGCGAACAGAGTAGAGTAGAATCCCCAATCAATAAAGTCATTGGAAAGATTGATCTAAAAGACAGTGTAAATGTTTAAATACTGTCTACATGACTCTCTGACGTCAAAATTATTCGAGAACAGTGGATAGGTTTGTGTGTAAGTGAACGAAAACTTTTCTGTGTGTTTTTACTTAAAGAGCAGGATCGTGAGAATGATTTTGATAGTATCAGCAAATATACCTGATGTCAAATTAATCGGTCTTGTTATCCGGGAATATAGGATTGTGTGAATGTTCAGATTCTGTCGTGTACCTTCTTTCTTTCGTCAAGGTTGTTTAACTGTCAGTGAATCTTGTATGTTAACAGTCAGTTGGAAAAGAACCTGTATCATATTTTGTTTTCATTTTAACCTATTCACATTACAACTTGTACCATGGAACTGCTAGTAACATTTACCATGACATATATCATGATAAATAAAACTGCGTAATGAATTGTATGGGACCCAGCAGACCCAAAAATTGCATGCTAATTTATCACATTTGAAAATATGTTTATTGTTCCTAAAATCATTATCCCCGCTCTAATTATCACGTGTTATTTGCACTTAGTGTACTACGAGAAATGAAAGTGAATGGAAAATGTTTTGTCTGTATTTTCCATTATTGAGATATATATCCTTACAAGTTGGTTGCAAAGTTGAGCGCTTAAGTTTTGTTTGTGTCGCTATGGTAACGGACATGTCAATGGTACTATGACGGAAGTGATCTTTATGGTGCACTTATCACGATCAGCACAGTACATTTCCTCTCATCACAATCAACACAAATAACAGAGATTGTGATAATAATATAATCATTTATATACTTAATACTGAAGTTCCATTGTAAATATATATCTTTTCAATATTGATGTATACATGTGAATGAGTGATAACATTATGCAAAAAAATATGATTTGCGTAAAAGTGAGATACTTGGATTTGTTTGTGAATAAAAGATATTCGGAAGTTGTAAGGTGAGAAGAATTGTTTTAATTAACCATTATCTTATGATAATATCAATGTTTTATATAATAGTGTAGAGGGATATTACCTACCGCCAATGATGTTGATTCTATATATTCACTATATACAATGTCTCCCCTAACACGATTTCGTAGATATCTCTAGTGTGCCTGTTGAAATCACTTTTGAGTATGTTGTATAGGTTATTATACTGATTCGTATGTCGGGTCTATTTATTTCATGACGCACAGATAAGAGCCATCTAATGTTTTTGTTATTGTTTATAATGTCATATTGGTAAAATAATGTTTCGACACTAAATAATGTTTTTCGTCGATGTTATTTTTACCTGGATTTAAAATTGATTTTTGACGTTTTTTTATTAGAAATGCCATGTGTGTGATGATAACGATAATAAAATAACATTCAAATTACTGACAAACATCTGCAATGGCGATGAACACATAGTATATTGAATAACATCCGGAATACTGGACAACATCCGTAATAATGAATAATATCCGGAATGAGGAATATCATTCAGAATAGAGAACACAATCCGGAATACGATATAACATCTAGAATTCTGAATAAAATCCGGAATATTGAAGAACGTCCCGAACATCAGTTTGGTTTTTTGTTTGTGTGTATTTATCCTAACATTCCCTCGTCTCGTGACACATGTTATATGTCTGCCCGGTTGATTTGGTAAATGATAAAATTTACTATCATTAATGTCATTCCACACTAATAATCGCAATACACGGATTAATGATAGATGTATTATTGTTTGTAGAATATGTGATGTTATTTTTCGTTGTCTTTTGATACGCCACTAAATTTTATATGCTGTTAATTTCATTCTTTCAAGAAGAGTTACTTCTGGAATGTCGAGGACGTCAATCAAGAGAAAACAAAAACAGATATACAAAACTGTACATAATTAATGTATATCTGTTACGTATTTGGTTCATCATGTTTGGAAATAGCATAAATAAAAATCAATCTCAGAAAATATCTCCATCGTACAAAATAAATGTATTTGGGTTTATCAGGTTATTGATCGTCTACAGAGGTATGGTAATTAGTTACATTAACCTTTGTTCATTGTGTCCTGTACATACATTATATCTTATCTTGTCAAAAAATCGTATAGAATCATTTATATTTGAAAAACTAGGAAAGAAGAAGAAATGAAATTAATTTTAAGAGATTAAGAAGGTAAGAAGATCGGAGTACCTTTTCCGTTCCATGCTTTTTGGAATCATATGAAACGTTAAAATTGTATGCATGGGGTGTAATGTTTTGTCATATTGATCAGCTTGGAAGGAAAATTGGGGTTGAATTAACTATTGAACGATACATGAAATGTGTTAGGTAGGAATATCTTAAACGTTGAAATTTTCGCCGCGGGTTAGATTTCACCCTTTTTTGTTATAACACGAAAATAAAAATATGACTAAGATTTGAAGTGAAATCTATGATATGTATCATTGTCTTATTAAGACGAATTAACACTGGATGAATATGAATATTTCAAGGTAGGTCGAACATAATGCTGGGTGAATGTTCATCGTCTTCATCGAAGACTCAGCTTTCTAAGTAATGAAATTGGATATACCGTTATGAATATGATATATAATTAAGTAAATGTTCACCCTCTCGTAAGTAGAATACAATTGTAGTGTATTTATTTGTTATTTGGTGAGAAAGGTGTAGATGAGGACGCGAAAGAAAAAATGAGTCATATGTATGAGAGTTGACATTTCCAGAAAACTGAGTTAACTGAATTTCAAGAATTACTTTAAAATTAATTTGGTACGTTTACATCCAGAATCTACCCACACAATAACGATATTAAGGCGCATTATATAAACATCAAACATCTCAATTAATTTTGAATTATGTATCGTGTGAGAGACAATTGCTATCAAGCGAGTTATGCTTGTAAATATTGTATTATAATATGCTGCTGAAATAAAGTGGGTCTGAATGATTCATAGTCTTAAATTTTATATCGATATATCTTTGTATGGATATATTTGCCTACTATTTCTTTAACAAAAACAGTTATTTGAATGATATTGCGGGATAGTGGCATGGTTCAGAATATACACATGCATGTGACGCTCTTCTGAAATCATAGGACATGTATTAATTATTAGATATATAGAATCATGTGACACATTCCCATTTCGATTTTGATATTTTTCGAGTGACTGTCTTTGCAGTATGATGCCACAACTCTGACCTCCGTTTTTAAGAGATTATACAAAAGACACACAAGTGATAAGCACCTTTTGATACATCGTTAGAGTTAGACACAGTAGAACCAAACAATGAATTAAGCTGCATCACACAGTGATATCTCCATGGATAGTGGTTGATAATAGCATGAGGTATACGCCCTACTATTAGTCCCAAATGTAACTGCTCTGTTTTAGTAAAGAGGGGAGGTAACACCAATATTTTGTTAATATTGCTTGGTTTTCGTCCAAAATACTTATATTTTTAGGGTTATGAAGGTTAAATATATAGGTAATTTGATGTTTAGTTCGTTTTTGATTGGAAACTGTGTGTATATTGAAAATCAATAAATAAATAAAATTAAACAAACGATCATGATAGTTATATATAACCGGAATCGCAATCAGCATACATTGGGTTGTAATCAAGGACCTGATATGCAAACCATTCAAGGATAGAATATGTATATCTAAGAAGAAGAAAAATGCTTATATCGTAACTTCGGCAATCTCGGAATGACCTGACGTGATTAAGTCAGTACAAAAGACAAACAAATGAATAACACCGTTTAACACTTAACACTGAAATAAAGTGGAGTTAACAAAATTAAGCTAACTGCATCATATAGCCTTTTCATCCTTCTAGGTCAGTAAACTAAGGAGCTAATTTTTTAAAGGTTAGGGGGGTGAAGGGGGACTGTGGACAATACAAAAAAATGAAATGAAATGGCAAATCCTAGATGGAAAGGTTTAGTTCCTCTTCCTATCTCGATTTTGAGATTAAGTTTCGTCATAGGTAACAACAGGTCCATATTATCTATGAAGTGATAAGGCAAGGGCGAAACAGCTATACAGTGCAGTAGATGAAGAATTGTAATTACTAGCCAAACAATTCGTTTTTGTGACAATTACAATCATAACAATCGATTGTTTCCTTCATATGTATCTTTCTATTTTCAGACAGAAGAAAGTATTTGAAATGTTACGAAGATATATTAATCATCTACCGTGCTCTTGCATGCACTTTATATTGCATGTATGTGATATTGTATGATAATATTACCATGATATCAGAGTGATAACATTACTTACATAAACTGTGATTGACTGATTAACCCATGATTTCTGTTTTGACGCCTTATTTTCATGACATCACCAAAAATGAGCAACAACACTTTAGGCCCTTCTCATCCCTAAGCTATTACAGAAAGGTCTGTTTTTAATCAGTCAATAAGAGCACATTTTCATGAACGTTTGCAATAGCGCAACAGTCATATGATAACCAGAATTTTATATTTGTTCCCATTTTATAAGTCAATTGTGAAGTTAGTCTCAGATTACCTTATTTTACCAATAAGCTGAAATTTCTTCAACGTCAAGTTAATAAAAAAACACATGAAAGATCCCGTTAGGAACAAACCAACATGTTACCAAAATCTTGATTAAAAATCTAAAATATAAAAAAGTGTAAAATATTAACAAAATTAACTATAGATTAATACAGAAAAATACTACGACCATAGGACGAGTGTTGCAAAAGAGTAAGCGTCTTCTGCTTCATCGACGACACTCATCATGTGAAAATTGTTTAATCTAGGTAAGTAATGTCACCATCCCAGAGGAGAGCCAGGTCAATAGCACCAAACCAATGAGTATCTAACACATCTAAATACATATCACACTAGAAATATTTTACAAATGGAATCGAAGATGGTGTCCATTAATCTTTTTGATAGTCTGCATCAACCTTTTGCTTCTGCAACCCCATGTTTGAACTACCTTTCTCCTGATGTAAGTGTAACATAACTGTAGTCTTATTATATTATCTATCACAAAGAGGCGGATTGCTTCGGAAATCGTGATGTTGTCTTCTTCTCATTGTCGTAATACAATTTACATATATTATATATGACATGAAATTCGTGACCTTGTCAATTACCATAATATCACTTAGTCTATTTTCTAAAGCCACGCAGTATACATTTATTATCATTAATTATGTTAATTAAGAATAATCAAATGTTGACGATCTTGACCTCTGAACACTAATATCTTTCTAAAATTAGAAGCTTGTATCTATGCAGAGAATTCAGCACATGTAATCATAATACAGCAAGAAATTTTTAAGTTTTAAACCCAAAACACTACAAAACATATAACAAAACGTTGTATTATACAAGTTACAATTGGAATTTTCGCAGAATATTTAAGATTAAGATATATTGTCCTAATTGATATCTGATTGTTGTACTGTATGGTGTTTTACTGCTACTCTTTGCACTTCAAGAACGTTTTTATCTGGATTTTTGTCCTATTCATATTTTTTTTATCGTGTTGACGAAATTAATCACGATTTTGCATATCCACCTCTTGTTCTTTTCTTGCTTTTGTCTAATAAAATGGTAAGCTTCTTTGATTTTTTCCACACTTCCGGAATGATTTCAAACACGCTTGAGTAAAGAAAATAATCATCCCCGCGAAGCAGTTTTTGATGCCTAAATGATTCAGAGATAGCAGGAAGCAGCTATTATTGTAGCTAAGTGTACTCCACTGTGTTTTAATGTTAATAAATAACCATCACATGTGTTGAAAGTTGTTGGATTTCAGTAACTAGTAAAGCATATCAAAATTAAAAGAAAAAGAAATACTGTAAAGGTATATATTTTAGCGATAATTTTATTTCATGGCGTTTAGCGCTAATTTTCGTGTACTTCATTAAAATATCGAAATTAAATACGTACAATTTCTACATGTCATTGAAAAACCAGCATTGAAGTTATTTGTTCGAAACTGATAATGGATTAAAATTTGATTTCGCTAAATTAAGTAATTTTACAGAATACAAGATCATTTGACAGTCATATCTTTATTTGTACTCTGTTTAACATGATTATTATCATACAACTCGACATGTATTCATTGATATTATAGCATATGTACTACGGCATGCAAAGACGACTTTGGAAATGGTTTTGAGAGAAGTCCTGGTCCGAATACTCCGTTATAATGATATTGTATATGAAACTTAACACGTCGATTCTGATCCCATGATGTGGGTGTATATGCATTTTGGAATTACCTTCGTAAATTATCAGATTTGAGCTACATGACGGGTTCCGTCGAACCTTAACATCAGCGTTTATTCTCCTAACTTTTTTTTATTTTGATCACAGTTTTTCCTATATTCAGAAATTTTGTTGACATGTCATTACCCTCTATATTTTACACAAGATTATTGAAATAAACATACTCTATCATTTTTGAACATATTTTTATTACATGACAAAGCTTTTCTTTACAATATATATGATACGCACCAACGATACATATATCTAAGTAAGAGTATATCTAAGTAATTAAATAGATATATATATAAGAGATGCAAAAAATACTGATTTCTCAGGCCTAATAGACGTGTATCTACCTGCTATCTTGACTTCTAAAATGCAATTTATGTTATAAAATAAAGCTTATACTTTTGCCTTTCTTACAGATATATGTTTGTAATTTTGGTAACATATTATCTGGAATGGCCGTGGAGGTGGGGGTATAGCTGCGATGACAGTAAATAAAAAAAAAAAAGTGAAGAATTAAACAAACATATATGAGTACTTGAGTATTTGCAAGTCCATCCAGTAGTTGTGAGGTTGGAATCATCTTTAATAAGTTTCAAGTTCTCTCAAAATATTTTCAATTTCCAGATATCCACCTAAGGAATGGCCTTTTGTTACAAAGACACCTTGTGGATCTGGTCCTGGATATGGCCTGTGTACTTTGACAATTTGCTTCTTCCATGGCTATTTCTACATCACACGAATGTAACTGGGCTAGCGTCTCTATGAGTTTCATTTCAAGCAATTTCGCCTCTATGTGCTTTCTAATGTTTTCGTTCCGAAAGCATGCATGTTTCCTAATGGCCTTTACCACATTTATACATTCTTGGTGACATTTCACTGGATGACAGTTTTCTCTCAGCTGAAGGAAAAATAAGTCATTAAACTTGATATTGTTTCACAAGATACATTGTATTTGACAACCCAAGATAAATTCCAAAATCGCTCTAAACTGATTATATAAACAAAATAAAAACAACATTTTGATAATTTGAAACAAATCTAGAATTACAAATTTAAATTTTAGTTATGCACATGAGGATCTATATCTTTGAAAAGCTTAAAAACTTACGATCTTGAGATATAAAATACTTACATATTTGGCTACAATGGCAATATCTGGACCGGTAGTGAAGGAAACACTACAACCATCTATCACGGCATTAGGATCATTTAGTTGACAACCTGGTAAACCGCCAGAGCTCGTGCATCCCTTAGAAATAGCATTTTCAGCTGGATAAAACTGTAAGAAAGCAAAACACATTTCGTCCGTTGCCCGAAATCCAAAGGAGGTCGTCTTATTCCTGGATTCTGTGTTATATCTGCAAGTCGTATGAAGTGAGTCACCTGGTCGTATTTGTACATTGCCGTTCATTCTGAATCATAGAAAATGAGAAATTGTGACGAATATCTTAATTTTCTCTTGAGTTGGAAGTTATATGACATATATCTATTAAGAGTTTTTGTTTATTTGTATGCATATGTACATTTGTGAATAAGTTTTGTAGGGTGATTGTGTGTGTTTATGCATACTTATATAAGTAATAATTTGCTTTGATAATTGCTATATGTGTAATGTCGATGATATTATCAGCGTTCTTGACGGCCCGTCAACACATAAAATGTCATTAGGGCCATCAACAGGTGAAATACACAGCGATCTTAAACGAAATAACATCAAACGATCTAAGAATCGTAAATGGTTATACTATCAGAAAAGATGAAAATAGTAAGTCATATCCTATAATATAGATAGAAGGAAAGTCTGATGGTGTACATTTTTGATTTTACATGTAGCAAATTAAAACCCCGGTATATACGTCATAATGCACATGTCAATGGTAAAATAGAACACACAAAAATAAATCCTTTTACAACGGTTTAACAATGAAAATTCACTGACAAATCCTGATGCATGTGGATTTCGGCTGGGACCGAAACTTATGTCGAACAAGTGCTCCTACAATACTTAACTTCCATATTTTATTCACCCTGAATTAACTAGAATGACGAAACAGTATTATGAAGCAATGGATTCATTATTTGACTCTTTTGTATCGAAATCTATATTTGTATTGCCATGGGCTGTTTACTTGTGGGTCTTTTGTACAATTCTTGAAGTATAACGGGACATGTCCATGTAAAGGCTATTTCTTATAGGTTTTTACTCACATCTTGAATGTAAGATTGTCAGAAATAAGAAAAGTACTAAATCTATTGTTTCATAGAGTAAGTGTACCCAGATTATGATATTTATTTTGATCAATTCAGACCTTCCTCAGTCGCCTCATTGCTTTCAGAATTTCAATCCTTATTCCTAGAAGGACGAAACAGATGTATGATGCAGTTTGATTCCTTATTTGGACATTTGTATGAGAAAGGTACCAGTTTTCCACTGTGTGCCTTTCATACAAATTTTAAAAATCCTGATATTCGATCGAATGCTTGTCCCATAACAGTACCCTAAATCATTGTTTAATGAGTATCCTTAACACATTGTTTTCTGTATGCAAACATGTCGGAAATGGTTAATCGGAAATACGAACTAAAAACAGAATCCCGAAAATAAGTACTAAATAATAATGATTAAAAGCAACTACAAACTAGTTTACTTTTCCGAAGTGCTCAATACATATCATTTATATTCTCCATATTAGGGAAAACAACAGTTCTTATACAGTTTCACAGAAAATTCTAGAAACATACAAACTCACCTATGAAAAACGGTATTTTGAAAGGAGAAATTAGGATTATTCCATAGAGTTCTTTCTGGCCCTCTACCTTGTCTTTTTAGCGTGACTTTGATCTCTCTACCTAAAAAATTGAAATGTCAGAGAAAACGAGAATAACGACTGTTGACACGGTTTGGTTCGTTTAATTATTATAATAGTATATGTTAACTCCTCTAACAAAGCTCAGGAAAGAGAAATACTTGAGACTTAACATCATGTTTACGTGATGGGTTTTCAATATTCCTACTCATTTAACCCGTATTCTTTCACTTATATATGCTTAAAGCATGACCATAACAATAAACTATTATTGTGACATGTCAATGAGATATAAAACATTATGTTATTATATATAGATAAAAACGATCATTAGACCGGGAAAGCTTATGCAAATTTCTGTTAAATATCACTATGTTTTTGATGATTTATTTCTACACCGATAGAATTATATTTTCAGTTATATCTATTTTCCCTGTTAATACAACTTGTTTTTTCCCCTTATTTTATATTACAATACCTGCGTAATGCATGTGGTCGAAGCTTTGATATACGCTAATTGGCCCCGTCAGCTGGTTTCGTGTACATGAAGATGCACAAGTTCCTTCCACAGCGAAGGACTTTTCTTTCGGTGGAATTGATAAATAGATATCACCAATTCTAAAAGTAGATAGGTTATACTGTCGCAGATTTGGAGTTAGAAACAAAGCCATTCCAGATGTATCTGTGAGACCGGTTCTCCTTAGTGGATTAATCCAGTGAACCTGAATATTGAAAGAAAGAAGATTGAACAAAAAACACACAAGTGAATAGCACATTTGCATAATTAAGAGTAAGATTTAAGAGCCAAACAGTGAATGAAACTGCATCATCCAACTGTTTCGTCCTTATGGGACGCGTCTGTGATGCTAAGGGTCTGTCAAATATATTATTATTATTTATCTCGTTATCTATTAGCTATTGGTTGATATTTACACCCTGTAAGCCTTAATCTTACAACATGCTAATAGAAGATGTTTAAAAAACTTCTTGGAACCATCCTAAATGGTGTCAAGTGTTAGCACGGTCTATGTTTATTTCAAATTTGACTATAATGATTTTTAATGACTTAACTTGTTGTTTACAACTATTAAGAATTGCCTGATCGTACCTGTAAAGAAAGATACCGCCCTCTGTTTGCACCAACACTGAAACCAAGGTGATCAGGATGGCAAAACCCTGATATGCCTGGCTGCCATCCAGTAATTATATCCTGACATTTGGGATCTGGCAACATTTCACACGGGTATGGTGAGCCAACAGGATTCTGCAGCTCAGTTGCGGTCACTTCAATACGACATATACAGAGATATATAAATGTAGATAAATATGGACTAAGAGTTCTGTGTTGTCATTTAAACAATTTCATTTCACTAGAAATAGGTACCAACTACCAACATTTTATTAACATACATGGTACTTGGTAAAACAGTTTAATATGCTGTAATTGTCTGACAAGATGAACTTTGACCGAAAGGGTGCTTCACGAACTAATAAAACTCAGAATGCGCTGCAGAAAATAGTCCTTAATTATTTTTCTACTAATATTGTTTTTTTTATTTCTATACTTCTTTACTTTGACTCATTTTTTCTAGTTGTAATTGTAATTAGTTAAATATATATCTAGGTATTTATGATATATACAGTTTTACTAATCAGTATTTCAGTAAAGCCCATATCATTACGCCGTAATTGATCACGTAAAAAACCAAACACACATGTGTACAGAAAAGGTCCATTTAACTTTGGAATAGCATTGTCATTGTAATAGAAATAAATAACACAAACTCATGGCTGTTATACATGGTATTTCTTTCACTCTCGTTAGTTGAATCATAAAGCTAATGTTTTTTGTAGCTTTTAAAATATAACGAATGTGGGTGGAAGAAATCCAATATACAAAAAACCCTCGATTTGTATCCTCTATATATGTTTTAATGCATTTCATAAATACGAACCTTATATATACATTCCATCACAGTTAGTTACATAACATGGACATTTGTCGATTTACTAGATTTGTCGAACATTGTGGGATTGTGGATGCTAAGGAGTGTTCAGATTTGTTGTAGGTTTTATATATCCTGATTAAAAGAATAAGAAAGTCAAATCCGTTACCATTGGTTTTATAAATGCAGCATTCGAAATGATCTAGTTATCATTTTACCGTGCTTGGAAAATGTCGATTTTTGCCATTATCTAATCATAGTTAAAGACATTGTCTAGTTATACATGTTTAAATCCTCGGCAAAACCGACGTAACATGCTTCGGTAAGAGATTTATAACATTTATATTATAAAATTATTGGAAACTTTGAGTATGTGATATAAGAAATCGACTGAATGATAGAAAATCTTACTTGTTTCACACGCAAAAAGAATCATATGATGTACTATGTTCTGGTTGTCAAGAATGGCTGTGTCTGCTATCACATGGTAGTCACGGTCTGCTGGAACCTCAAGGTTGACGCACATGAACGTGGCTTCTGTTGCTGGGATGGGTATTCTTGGCATCCGAAATTGTAATTGCCGTACACCTATAGCATTATATTACATCTTTAAGCATAAGGATGGTGTATGTATGTATGTATGTATGTATGTATGTATGTATGTATGTATGTATGTATGTATGTACGTATGTATTTGTGTATGTGTGTGTTTGTGTGTGTGTGTGTGTGTGTGTGGCTTAGTTACACAATACTCGCCTTACGATGGAATAAAGATATATGTGAAGTAAAAGAACATCGTTTATTTACTTTTTCAAAGTCAAGCTTCCCCTACATTGTTAAATTCAACATCTGAAAACGAAAAGTTAATTACGGTAAATTTTTCCCGGTCATCAGCATATATTCCCTTTCGAATAATTTCGCAATTATGTTAATACATGATTATCAACCATGAAGTACATGACCCACTTGTCTAAATGATTAACCTGGTGTTTGAGAATTGTAATGTAAATAAAATGCTCCGTACTTGTTCCGTATGAAAAATTTACAGGTCAACAAGAACTATGGAAGTTATGAGTGATGATGTGACTCTCGTAAAACGTTCCTTACAACATGACATCACGAATGGGGTGATTGATATCTCTGGAAAGAATGTGTAAAATGCAAACATGACAGTACCTGGTGCCCTTTAGTCTAAAACTCACCTGAAACGCTAATAGCTGGACATCGCATGCCAGTAGAATCACAGTTCAACCAGTTACCATTTCTCGCCATACAATTTGCTGAGTTCCAAGGTTCACAAACTCCTGTTGTGCAATTTTGGTGAAAAGGTTTTATAGTGTTAACAATATTAATGAATCAGTTTTAATTCTATATTAAAAATTTATCACCTACGGGTTCAGAATCAATATACTGTTAATCGATTTATTTCCCTTGTAGATAAGGACTCTCGTCTGTCTTAATAATACAAAAAGGTATTGATATAATTTTTTTTACGTTTACTGTAACACCTGAAGCCCTTTTCGTAATATAGCTTCAGTGGGATTTCTAGAAATGCAAACATGTATCATTTTATATATCTATACAGGATGAACATAAAATACCCTTTGGTAAAACAATGGTTTAATAACTATGAATTCAGAGGTATTTTGTCCCGAAAAAAGTACAAGGATAATAAGACCATGTGTTCCGGAAGAGTACGTGTCTTCCTTATCATCAACGCAATGACAAAAGTTTTATTTTCCTGCTTTCTGTCAAATACGGGGATTTGTTAACCTAAATATCCTTTGGCCAGAGGCCGAAGGCAGAAGTATCACATCGGTATCATAAATCCTCTTGTTCACTTGACAACTGGTCAGTAATTGTAATATAACAGTAGATAAATACCAGGATGTCCTGTTGGAGGGCCAGCTGGTGTCGCCCGTATTCTCCATTCACATCTAGGATCACCTAGCTCGACACCATTGCTTTGACCGTCGCCATCAGAATCATCAAGGCACAACGCCCGAGTCCACGTCTTTGTAGAAAAAATGTAGAGATAAAGATATATAATTTGATTCATTTGAGAAGTTTAGCATCTTAAAATTTAAACAAAAGGAGACTAAATACTTTAAATATTGTTTTTGCAACTGTCAATTCCATTTCCCCAAATACCTATGATGCATTACTACTGAAATGCTGGTTAACCATGTTTGATATTCTGCCATTGTTCTTAGCGTTGTCGATAAAATTTTCCGTCTGTAATCATATAGTCATGTGCAGTTGACTTACCATGCCATTTGCTGCAAATGCAATTCCGAATGGATTTCTTGCTCCTCCTCCTCCCCTGGCCCTATGCCCAACACCAGGCCATGGCAAATTAGAGTCACATGGATCAACAATATTGTTGCCATTTGGGATCCGTGTTTGGAATGTTTCAAACGCAGACGAAGCTTCCAAAATGGATAGGATAAGAACCAAATGGACTTTCATTGTGGCTACATGCAAACGAACATAGTTCCAGGTAAAATAATCGCTTATATGAAAAAAAAAATCACATGACTTTTAAATGTAGAAAGACTGTTATTAAAACCCACATTTAGATGTGTGACGTTTCTTATTGTTTCGGCAATTGATCAGCCCAAGCCTCAATAGTTCAAAATTACAACGATACAATTAATACGAAAAGACTTCAGTCAAAAGTTAGTAATTGTAAATTAATATAGATAATTAAAGTTACATACCTGTGTACCAATTACATGTAAAGATCAGTCTACTCCAAGATGTCAAACAAACAGTAGGTCATGTGATATGTAACATCACTACATAATTATTCCGAAGTAAAATATGGAATGCCGTTTGTGCGATAGTATTGTACGATGAGACACTAGTATCAGCGTGATTAACCTCAAGCCAAAGCACTCTATTTGAAAGGTTACACTACTTAATTAAATCGACCGCTCAGATGTATATGTCGTCGATGAAACAGAAGACACTCACCTTTCCTTGACACCTGGTCCTACTCTCCTTATTCTTTTTTTTTTCAGGAGTATCCGCGCAAAAGTGTTTTCAAACTATATTTTGTCCTACCTTAGATAATGTTGAAATGTTGGCACCTTTCTTCGTTGTGGTTGGTTACCTTGCTAAAACGTGATATTGATACACGTGTGGGATGATATGTATTGTATTCGTAGCGTAATGAATGTAATTCAGCATCAGAATATTCGTTTAACACTAGTACAACAGTAATGGAAGGAGAAGTGGTGATCATAACAAAGGATAACGTTTCATTACACAGGAAGATGATATTACCTCCACAACATTGGCAGCGTATTATTGGTTGTGTTAACAGCGGCTAAAATCATATATATTTATTGTTAGACTCACACGTATTATTTAGAATATTTATGATGCCACAATAAAGCAACATTGACAAAGTTATGTCTACACGAAATGCAAAAGTTTTGAGTACATTTGTCTTGGGATGATTACGAACTCTTTCCTCGTATCAGCCATTCGAAATGCGACAATAAGATCACTGACTGACTGTTTTAGTCAGAAGTGTCCAGAATATGAAGTTCTGTTTATATCGTTTACTTACTTTCAAACAGGTGTCCTCTCCATTATTGTGTCAAATTAAAATAAGATGTGTGTTGGACACCCTAAAGGTATATGAATCCGTTTGGTCCCACCGGTCTGCCGTATATCATTTATCAATCCGCAAGATGTGAACTACAGTGTGAATAATTGCTATATTTATGTTAATGGATGTAGCTTGTGTACGAATATAGATACGAAGTCATAAAGAGCTATCTGTTTCATATAAAGTTTCTCCCATAAAGGAAGTCATTATTAAGGTTATGTTAAGCTGACGTTATTGCCTAGTTGTTATATAGACAATTCATTTTATGCAGTGCAAAATTGTATGCACAGGCTGTATTCACATACGCAGCATGAAAAACAGCGTAATTTGTCTTCTTTAACATTGATGGATCCTATTATCAAAGGTAGACCGCAAATATTTCAGTTCGCAGAAATATGTGACCTTTGTGTAGAAAATTGCAAAATGTTCACACTTATCACTTGAATCTTTTAAAAATGACCTGTATGATTATTGTATTTTATTTTTGTTACGACGTTTCTTTTTGTACTTAACTGATATCAGTATTATATCACACACACGTATATATATAGTATATCACTAAATTATGCATAAATGAATAAAATGAAAAACTATTGAATTAAAACATTACACGTTATAATTGTAACGGGAAATTCTACACGCGTAAATGTACTGAGGTGATTTGGTTGTTTTGAAATCAAACTTGATTCTTTTAAATTTCGTGATATTTTTTATATGTTTTATTTCAGTAGTACTGTATTAAGTTCTTTGAAGATAATTTTGTAAATTAAAACTGGTTGTACAGAAGTCCTTAAATGTAATGGAAAACAATTAATCTAATAGCGACGGTATTTGGTATGAACGACCCCACGTTTGATTATTTTTCAACAACGACTTAAAAACACTAGCCATTTTTTTAAAGTCGTTGGGGAAAAATAAAGAGAGAGAAAAAAAGGAAAGAAAGTCTAAAGTCAAAATAGATAAACCTAGGCCAAATTAGAATAAAATAAAAGCTTACAAGGAGTCTCCTGAAAAGGTAAAAGGTGAATATGTCCAGGTGTTCCAGACGAAGAAGCGTTTTCTGGGTTTTCGACGACACCGGCATGTCAATTTTGGTCAATCCAAGTAAATAATAACATGTTTCCAAATGCCGACAATGTAAACAACAACGGAACCAATAGAAAAACTAATAATTTTCAAATACGCCCAGCTTCATATCGCACAAAGAAACCGTAAAAAAATTCCCAAGAATTTCCATGAAGTTGCATTTGTCGAAATCCTGCTTTGCTTTTGTTATTTTGCAGAAAAGCAAGCTGTTAGTTCTTCTGTCGTAGGAAAAGATCGCGGTGAGCGTCTAATTTACAAGTGTCTATTTTGTTCTTAATTTCAAATTCTGGTGGATACGATTGACCTGGAAAAGGAATCTATTGTTATATAAAGTCAAAACAATCTGAAAGTGAAATTGAAGATTTCTTTAAGGTCTTCGTGATCTGTTATGCTTTAAATATCGACAGACTGTTTATTCCACTTATTGAGTAAACAGAATCACAATAAGACTGTTACTGTGATTTGCTAGTACTATACGTGAGTTAGACAAAAGTTTGGTTGAACAGCTAAACGAGCCAGCAATAAAACGCTGAAAATATTGATTCCTGTGAAGTTTTAACATCCAGTGTAAATGGGGGAGGTCTGTATCCTTCATACTAAACATGGTTAGCTAGTATTTTTAGTTGTGGTGTCTGGCGTTATCAAGCAAGCTCAATTCTTTTGTATACAGCAAATGTCATAATGTCTGCAGACTAGGATAAAGTTATCAGATATCTTACCTGCAGGCACAATAACGTACTTTTCCAACAAATCTAGATTTGGGGATTTAACATTAGCAATTTGCAACATGGTTAAGCTACATGACACTAACAAATTGTGGGTAGCGTCATAGAGCGTGCGATCTGTCATACCCTACGCATTGACAGAGAAAGCATCCCCTGAGCACTGATAGAGAAGTCTTGAATAGGTAAAACAGGAAACAGATATGTAAATAATGGGAGATTAAGATATCAATACTATATATGGTGTTATCAATTATCAGTACAAGTACACTTCGGATAAGTGATCTTTCATCTGTCGCCATAGTGGTGTGGGATTTCCGTATTTGAATAAATGAATACATTGCGATGAAGATGTATAGTGATTTATTTGTAAATAAATTAATATAGGAATTACAAAAGTGCAGAGCTGTTAATAATGACGACTTGATGACACCGTTCTGTGGGTGTTGTTGCAAGTTGGATAGGCAGATGAGGAAATCTTTGCAGGGCGATTCGGTGCCATATACATTATGTACATGTCGAGTGTGATACGAACACAGTATATTCTTTCTTCATTCGTGTTTCTGCGTTTCATAAGAAGACACAAGGAAACCTGTGATGTGTGTTATCAATCATTTATGTAAATAGTGGTGGTTGAATATACAAAATATTGAATAAACAAGCGAAAGTATGTCTGTGTGTACTTTGAACATTTTCATGTAACTACAAAGGTGACTTCATTAACACATATTTTAATTGTTTGTGACTGCTGCTACAAACACTACCTGGAAAAGAAACAGAAAATTCTGCATCAATGACCTTCTTATATTGAGATTTTTCAAAACACCTAGTCATCGCCTATCTTATACATTTGCAGTTTGTTACAGAATTGGTTTCTACCTCCTGAAAACTTGTCAGCCTTACCTACTTCCGTGACACTTTCTTGTTTCCGGAACATGGCTTCAGATAATTGAAAATCGAAGCCTCGTAATTGGTAATTCTTTAAGACTTTGAAATATGCCACACCTGGTTCTCCTGTACTTTTTCATGAATACGTTGACATGTTGTTAATTTCTTGTTTTTTCTCATTAATGTTGGTTTAAAACACTACTGAAAGATCTTGATAAATATCTTAAGACATCTTGGAATTACAAAAATACTTCAGCATATAAAATTGGTGCATACTATTTAAGATAGGAAACGACGGCTTCAGATCAAACTCAGGAAGGAGCGATTGGTCCGACAAAGGTTCTTGTCACATCGACACTATTATACGAATTAATTTCATAGACATTGGTGAATGTTCTATTTGTATCGTTGTTTTTGTTCATTATAATATCAGCAAAACACCTAAATCCTGTATAACAAAAACTGTGACGGTATTGACGTTTGACGTCGTAATAGAGTTAACAAACGTTCGTCTTATGAAATGAAAATCAGAGCTTGGTTTAGTTTTTTTTGTTGTAAAACAAACAACAAGAAAATACCAACATGTCAATGTGATCATAATCCAAATTAAAATTCAATAAAATTAGGACTTAATACGAAAAACGTAAGATCTACAAGGAGACCTCTGCGTCTTCAGCTTCATCGTTAACGTCTTGTAATAGACATGACCAATTAGGAAGGTCTTTCTATGTGTACGAGAGGAAAATATCTGCTCAGAAAAGTGTCTTCGGTGGGGCTTTGTTATGTTTGTGAAAGTCTCACAAACTGTAGAATACTGCGAAATACACACAGAAGGATATCCCACCAACTCACATTATACTAAATCAGGACAAACCAGATGTTTCACCAACATAGTGCTTACTGGCTTGCGGAGTGTCTACCATTTTGAAAGAATATGGTATGTTTTTCTAAGGGGACAGAAACCAAAGTTTTCAAACGACGATATACAACTACAGGCAAAAAAATAAACCAATGGAGATATCGAGACGTAAACAGTTATTTCGAAAGCAGAGAAGTGATTATATTCTAAATAGGCACATCTTACAGTCATACAAAGAGTGCAGGAAGTGAATGTTTACGCCATGCCTGGCTCTCATATGCAAGTTGTGTAATTAAGAGCGCTGCGTTTATGACGAAATAATACTCATGTCTTATATGCTTCATAAATTGCAAATCGTAAGTATATCCGGATTATAAATAACGGAACCTCCCACCTTAAGTACAGGCATAAAGCGAAATTATTGCGTTCATTGTACCATTAAACGGAAAGCATTACTATACCACCAACGAATGACCAATCCAAGGACTTATTTTGAAAATATGAAAATATCCTTTGCATCATACCTCGCATCATATCTGACATCATACCTCGCATCATACCTCGAACGATTCTGTATAGCATTTCAAATACCGTTCATTCATAGTATAACTTACGTAATGTGCATAATATGTTTGCTGCATCATATCCAGTGTTTGTTGTTCAAATATTAGACTAACGTAAATACCTACATAGCAGAAGAAACTATTTTAAAATATAAGCATCGATATGTACCCATGTTGGTTTTCTTGAATCAAAATTACATAATATTTTTAATATCGTCATACACAATTCGAAAGTTTGTAATTGAATTTTGCTTATTTTTGTAAACATTTCACCAGTCTTATCATCATTAGCTATTAGGAATTTGACAGCACGTTTTGAACGTGTATGTGTATGTTGAAAAACGTAATTGTGTGATATATTTTTATGTATTTCTATGTAACTATTATTCAAATGTTAAAATGAAATTATACTGGTGTATTAAGGCACACAATGACGTTTCGATCTAGCAGTATATTGATACTTTAGTACACGTCTACGTTAATTATCGATTATTATTGTTATTTATGGATTAACATTCATTTCTTAAAAGACAACGAGGGCCAGCTATAGATGTTTATAAAAAGAATTTGATAATATGTACCTAAAACATACGTCTATGTTAAATGAAAAAACACCTTAATTAGCATACCTTCCAGTGGGGTTTTAATACAAATTGATGTAACAGGAACAATGAATCATCTGGTCGTATTGTTTAGGTTACAAAGAGTATAACACAAAAAAGTAATTTATCATACGATTAATCAACAACGAAAGATCATATTCTAAGTCATGACTTCACACAAACAACAAAATTCATTTCTGCATAAAGCAATATATCATCTGAAGACTGTAGTTTCACAGCTGTATGTTGTTCGTCAAATGGAGTACCTATTCTTGTTAAAAAGTCAATCGAGGCGATAAAGGTATGCAGTAAAGAAACAATATTTCACTACAGATCTGGCAAGGTATAGTATTCTGAATACACTAAAGTTTATGCATATGGATATTGTTAGTATCAACATACCGCCCAGTATATTTTACAGGTTAATTAGTGATACAGGAGAGACACGTGTCATTGTTTAGTGTACCTGACTTATGACAAATGCGTATAAATGAATATTTAAATGGTATGACACTTGTTCAGTTTGCATAACAACATTACAGCTTACCTTATATCCCATTCTTTCCTAATGTATTTAGAATATTCTTATTTATAGGCTGGGATCATTTACCGAGTATAATGCATCACAGAACATCAAGGTAAGATATCTCTACTTAGAACTTATATAAGCGGACAGATTTTTTTTCTGTGCTATATTTTATACTCTTTTGTAGCTTGCTTTGCTTTGGAATAGCTGTTTTAGCCAAGATTCTGTCCTTTGAATCTTATTAGTTCCGTTTACAAATTGAGTGAATATTCATATAAATGCATGTAGTTATACATTGTGATATTTTTACAGATATCTCTTTCTACATTTGGTTTGCCTGTATGATGTCACGATTGGATTTAGCATATTTAAAGAGAGAATACCGAACGGCGATAAAGTAGTTGACCCATGCGATAGCAATGAAATATGGACCGGATTGGGTCACCAAAACAAAGATGGTGGAGGACTTACAAACCCATTCGGTCAGGCTTTCAAGAACAATAACTTTGTAAGTAAGATGGCTACTACACAGTAACACAAAGGGGCATGTCAGTAAAATCCTTGTTCGAGAAATGAATCTAGATGAAGAAAAAATAATGATTTGGTTCTATTGTGTCTATTTCGAAGGTTGTTTTGAAATGTGCTCTTCTCTTGTAAGTTTTTGTACGATCATAACAATCCTCTCAGCAACGAAACGCTTGCAAATTTCGTCTGTTATATTTCATCAAAAGGTTGTTTCTAGTATTGGAGGTAAATCATAAATAAGAGTATTTAGCTGTGTAAAGAAAACTGGAAAAGACATTGATCAAGAGATTACGTAAATCAGGTTTGTTGGTTCTAAAGGTATGGAACAAGACTTTTTGCATGGAAGATTCGGACGGGGATGGAGCAACTAATGGAAGAGAGCTTGGAGATCCACTCTGTTTATGGAAATTTGGAACCAGTCCGATATTCCAACCCCTCGGCCATCCAGGTAAATTATTAACTAGTAAGGCTCAATAGAGGTTATTGAGGTCAAGCTGTAAAACTGACAAACAGTAAGACAGCAAACATTATCATGATTTAGTCTACACATGACCCACTAGGAAACAGATGACGTAACCGTATTATTTGAAAGTGTACGTAATTGCAGAATTACTATTGGCAATCATAATGGTTTCCATTGTTATATTTTGACATGGATATTGAGCAGAAATAATTTACGATAATCAACATTGATTTGAAAATGATTTTTTTTTGTCATGGAATCAGCTTCTAGATATCTGGAGAGAAAATATGAATAATTTTAGACAAATACACGAAGACGTCAAATTATACTGCGTGGGATTTATATCTAAGATGATTTTCCGAAGTTGATAAAAATGAATAAATAACCCTGTGTATTCAACATTATTTTCCTATGTAAGATGTCATTCTCGATACTCCAGGGGTAACAATCACTTTCGATCTCTCAAACATTTCATGGCAAAATTGGAGGCTTCGTGTGCGACACCTTGTGGATAAAACGAAAATGCTACTTTGATCTCCTGATGTACATTAAACGAATCTCGACGCGCTTAACGGTATATTGTACTAGCTTTCAAATTAGATATCGCTTCTTTGTCATCATCTCAGGAGCATACCAGTCTGTGGTTGGTCATTTTCTGTTCTCCTGAAACTCGCTCAAAGCCAAACAAATTACATCGCGTGTGCATTCGATTTTGCAAAGAAATGTACCAGGGGTGCAAGGATCGAAAGTGATCGTGACCTCTGGAGTATTGTGGATGGTAAGAATATAACAACACACAGTGTTTATAGCGGGATCATTAAAATTCGGGGCAGACTCAATTCAAGGACGTATAATATCAGGAAAATACACATAAGGTGTCATTAATAAGAATATACCATATAGACGAGTTCAAATCTTAACTTTGATGTAGTATTGTCCAACTAGAAAGAGCACATGTTCCGTAATTGATACTTTGTCCAAACATACATAATGTCAACTATTAACAGTAGTTGGTGTTTTTCTCATATGATGTAACACAACGCTTTAAACCACTTGTAAAACTGCAAAACATGGAGAAAAATCGGACTAGTGCTGGTTTCAACTTCGCCTTCTTTATGATTTATTAAATATCAAATCCTGCATCCAAGGCTTCATAAGCTTAGGATTTGATCTTAACCGCCATTACGTGGTCAGTATACTGTAACGAAGCGCAACAGAGAACGAGAGCATCAGGTACTGAAGATTGTTCGTTCATTCTTGTTCTCAGGCGTTTGTGAACCATGGAGCTCTCCCTTTTGTCGGCGGAAAAATGCAAATTGGCTCAACTGTGTCAACCTTCCTGTAGAATGTGAACATATTAGAATGCGAGGTAAGTAGACGGATGTACAGCCATATGAAGCAAATTCCGTTTAATTTCAAATTGACATTTCCCATTCCAATTTATTGAATCTTCCACCAATGTCTACATTTTACGAGGCTTTTTGAATAACGTGTCAATCTATTTTCACAGAAAGCAAAGTTTCAACACCTGTCACTTTCGAGCATTATTGCGACGAAAATGGTGTTGCCTTGATACCTAATGTAACTTTAAATTAACTCATTGCGGTGGTCATTACGTGTTGTCGATTTGATAGGACGTCTTAATACGATATAATCTTGATAAGTATGACAAAGTGTAGCGATCAATTCGCATGGCAACAGGACAAAAGTACATGGCATTTTGTTCTGTCCAGGTGTCCGAAACATGCAGCTTAGATTGCCACCGACAAATGTACCTGCACAAGAGACCACGTATGTGTGTGTGAACCTGGAGTTTCCGTCAGATAGGGATTATCACGTGATCGCAGACACAGCTTTCGTAAACAACAGCAATGTTCTGCACCATATGATGTTGCAGGGTTGCTCTCCTGGAGGTACTGTGTTGTACTGTGTTATGAAAATGATGTCAGTATGAGAAATATTCTTGTTTAAAAAGATCGATTTCAGTGCAAAGATTGTATCTACCTAGACACCCAAAGTTTACCTCAATCTCTGAATATAGCCTGAATACTCTTCATTCTTAATCAAAACGGATCCGTCAAACAACCCCATTTATCTAAAAAGTGAAGATGTACTCGGATCAGCTGTTGTTTGATCGCTACGATCATTAACATAATCAAACTTTGCATACAAAATTAATTTGATATCTAGGTGTGCACTTGACTTTATTTCTTGGGTCTAGCTTCAAAATGGAATTTTTTTTATCTCTGATTTGTTGAACCTTTAGCTTAGCAGGAGGAAGGAACCATGACAGCGTCGTTCATTTCTAAACAAAACAAAAAGAGATACATTTTCGTACAAAATGGCCGCCAAGCGCAGGCCTCTGATTGGACGAAATTTACACACCCTCCTATTTCCATGAAATTTGTTATATAGATGTAACTTTGACGATACAAACTACTTAAGGAGGACCAGGTGGTATTCGGTGTCGGCTGTTGAGAGGATCCGGTTTTGATCGATGTATATGTGCTGTGTGACTCGACGTATACAATTGTTACGCCTGTTTCTGATCAGACAAATTAGCTGACCTAGAGAGACGATTAGTTTCAATATGTGGGTTTTTATCAAATTTGCTATGTAGTCCCTCGAACACTACCATTAATCGCTTTAACATAATGATCACTGAGCGAGGTACTAATGTGGATTAATGTTGATATTGACCGATTCCGATAAATTTCTTTATGTTGCGGAGGCGTTTGGGGCACTTATGTAACGGCCCCGTTACAATCAGAACTTGTTTCCTATTATCCTGATATTTTGCAACTGAAAGGTAAAATCTGCTTTACGTTTTGTTTGTCATGGTAAAGTGCAATATCTTTTTGTTTCTATAGTAACTGCCGCTGCATTAGCACATCCTCTTGGTCAAGTTTATCCCTGCAGTATGTTGGCGGAACCTGAACTGTGTCCAGATTTAATCACTGGGTGGACCCCGGCCATCAGTGGAAACTGTCACCCTCTCGAAGCGGGATACAAAATCGGGCGGACAGGTTCTCGGTATGCTGTTCTACAGGTAATTCATTACTTACAACCATATGGATATAACCATTGTTTCTCTAAATCATAAAGAATAAACATTCGGTGAAGCAAACATGCAAACGATACACATGAAAGCCAAATCAAGAATGATTGATCTCTGGATCTTTTCCATTAAAACACAATATTTGATGGAAGAATATCCTCAAACCATGCTATATAACACCTCACAAAGACAGTTTCCCAGCAAACTATATGATAAACATAACAATTTCGATTTCCTTGTGAATTTTCCATTTCTACATAGTGAAATTCTGTTTCCAAAGAGCTAAATTACACCTCAAACGGTGAGCTTTCCATTAAGATATATGATAAAAGTAATGATTTCGAGCTCCTTGCTGTGAATTTTCCATTTCTATGCAGTAAACGTTTTGCTTCCACTGTCTACGGTGTTAAGAGAAATTTATCGACAACTGACAAATAAACAAAGGAGAAAGATGTAATGCCGTATCATGATTTCATAAGGAAATGAGTACAATTTTGTATACCTGCCGTTCATTGTTATTTATATTAATTACTTTGATTGGCCAAATGGCGAGTGTTGCCGATGAAGCTGAAGATGCTTTACCTTCCGGGATAAATATAAACTTCACATATCTGACAACAGTTAAGAATCGTTTACCTATCACACTTGTTGGCCCAGATTGAAGCGCACAAAGGAACACATTCTGGGAGTATCCAGGAAAGCCCACGTGGTCGGGCAGGTCACCCCTAACCTCTTCACGTCCGTTCAAGAACCGGACTCCGTACGTCTTGGTGAAAGGCGAATACATTACCGCCCAACCACCCTCTGGATTACCCGGTTTTAATCCTCTCGACCTTTTCAATGGTTGCTGTGAAATCTTTCTTTTGATAAACTTTTGCCCCTGTTTCATCGTCATTTAATTAGGATTCTGTCAACAAGCCGGTATTTTCTATTTAATAATGCATTACTTCATCATTTAGTTGAATGCTTCTCGCGATAAGTAGACCATGTTTATATATTTTATGATGACAGGTGATGTGGAACAATCCTACCATGTCAGCTGGTGAAATGGATAGTTCCGGGATGATTCTGTTCTACACATCAAGACTGAGACCTTACAACATTGGAACTCTTCAAGTGGGAACTAAAAGTATTCTTATTCCTCCAGGGGAAAAGGGGTTTGACATAGAATCAAAGTGCGATTCAAGTTGTACCAGACAGCAACTCTCAAGACCCATCTTTATCCTAAATGGGTACAACCATATGCATTATGCAGGTATGAAATTTATTTGCGTATCTTTCAACAAAAACAAGTATTTATTTGATTGAAATTAATGTTTGCGGGTAGTGATCTAAATCGGATCACAAATTAATATGGGAGTTTTAACTTTCGTTTCTCTAATCTTTAATATAAATACTTAACTCTTTTGGTTGATACAAAACTAAAGTGAAAGATTTATTTTAAATTCTTTGATCTCGCAGTTTTTTGTTTTTGTTTTTGTTTTTGTTTTTTTTGTATTTTTCTTACTTATCTTGAAGGTTTAATGTGTTTCTGACAAAATATTTAATGTAGATCCCATATCACATTAAGTATGTATTTCCGATCTGTCATGTTGTCTCTAATAAGTTTCTGTTTATATTTTGGCTGCAAAATTACATTACAGTTCTATTTCTTTTTTCTTTCCTTTTTTCCTGAAAGTGCAAATATTCGTTCGCGGTTTTACCAAACGCATGATGCTAAAGCCATATTCCCTTTGGTTTTCGTTACATTTTCAAGATCCCTTTTTATGATCGATCTATTCTGTTCTTGAAAATTTTGAAGAGTAGAAATATTTTTTACAGTATATTCATACTATTTATGAACAAATAGGAGTTTGGGTCATTACTCCCCTTGAGAGTTTAGATTCTCAAGAATAAGTCATTAAACTATCGACCACAGAAAATCAATGAAGGCATGGAGATTTTCACGGAGACATACAATTTTTTACTGCGCTAACATATATTCTATTCATCATAAATCAATAGATTCCGTGCATTAACAGAAAAGGTCGTGTAAATAAACGGGTTGATTTGAAGTTTAGATGTCACAGTACACTCTATATCTTGTCATGCACGTGATCAAGTTATAAACTGGTCAAAGTCATCGTGCTCGTATATATACATGTTACTTATCATAACTGATCCGAAAGGTTCGGGATAAATGTACGGTATTGTTATACCTACGGTATATATTTACTTATGTAATCTAGCGTATTGTGATGTCATTTTATATAATTATATGACGCATTCACAGATGGAAATTTAATGTAACAGTGTAGACCATAGGGATAAAGCGAGAACGATTTCGAGTTTCACGTAAAAATGTTTGTTTTCTAAAACATTTGCTTAAAAAACGAAACCGTGAATAAAAGAATCTTCAATTCATTTCCTTGCGATTTATGTAACTCTTATCTTATTTATTTATTTTGAGGATTTTTTAAATGAAAAAAAAAATTATTGGAAATTCTAAATTTCGTTTCATAAAACCATCCATTAAATGTTCTGTTCTGTAATATCCTACATATACTTAGAAGTTGCAGCATTCACAAGTATTCCCATTGTGTTTTTTTTTTTTTCGTATAATTTTTGACAGGTGCTGAGATGAGGATAGCCATGAGAAAGTTTAGGGAAGTTCAAGATCATACAATCACACAAGATATCGTTTACGACTACGACAATCCTGTCATACATACGTAGGTATAATCATCACAAATTCAAATGCGTTATAAAAAGGGTCATATCATTATCAGTTATGTTTTTTTTTCTTCTGAAATAGTAAAACTTAAAAATTAGGATATCATTTATTTACAGAATTTCAAATAACATATCATAATCTTATATCATTTTAATATGCAGTCCTTTCACTCCACCTACTTTAAATGTTCGCCTGTACTCAATATATGATCATAGTACATGTATTGAGTTTAACATAACAAGAGACCCTGTATAACAGATTGATTAATGGTTTTGTAAAATAAAACCATTGTAGAAATATTAGAAGTATAAAATATAGAAACCAGTTCACACGAATCAGAGAGTCAAACATTTTTAGTCACCACATCGCTACTCCAAATGACATTTGCGTCTATATTGAATTAATCAGAGGCCAAATTTGATCAAAATAATTTCTAAGACATTTGAATATACATACAAAGGGGACATTATAGTGTTACAGTGTAAAGGACACTGTCACAGCATATAACTATAAATTAGATTTTTCTTTTCCTTGCCAGAAGGTTTACAATTTAGGCGTTCCTGATTTGAAAACCTGTCTATTCTTTATTTAAAAATATTGATTTGATAGCCGTTGGTACCGTGGACATATGTAAGCTACATTCTTTACCATAACTGTATGCAATTATTGACAAAATGATATGTCAATTGACATCTCAATACTATAGCGTTAATATGGATTCTGGGTATATAAAAAATACTCGCCTTTGAACTTTTCCTGATATTGAAAGCAAGAATTAGGATACATGTAATATTTTCTCTGTCTGTCCCATATTCATTTAAGGTTACTATCACCAGTGGAAATTAAGCCTAGAGATGAAATCTTCACTTCCTGTTCCTATAATACAATGGTCCGGAACACCACGACGTCCTTTGGTCAGACACCGTCGGATGAAATGTGTCTGGGATTGCTTAGCTACTACCCTGCAGAGAATATGTCTCCCCGGCACTGTTTGTCAGAGATGGGGTTACCCCAGTGTGTTCTCAATGATCAAACTGCATTTATTGATAGGTGCCCGGTGGTCTCTTTCCCGTCCAGTCATGAGGCCACTAGCTTTATGCAGTTGGTAAGTCCAGAATACATAACTATCATTTAATTAAAGGGTCACTTAATTTAGTGTTGTGAGAGTATATACAAAGTAACGTTGCTTCAAATGGGAAAAGTCGGTTAAGAATGATAATAAATAATTCAAAAAACTTAATATGACTGTCTACTTGGTGGTAATAAAATAGACATTTCGCGCTTCAGCTTCTAGATGAGTCAGATCACACGCAAAAACTAAGAAAATGCAACATCTATAAAGTATATATTCGCCATGAATTTCCATTTTGTTCGCAGTTATTAAAACGCAATATAATACACAGCACTTAACTTATATTTATACACTGGCTGATAAAATCAATACTTACAAAAATATCTGTCTTCCGAAAGATAGAAGCTGCTCTAATGAAAATGTATTTATCACATAAGTATCATATCTTCAGTGTATGACCTTGAGTAAATTTGGTAGTCTGAAAGTTTCGATTGCTTCAATAGTGACGTCATAACTTCATGACATCATATACACTGTGACGTCACCTCATAAAGAAATGAACGTACATGACGATTGCCACTGATGAGTTTTGTAGTGTTTATTATATACAATTTTTCAAATAAATTTCGTCCCCATTTTTATTTCCCATGTTTTGCGTTTTTTACATCAACAAATATATTTTGCTGACGTAATATAATTCTGTTTACAGTTGGATGATAATTGCTTTCCTTTCCGATGCAATAGAGAGTGCATAGACGTCGTAAAGAGAATCAGGAAACATCCGTGTTTTATTGGGAAAGTGAAGGAATATACAATTACCCAAATAGAAAAAATCCACGGACTGGAATCTATAGCACGATTAAAGTCCTGTGACGTGGAGATCGCTAGACAAGAGGGACTCTGTAAAAAACCTGTGGGCACGTCATCGTGTTTCTGTAGCGATTTCCCGATGAGACGTGTTATATAGTCTGCATGCATAATTAACACACCTGCAATAATGACAAACGAAACGCGCATCAATAATCACTATTTGTGGGGATAGGATCTGATATCTGATAGAGGCACTGACAACTGTAGGAAACATGACTCTTTATTAAGGTTTAACTTCGAAGGAATGGGCGGCAACTGTATACCAGACCCAATGAATTATTACGTTACCAATAGTTTTCAGCGTTACACATCATGTATCGTGTAACTATACATAAAGTTTGTTGTAGCAGAGTTGGAATTCTATTGGTTTTGATGTTGAATATTGTTTTTTAAAAAAAATTTCTATCTGGTACAGTGTAATTTGGGGTGAACTTTGTCAATGTTTGCATGTTTTGATAAGCAAACTATCGTGTTCGTGTCCTTTTAATTGTAAATTTGTAACAGTGAAGTCTGAGGTGATTGATTTATCAAATAAAGCGGACGATATCAATTAATGACGATAGTGAACTGATAACAATATCGATATCTCCAAAACTATCTATTATATTGAAAATATACTTGTTTTTCGCTAAATTCATTAATCAATTATGCTACAAGACAATGAACACTTACATTACAGTTCAACATCAATTTATACTGAGCCAAATTTCGTAAACGGTTGATGTCTCTAAAAACTTAAAAACCAAAAAATACTATTTGCAGTTTACCTCTCCATAGAATAAAAACATCTAGGATATTCTTATGTTAGCCTTGGTGCAACCCTAATTGTAATAAATTGCTTATTGTAATATTTATTACATTAAGGTCAAATTTATTTCAATAAATCTAGAAATTAATATTTTCAGCTTTTGTTGTACAATGATAGCAAAATATATCATATACATTAATGTTTTCACAGAAAAAAATAGAAATTTATTTTCCAGGAAAATAAGCCAGCCCCGACATGCCATGTGTTACGATCACTTTCGCTCTCCGCCCCTCTGGAACATTTCCATGACAAAATTCCAGGTCCATGTGCGACACTTTTTGGAAAAGATGAAAAGACTAGTTTGATCCTTTGACGTACATCAAACGAATCTTGGGGTAGCATAACGGTATATTGTACTGGATTCGAAGTTGGATGTCGCTCATTTGTAATCTCCAAAGGGAGAGTATCAGTCTGTAATTGGTCGGATTTTTTTTCTTCCACTCTAGACCAACCAAATTACTTCACCTGTGCTTTAATGATCCTAGTCAGTGATTGGTAAGTTTTTTCCTCCTACACACCCGCTCTAGACCAATCAAATTACTTCACTTGTATCTTCAACTTTGCCAGGAAATGTTCAAAGGGTGCAAAGAGCAAAAGTGAGCCTAACCAAAGGAGTATCGAGAATGTTGTAAGCGTAGCCTCTGTAGTATGGAGGATGTAGTGAGCGTAACCCCTGGGTATAGAGGATGTAGAGAACGTAGCCCCTGGAGTATTGAGGATGTAGTGAGCGTAACCCCTGGGTATAGAGGATGTAGTGAGCGTTACCCCTGGGTATAGAGGATGTAGTGAGCGTAACCCCTAGATTATGGAGGATGCAGTGAGCGTAACCCCTTGAGTATGGAGGATGTAGGGAGCGTAACCCCTAGATTATGGAGGATGTAGGGAGCATAACCCCTAGATTATGGAGGATGTAGGGAGCGTAACCCCTAGATTATGGGGGATGTAGGGAGCGTAACCCCTAGAGTAGGGAAGATGTAGGGAGTGTAACCCATAGATTATAGAGGATGTAGGGAGCGTAACCCCTTGAGTATGGAGGATGTAGTGAGCGTGACCCCAGGAGTATGCAGGATGTAGATACATTTCATAACCTTAATGAAAATATTACTATTGAGCTGACGTCATGATACGTCATTTGTCATCCAAATGACATTCATATTGACAATAAATACAATTCGATCACCGTTCGATAGTTAAGTGATGTTTTGGTATCCAATCCATCTACACCCTCAGTTCAGAATATCATTTATGCATCATTGAAATTTATCGACTGTTGGTTTTAGATTGATGTCCTTCGTAAGTTTAACACAGTAAATGACCATTTGATGTCAGCCATCAAATGTAGTTACCATATGCGGTACACATCCTTTATAATCATGGCACATCGGTAATAAATCAAAAGGAATTAAAACACGGGATAATTGTTTCTGATATTACACCGGCTGTGGATATCGCCTTTCATTGCAAATCTAGAATTAGATAGAATAGAGGTAATTTATGAACTGAGATGCATCGCATTACATAGTATCTTCCTAGTAGGAGCCAGTGATGTTTAGGACGTAAATTGTTACCTTGACAGTGTATTACTGCTGTGTTACCTCCTGTTAACAACCAGAGTCTTTTTAGGAGGAAAGTCGTAATTCCAGGAGAGAGAGAGAGAGAGAGAGAGAGAGGAGAGAGAGAGAGAGAGAGAGAGAGAGAGAGAGAGAGAGAGAGAGAGAGAGAGAGAGAGAGAGAGAGAGAGAGAGAGAGAGAGAGAGAGAGAGCACCTATCTAGCCAGTACCTGCCCCATGTAGGTCTCGTTTTTTGGCTACTTGAGAAAAGCAATAAATCAACCTTATATTATATGGCATTTGAATCAAGACAGAGACATACACAAGAATATTATATTAACACTCTGCACTTTGGATCTGGAAAAAAAAAACAACCAACCAACCAAACAAACAAACATATCAAAATCTATGAGGCAGGTCATTCAAACTTTTCAAGCTTTTAAATTATACACAGTATGTATCGATAAGTATAAATGTCAAATTTCAAGACCTTATTAATATCAGAGACATATATAACACATATATACGTCTTTAGTAATATGCAAGTTAAACTGAGTGTCCATATATGGTCTGTAGCTCTGAGACGGCCTCCCCCTTCATAAATATCGGACTTGAGCAAGACGTCAACGTTGCTTTAATTTACAGATAACTAACATGTTGTGTAATTAAGTATGGCCTCGACAAAGTCAGAGAGACTATCTTAGTATAGCCCACACAATAGTGCAGAACCTTCTACACTGACGCAACATTTCTGAAACAGACTATAGATGGCTTCTCGATAGACAGCTTGCTGAACAATAACGGCTATAAATAGCACAGTCTTGTTTCCTAGTGTGTGCAAGTAGAGCTAGTTGTTAGTGTATGTGTGTGTAAAACTTAGTCGTATCAATAGTACGTGGCCATATTGTCAATATCATATGTTATGCTACATGTGGTAAACAGTCGAGGTACAACTGAATGGACCCGGCGATGACGGTGTACATGATGAACAACTACACACAAGAATCTGACAACCATTCACAGCAAGTCACCAACGACGACGACCGTAGTCTATACAAGGCAGCACAGCGGTTGGCTCTGCCAGACATTGGATTGATATGTGGCCCTCATATTCAAAAACTCATCAACACCAATGCGGCTGCTATCGGATGTCCTGACGATCACATCTTTCTCCCCTTCCTCACGTGCTGTGCAGGTAATTATTAGCATGATATAGAGTCGGATTTAACACAAGCCACATATGTACATTGTGATTATGTCATAATATATGTATATATCTAGATTTACCTGGCGATGTATATAGAAACTTTGGGGGAAATAAAAACATAACACGAGAAACGTACGTAGTTCCGGCTATCCTAATCATACAGAGGCCCTAACATATATATATATATATATATTGATAACAAAGAAGGAAAAAACGGACATTACTAAATACTTCTTGGCTACCATTGGACAATAAAACATGTACAGCTGTACTAGTACATGACTACTTACGCTATCACGTAAGTTCCGACGCCTCTCAGCTCCGCAGGAAATAGATGTAATGAAAATGCTAAAACAAGGCCTTACGACTTTACATATACTTTGTCATATATAGAGACAGCATTACAGATTACGCCTACAACAGTTGAAATTATGCTTTGTCGTAGAGCTGCAGTTACGAATATTTTTTTAAGTAGGGAGTATATATATATATACATGTATACAAACATGAATATATATCAACATACATGTATATACATACATTACTTACCATTTTACTCAATAATCAATAACGTTCCTGCCCCCGGACTTGAACCTGTAAAAATACCGTATTTGGTACAGTCAGTGCTATAAAATATAAGATAGGGTTCATACCTCGTTGACCGGGAGAGAGCTGTTTGGTCACAGAGAGATGGACTTTGGTCATCTGAATAGGAAACATACATTGAAGATTCTTTCTTCCTAACCTCTTGAATTACAGTGTTTGCCGTATCGCACTCTGTTTTCCCACAGTTCCTGTCCTTCGTTTCACTCTGCCAGCTTACCTTGATCTACTTATCGCAATATTGATTATCGATCGCGATCGAAGTATTGATAATTTAGACATCAGTATGCATTGTTATGTGTATTTAAGCATTAGATTACATTTACAATCAACGTGCATGTTTTTGTATTATACTGAAAAAAACACAACTTAAGATAAGTTTTGTTCATTTTGCCGCCATTGTTAGTCATCAAGTGGAAACCTATCTTGATAATTAACCCTTCACGTTTCTATATCCAAAATGATGAAGTTGTGACGTGCTGTCATAAATTGTTCCATAATCACACATTTTTCTGGTAGCATTGTCATGAAAATGTAAATAATCAATCTTATTGGTGTTGTTCATCTACCATATAATGGAATAAACTAAATTCCATAGAAAACAGATCAGTTCTGTATTTCTGTTTCTCTTGCAGCGTTGATGGGAAACAAGACGTGTATTAAAGTGAACGAGACATGGAATGAACCACCAATTTTATGGACCATGGTTGGGGCCGGCTCAGGATCCAAGAAGACGGCGGCCCTGAAGCTGATCATGGCGCCTCTGATAGAAATCCAACGGGAACAGAATCGCCAGTGGCAACTCTCCCGCCCTACCCCGTCTAATTATCCTAGTAGATCGTCAGCCCCTCAGATTCTAGCAGGAGCAATTGACATGCAGTCATTGGATGAAGTTCTGAACAAAAATGACGGCCAAATATTAAGTATTGTAGACAATTTGAAATGCTTACATAAATGTCTAGATATTGATTCTGAATGGTCACAGACGAAGGTGTTTGATCTCTATGACGGTGTGCCGAAATTCCAGGTTTGTTCGGGCGAAGTAAGCCTCCTGGAATCAACTTGTTTCAACCATACTGGCTTTGTGTCACCTGATTATGTTCTGAATATGTTCAGTAACAAGCTGATCGGGATGTCAAGTAGATGTTTAGTCTCATGTTCGCCAGACCATGAACTCCCGTCGATTTCGAGCTCACATCCTTTACCACTAGATACCCCTTCCTTCAAAGCGGTGTTTCAGACTCTACACACTTACCATTCACAACCAAGAAAGTACTCGTTCTCGACCGAGGCATGGAAGGAGTTGGCTCATTGCCATGACAACGAGTGGAGAAGCATGATGTCTCAATTAGATCTTGACCAGGACAAAAGGACAGTTATTGAGAAATCTTTAGGTCAAATAGTACGCCTTTCAGGTGTTCTCAAGGCTCTTGTGAATGCCTTTAGATTTTCTAAGCAACTTTCCGAGAACAAAGCGTTCCAATGGGATCTCACAATAGACAGGGACACGTTATGTCGGGCCATTGATCTGTGTAAGTACTTTGTTGACCAGAAACTCACGTTGATGCTCGGCTCCGGGGCTAGTTATGGTATGTGTAGTTATTCAGGAAGCAGTGGTAAAAGGGGAGTTAATGTGAAAGATGCTCTCCGTCAGCTTCAGCAACCGAAAGTACTCCATCAACAACTCAATCATGGTCAGCAACAACATATGCTTCTTCAGCAGCAACAACAACATCATCATCAACAGCAGCAGCAGCAACAGCAACAACAACAGCAGCAGCAGCAACAACAACAACAACAACAGAGATTACACCATTCAAACCAGATTATGAACTTGTCGGAAAACTCAAATTCGTCTGCGCCAGCACCTGAGGACTGGGTCGACCAGTCGCTCATTGATGAAGGGCAGGAGGAAACACAGACAGCTGATTTTGTCGTCATGGATAAACAGATGTTTGTATCAGTACACGCAAAACGAATCAAACGACTTTTAGAATGTTTCGATGACGGGAATGGTGTATCGGCCACAACCGCTTCGCAGAAATCCATTACTCCTCCCGTCAAAGTCCAAGGCACCAACAATCGTCACCCTGTATGGGCCTCCGCACTCTTCTTCCAGAAGTGTCAGGAACTGGGACTTGGTAGTGCTGAACAAGTGAAGCACCCAACGAACAGAAAATTTTATTGGCGTTTCAAAAGGAAGCCTATATCAGACATTGACGAAAAACTACAACAGCTGATAACATTCCTCCGTGTAGATATGACCTTATATTGTAAAATAGGCCCTCGGCCTCCCACAATTCCTCCCGTGTCCCCAATAATGCTCTTTCATACACCGATAGACGTTTCCGTTGACTACTCAGAGTGTCAAACTACTGACAATACCAGTGGTACGGACGCAACAAACGAACCTATGGAATCATTGCAAGACGAAATACAAATCGTGGTGAAGGATGAACCATTGTAGAGATTTTCGCTTGCATAATTGATACATTTTCATATCAGACAGTGCCATGATTCACACGCTGTTGAAAGAAATCAGATCATAAAACCAGTAAGTCATATTAAGGTTATGGAACGTTAATTTTGGCTAGAATTTTATTGTGGTTTTCAAACAATTAAACGTTTAGTTGATCACAACCTTTTGATTCGACGATTTTTTAACGGAACCGCCTCAGTGTCTTACTGTCATTTTTAAACGAATAAAATTCATTATCACTTACCACGATTTACCTTGTGCATTCTGCCATCTAAACCGGAAGTCAAAACACTGATTGTAGGTGTCGCAGTTCAGGGATATCTGTTATATACGAAATTAATCGCACTTCAAACGTTAACGTAGTACAAATGTAATTTTATATGTCACCACAGAACACAATACATCATGTCAATTGTACGCTGTCATATCAAAAATAGGGATCACCACAGTACACAATACATCCTGTCAGTTATACGTTGTCACTTCAAACAGGTCACTACATGCACAGCACGCAATTATTTCTGCGACTTGAAACTAATGTCGCCACCCTTTTTACATTTCACATGGAAGTCACCATAGTATACAAAATTTTCTTGTCACTTGTTATTTATGGAATGTCAATATTTAGACACCTCGAGGATGGTCCAATAGGTTAAACAATGATGTGAATATTTCGACACCTCGAGGATTAGCCAATATGTTAAACAATGATGTGAATATTAAGACACCTCGAGGATGGGCCAATATGTTAAACAATGATGTGAATATTTAGACACCTCAAGGATGGGCCAATATGTTAAACAATGATGTGAATATTAAGACACCTCGAGGATGGGCCAATATGTTAAATAATGATGTGAATATTTAGACACCTCGAGGATGGGCCAATATGTTAAACAATGATGTGAATATTTAGACACCTCAAGGATGGGCCAATATGTTAAAACAATGATGTGAATATTTAGACACCTCGAGGATGGTCCAATAGGTTAAACAATGATGTGAATATTTAGACACCTCGAGGATGGTCAAATAGGTTAAACAATGATGTGAATATTTAGACACCTCGAGGATGGGGCAATATGTTAAACAATGATGTGAATATTTAGACACCTCGAGGATGGGGCAATATGTTAAACAATGATGTGAATATTTAGACACCTCCAGGATGGGGCAATATGTTAAACAATGATGTGAATATTTAGACACCTCGAGGATGGGGCAATATGTTGAACAATGATGTGAATATTTAGACACCTCGAGGATGGTCAAATAGGTTAAACAATGATGTGAATATTTAGACACCTCGAGGATGGGGCAATATGTTAAAACAATGATGTGAATATTTAGACACCTCGAGGATGGTCCAATAGGTTAAACAATGATGTGAATATTTAGACACCTCGAGGATGGTCCAATAGGTTAAACAATGATGTGAATATTTAGACACCTCGAGGATGGTCCAATAGGTTAAACAATGATGTGAATATTTCGACACCTCGAGGATGGTCAAATAGGTTAAACAATGATGTGAATATTTCGACACCTCGAGGATGGGCCAATATGTTAAACAATGATGTAAATAGAGAGATCAAGTAGATTGTTTTGTTTATCAGGTGAATCTTTTGAATTCAATTTTGATAATCATTAATATTTTAAAATAAATTCGTACCTGATTGATATGTGTTAAATGCATGTTCCTGTTGATATTTGGTGCGATAGGAACATCAAAGCGATATAAATTAATAATTGAATATTAATTTTATTCAGTTTTCGAGTTATCCATCTTATTGAATTGGAAAATTCATTCAAATCAACGTTAAATATTCAAATTTATCAATAATTGAATATTAATGAACATTTATTTTTAATGCCATTAATACTGGAACGAGCCGTCCGCAAGGAGGTGTATATCAATCATTACCTATATTTACCTTATACGGAGCAGATAATTACCGAAAAATTATCTCTCCCCCGCCTCCCCTTTCCTCTTCATAGGTGTATGGTGTACGTAACACGTAACCAGTTTCACTGGAAGTCGCTATGTTTTTTCAGTGATTAACCCAATATGAGAATGTCCTTTTGCGCTTATCACCGCTACCGGCCTTATCAATATGTTCTGTTACGAAGCTTTTGTGTACTAGTATCTATCGATCATTCTGAACCAGTCCGATATTTGTTCCGACTGAAAATCCATCACACCATTACCTGTACAAATATATGGATCGGTTATAAACATCAATTAGTGCTTCGATAAAAACATAAATTGTACCTTTGAGTAGATAACCAGAGCGCATGCGAACTATTCCATCTGGAAACTGTTTCATATTATATCCATAATTTTATTTAGCAAATGATGAATTCATACAACGAAGCCATAGTTCAAGCTCTCAGTTACGTATCAGCTTTAATTTGAATTCTGATATGTGTTTGTACATGTGTACTTCCGGTGTGTGCAATCAATTTTCCTACCAATGTTTGCGTGTTCATTATTTGCTAATTGTATAGTGTTGAATGTCAATACAATGATGAATATGGTTTAGAATTATTTCAATACATCAGGTGTTTTAGACGAACTCATACGGACGGAGTTTCCCGACAGAACAGCAAGAATGTAATTTTACAATCAGGCTTAAATGTGATTAGCTGACGCTGTCGGTGATTCGTGAATGCCTATATTGTAAAAATCATCGGTGATATTTCATGCACCAAAGACCAGTTTGTGTACGAGCTAACTACAGCGTGATGGAGATGTGATTGGTCTTATTTGAAAAGAGATTACGTGTTCGGATATCTGTGCTTATTAACAAGCATTTGTTTATACGATACTGAAAAACGTCATGGCTGGAAGACAGGAAGGAAAAAGAGCGCTGTCCAGTCTTTTAAAAAACACTCGGTGTTATTTATGTCGGAATGATTTCACTGATCCTCGTGAACTGAACTGTTATCACGTCTTTTGTAAGTCCTGTCTGGACGGTTACATAAACACTGTCTGTCCTGAAGGGACTATAGAGTGTCCGCTGTGTGACGAGGCAACTCCCACACCACGGCGAGGGGCTGAAGGCCTCAAGAAAAATCTCTATCTCAATTTGTCCACTATTTCTGTGGGAATCATTTGTGATGTATGTAACAACGATCAAAACGCGATCGGAAGATGTATAGAATGCAGTCAAGATTTATGCGAATCTTGCTTCAATTATCATAACAACATCCGGTCTACCCGTGAACACCACGTTGCAACGATTGACAAGGATCACCTACAAGGAAAGCTGACACGTGATGTATACTGTGAAATACACGTGAATGAAAAAAATATGTATTACTGTATCGACTGTGAAAAACTTGTTTGTCAACACTGCAATATGACCAAACACAAACTTCATTTATGCCGAGTTGTTACGGAAATGTCCGACAATTTCCGAGAACAACTGACGGACCTGGTAGAATCTGAAGAATTTGCTAATCACTTGTTCTGGATGACTGATAGGAAAACCGAAACAGTTCAACACATCAAGAAACTCGAGGGCTTAGAAGAAGTAGCAGCAAGGGAGATAATTAACCACGCCAAAGTATGGCACGAGCTGATAGAGGACATGAAGAAATTTATGTTGAAGCGAGCCCGAGAAGAAGCGAGAAAGGGAATAAGTCCTGCAAAAAATATTGGTAAGAAATTGGAAAACAATATGCAGTCTTACGCAAATTTATACCTTGTGGCTCGTGCAGCTGTGAAACAATCTGATGATGTGGAGATTGTGGAAAGCGGTCTGAAGTTGCAGAGAAAGCTGAGAAGTTTAAGGATAGAAGGGCCAGTCCGGACTTTATCGAAAAATTCAGGTATTCAATTTTCTCCCAAGGTAATGTCTTTGGAAGAATTCAATCCTATGTTTGGTCTTGTCGGACCTACAGTTCAACTTGACTCAAATTCCCGTTTGATATCCGCATTTTGTATAAAGACGGCCGGGGCACCTGTTTCTTCTATCTCGTACGCCACAGACGGTCGTTCGTGGATCATAGAAGGAATAGATGGCCTGATTCAGTTGTACGACAATAGAGGCAGAGTCCATCAAACAATTAACCTGGGATTACCAGCGGATGATATAATCTGCGAGCCGGACAACAAGAAATATGTGTCATGCAACTCCGCCAAACAGGTTGTGACATTGGATGAGAATTTGCAAATGTCTGTTGTGACTAAAACGGATTTGTGTACCAGAGGCATTGCGTATGATCGACAACAAGGCGCACTTGTCATCTGTTTAACTGAGAAGAATGCTTTCTACGACTATGAACATCACCATAAAAACAGAATAGTGAAAACGATTGTGAACGGGGAAAAGAGAATGGAAACGCCGGACATCCTGTCTTTCGCTGCGTCACCTTTGGTCGAGTATCCGGCGCGTCTGACGGCTACAAAATCAGGATTTATTGCAATTTCAGATTGGAAGAGGAACTGCGTGACGATCTTAGATGCCACAGGGCACGTGGAAACGGAGTATTTTATTCTAAGCAAGGGTGCAAACTCGGAAGGCTTTTGTCCGAGAGGTATATGCTGCGATAACGATGGTAGGATTCTAGTGGCAGATTTTAACAACCATAGAATCATGCTTCTGGACGAAACAGGTCAAACATTCTTGGCAATACTGACAAAGGAGGATGGAATCCATCACCCATGGTCAGTTAGTTGTGGCAACGATGGACTTGTTTGGATTGGTAATAAACATGGTGAAGTGAAAATTTACCACATAAACTTCGCGGAAAGCACCAAGTAACGCCATCAACGAACACCGTCGGACCTTGATAGTCTTTGTATGCTATATGAAAATGGATTTGATAAGGAATTAACGTTAGTGTGTATAGACTGGACTTTCATATCTCTTCGCAAAGAAGTTTCGAAAAGCACAGCCTAGCGAACAGAAATTTTACTAAGGAAAGTAGTCATAAAACCATTTCACTAGCTGAGCTTACTCCGACTTGTCAGCTTCTGACTTTCAACTGGCCGCTGACTTGATCATATCAATCGTCGCCATTGATTCGATGTTGCTTCACGTGCCTTTTTACTTAAATAAATTCCAGGAATGATGCTGAAGAGCATTTCATGACACACAACCGATAAGCTCTTTGCGTGTAAATTAATTGTCCGAGCATGGAACCCTGTACTGTAGATGTGGTTCTTTCCTGAACCAACTAGAAATATACATTCTCCACTACTAGACTTAAAGTACAGAGAGGCCGCACGATAAACATTAGAATATTGATGACTGTGGTGTAACTGAACAAAACGGAACTAAATCATTATTATCATGGTGACATGTTGGATACTAGCAGCTTCAACTGTATGTTTACTCTACAGTAGAATCAATAATTTTCGAGGGGGTTTATTTTCGTTTGAAGTTTGATGTTCATGAAAAGATCAACAGGTCAAAGCATTGTACAGCATTACTTCATATTGTGATCAAACTTTATCTCCAATATAATATCAACGAAAATGAATTCCACAAAAAGCCACAAGAAGATATACAATTTTACACTATGACAAAACGTATTTGGACATGTTCCTTCATAAGCTTTGGCTAGGATCAGCTACGCGTAGATTTTATTTAGGATCAGTTACATGTTGATTTTATTTAGGATCAGTAACATGTAGATTTTATTTAGGATTAGTAACATGAAGATTTTATCTAGGATTAGTAACATGAACATTTTATCTATATAGTACTAATTACTCTAATGAAAAAAAAAAACGATTATAATTGATAAATGATACAGTAGGGAAAAATTTGTTATCATAGCCAACTACTTAATGTGTCTGTAGTACGGTATGTTATCATGGCCAACTACTTAATGTGTCTGTAGTATGGTATGTTATCATGGCCAACTACTTAATGTGTCTGTAGTACGGTATGTTATCATTGCCAACTACTTAATGTGTTTGTAGTACGGTATGTTATCATTGCTTACCACTTAATGTGTCTGTAGTACGGTGTGTTATCATGGCCAACTACTTAATGTGTCTGTAATATGGTAGGTTATCATGGCCAAATACTTAATGTGTCTGTAGTACGGTATGTTATCATTGCAAACTACTTAATGTGTCTGTAGTACGGTATGTTATCATGGCCAACTACTTAATGTGTCTGTAATATGGTATATTATCATTGCCAACTACTTAACGTGTCTGTAGTACAGTATGTTATCATGGCCAACTACTTAATGTGTCTGTAATATGGTATGTTATCATTTCCAACTACTTCGTGTTTGTAGTACAATGTTATCATTTCCAACTAATTAATGTGTCTGTAGTACGGTATGTTATCATGGCCAACTACTTAATGTGTCTGTAATATGGTATGTTATCATTTCCAACTACTTTGTGTTTGTAGTACAATGTTATTGCCAACTACTTAATGTGTCTGTAGTACGGTATGTCATCATGGCCAACTACTTAATGTGTCTGTAGTACGGTATGTTATCATGGCCAACTACTTAATGTGTCTGTAATATGGTATGTTATCATTTCCAACTACTTTGTGTTTGTAGTACAATGTTATTGCCAACTACTTAATGTGTCTGTAGTACGGTATGTCATCATGGCCAACTACTTAATGTGTCTGTAGTACGGTATGTTATCATGGCCAACTACTTAATGTGTCTGTAGTACGGTATATTATCATGGCCAACTACTTAATGTGTCTGTAGTACGGTATATTATCATGGCCAACTACTTAATGTGTCTGTAGTACGGTATGTTATCATTGCCAACTACTTAATGTATCTGTAATATGGTAGGTTATCATGGCCAAATACTTAATGTGTCTGTAGTACAGTATGTTATCATGGCCAACTACTTAATGTGTCTGTAGTACGGTATGTTATCATGGCCAACTACTTAATGTGTCTGTAATATGGTATATTATCATTGCCAACTACTTAACGTGTCTGTAGTACAGTATGTTATCATGGCCAACTACTTAATGTGTCTGTAATATGGTATGTTATCATTTCCAACTACTTCGTGTTTGTAGTACAATGTTATTATTTCCAACTACTTAATGTGTCTGTAGTACGGTATGTTATCATGGCCAACTACTTAATGTGTCTGTAATATGGTATGTTATCATTTCCAACTACTTCGTGTTTGTAGTACAATGTTATCATTTCCAACTACTTAATGTGTCTGTAGTACGGTATGTTATCATGGCCAACTACTTAATGTGTCTGTAATATGGTATGTTATCATTTCCAACTACTTTGTGTTTGTAGTACAATGTTATTGCCAACTACTTAATGTGTCTGTAGTACGGTATGTCATCATGGCCAACTACTTAATGTGTCTGTAGTACGGTATGTTATCATGGCCAACTACTTAATGTGTCTGTAGTACGGTATGTTATCATTGCCAACTACTTAACGTGTCTGTAATATGGTATGTTATCATGGCCAACTACATAACATGTCTGTAGTACGGTATGTTATCATGGCCAACTACTTAACGTGTCTGTAATATGGTATGTTATCATGGCCAACTACTATGTGTTTGTAGTACGGTATGTTATCATGGCCAACTACTATGTGTTTGTAGTACGGTATGTTATCATTGCCAACTACTATGTGTTTGTAGTACGGTATGTTATCATGGCCAACTACTTAATGTGTCTGTAGTATGGTATGTTATCATGGCCAACTACATAACATGTCTGTAGTACGGTATGTTATCATGGCCAACTACTTAACGTGTCTGTAATATGGTATGTTATCATGGCCAACTACTATGTGTTTGTAGTATGGTATGTTATCATGGCCAACTACTATGTGTTTGTAGTATGGTATGTTATCATGGCCAACTACTATGTGTTTGTAGTATGGTATGTTATCATGGCCAACTACTATGTGTTTGTAGTATGGTATGTTATCATGGCCAACTACTATGTGTTTGTAGTATGGTATGTTATCATGGCCAACTACTATGTGTTTGTAGTCGGTGGTCAGTAAACAATGTGTTGTTAGTTTGAAGTAATTGATTATCTATATCCTCATATTGATAAGGATATTAATTTATCATTAAATCATTATTAATTACATAGTGGGTGATCAATCTTGATATCCTTTAATTAAGAGGATGAACATTATCTAAGTGTTGATAATATAGATGTCAAATAACTGCTTGTATCTTGTTCTATATCTAGGTGATCATAATGGAGGAGTAGTGTTTCAACTATGTGCATGATTTCAGTCTAATGCTTGGTAACAGAGACTGTCATTAATATGTAACAATAATCCCAGGTGGTTGGCTTTCAATGGATGCTATACATGATAATAAATCTCCTATCCAACACATGCTACATGTACTGATATCACACCTGAAAATCAATAATAACAATTGGTGACATCATTCAATATTTGAATGTTAGTGGATCATTCATAACTGAAATCCTTGTCGACATATTTCCAATTTGAGGAGTTCATTTCACCGCTATGTTACCTCTGAATTTTCATTTTAACCATATGTAATTAATATGCTATTTTTTAATCTATTTTAATATTTATTATTCATTTGTATTTTTATTTGTGAATGGAGTGTTAATATGGAGGCTTAATATCATACCCTGGACCTTTACATTATGAGACGAAGTTGTTTAAGATTACAACACATTTGACCCCTTCGACCTTGAAAGTGTGTCATTTTAAAAAACTTGGTAGCCCTTTATCCCAGCATGCTACATGCCCATCATCAACACGCCTTTTGTTTATTAAGAAGTCGAAAATGTCAATTGTTCAACCACTTACGCACAGCGGACGTCTCAGGTGACCTAAAAATGAAGAAGTTTATATTCTAAAAGTGTTTGTCACCTACATATACCCCAAACTATGAAGTTATACTGTTTAATTGGCAATATGACAACTCTTCAAAAAAATAGCGATATGAGTTCTCCAACATTTGAATTTGTGAATGCATATTACATATTCAACTCAGTGATATCATCAACTTGATATTAAGGACAGATACCACACCAAAATGGATTTGATTGCAAACGTTTGAAGCACATTCAGCATACCTACAGACTCCACCTTAGTTACAGATATCTGTGAGTCTATCCTAAAGGTATGGAACAGATGGTAGATAAATAGATATCTGTAAGTCTATCCTAAAGGTATGGAACAGATGGTAGATAAATAGATATCTGTAAGTCTATCCTAAAGGTATGGAACAGATGGTAGATAAATAGATATATGTAAGTCTATCCTAAAGGTATGGTAGATAAATAGATATCTGTAAGCCTATCCTAAAGGTATGGTAGATAAATAGATATCTGTAAGTCTATCCTAAAGGTATGGTAGATAAATAGATATCTGTAAGTCTATCCTAAAGGTATGGTAGATAAATAGATATCTGTAAGTCTATCCTAAACAGGTATGGATATCAGATGGTAGATAAAGGTATGGATAGATGGTAGATAATAGATATCTGTAAGTCTATCCTAAAAGGTATGGTAGATAAATAGATATCTGTAAGTCTATCCTAAAGGTATGGTAGATAAATAGATATCTGTAAGTCTATCCTAAAGGTATGGTAGATAAACAGATATCTGTAAGTCTATCCCACAGGTATGGAACAGATGGTAGATAAATAGATATCTGTCAGTCTATCCTAAAGGTATGGTAGATAAATAGATATCTGTAAGTCTATCCTAAAGGTATGGATCAGATGGTAGATAAAGAGATATCTGTAAGTCTATCCTAAAGGTATGGAACAGATGGTAGATAAATAGATATCTGTAAGTCTATCCTAAAGGTATGGTAGATAAATAGATATCTGTAAGCCTATCCTAAAGGTATGGTAGATAAATAGATATCTGTAAGTCTATCCTAAAGGTATGGTAGATAAATAGATATCTGTAAGCCTATCCTAAAGGTATGGATCAGATGGTAGATAACTAGATATCTGTAAGTCTATCCTAAAAGTATGGTAGATAAATAGATATCTGTAAGTCTTTCCTAAAGGTATGGTAGATAAATAGATATCTGTAAGTCTATCCTGAAGGTATGGTAGATAAACAGATATCTGTAAGTCTATCCTAAAAGTATGGTAGATAAATAGATATCTGTAAGTCTATCCTAAAGGTATGGAACAGATGGTAGATAAATAGGATCTTAAATGAATTTCCAATTCATTTTGAAATGTCATGGAGCAAGTCTCTGAAGTATTTATTTTCACAAGCAAAAATTCTAATTTTGAGACTAGTTTAATAAAATATGGATGACAAATCTAATAGAGGCTGTCATTTTGTTGCACAAAACATCATTTCCCTTATCATGACATCACAATATATGAATATAAGTACAGTTTATTCAATTTGTGCACTTGTAGGAGAAAGAGTAAGGCCAGATTATATATGATCAAGGCAACTTGTTTAGAACTATCTAGATGTAGCCATGTAAAAGCCCACGGTTAACATATCATACAGAGGGCCTTGGGAGTAGATGAAACGGCTGATTTCAGGTTTCAAAATGTTTTCTTATTGAATTGCATTTGATGGCAAAAATCTCAATGAAAAAAAAATAAAACAAAAACAAAAGGAGAAAAAAACCCAAAAAAACCCAAGTCTAATCCCAATTTAACTGAAATCACCAATACAGAATATACCCAGTGACCATAGCTTAGAAATATATGTTAACTTTACTTATTTTTCCACAGTTGCAAAACAAATTATCAGCTTGAATTAATCATTCTTGTTGGCCTGTATGGATGTGTGCATTGGGTCTTATTGTAGGAGGAAACCAGGGTACCCCGGGAAAACCCATGTGACCCCATACCTTTTCACATCTGTTCCAGAAGACAAACTCCGGATGGCTAGGTGAAAGGTGGGTGCATAACTACTGTGCCACCCTACCATAGCCTAACTCCAATGAAATTTTGATCTTCAGTAATCCTATATAATCTTGCTCAAACGTAGCAAGTGTAATGGTATCCTAACTCCAGTATAACCTATGTAACTAGAGGATTAACCAACCTTAACTTCCATAACCATATAACCAACCACAATCTAACTTCATTGTCATAAGCCAATCCAAAGACTTCGACAAATGTTTTGTAAGTAAAAAAGTATGGACCTCTTATTAACAAAAAACTCATGCTTTTGACTTGCTTATACTCCATTACCAACAAGAGGCCGAAGGGCCTTAATGGTCACCTAAGTCACAATGCTTCTTGTAGCACATCATAGAAATTATTTTTTAACTATATTGTACACATAATGCAAATATAAATTGTGTATATATTAACTGCTGTCCCATGCTAAAGCTTCTAATCAAGTTTGAATTAAAAGACATTATACTCAATATTTGAATTTTCCCATATTTACAGTATTTGTTAATGAGATTTGCACATAAGGGGTGTCTGTCAGCATATCAGTTATCTCCCGTGGACCTGATGGGATATAACCGAGAGCTATGATCCCCATTGTGATGAAGAGTATAATGCTGAAAAGCTATGGCCAACAACCTTTGGTAAACATGACTTATCTTCCATCCAGGAACAGTACAACATCTTTGAAATTTCAGTGAATTTGACGCTTTTGGCTCCCGCCCATCAGTCCCTGGTAATCAGTCAAGGTCAATATGTGCATGTCATCAAACTGTCAACTTATACTAATTCTAATATAAACATTTTTTAAACAACTAACCAAGCCTGAACATTTTCTGAAATTATGCTCAAGAACGTAATTTTCCTATGCAAAATGTCGTAAATTTTACCCCTCCCAAAAGGGGTAATATCAAACCCTGTGGTCATGGAATTTACAATTTTTATAAAGCACCATAAGAAACTTCCATCCATGAAGAGTATTTAGTTCTACAATATCTAGGTATTGAGATGAAGATTTTTGAAATTTCTGTCTAATTTGACAAACAGCCACTAGGGGTCATCCGAGGTCAATATTTGCATCAATTCAATAAAAATAATCAAATAACACAGAAAATGTAAATTTACTATATCAACTATAGTAAATTTTACCCCCTCCCCTTGGGTCATGAAATTTACAATATTGGTAAACCATGTGAAGGCCTTTTCATCCATGAAGATTGCTTAACTCTACTTGGGATTTGAGATTTTTGAAGTCCTGAAGTGTCTTTAGCCATGGAGAAAAATCATTGAAATCGGTTCAGGAGTTTTCCTGAAGTCAAAAATGTTAAAAGCTTATGATGCATGATGCACAACACCGGACAAAAGGGGATCACAATAGGTCACCCTGAGACAAATTATACATTGCAAGCCTTTCCTGCATGTAAAAAGCCTCCCATTTATTTATCATAGGATGGTTAACTTGTACAATAAATGTGTGCACTGATTGACCTCATGATTGTTAACGTGTACTATGACCATGCCCACAAAATTACATTATGACAGTTAACCTGCACCGTAACTCTGCCAACTGACTTAAATCATTATTGTGGGTTTAGTTTAGTATTCTTATTGCTTTCCATCCTATTCACAGCCACGGTCATTTTAGGACATGCCCGGCAGGCTGAATCTCTGGAGAAAAACCACTGACCTGTGGCCAGTATCTGGCAACTGCTCAATTATTATTGTTGTTATCACTATTGTAGGTCCCGAACCCTGACCCATCACCATTACTATTGATACACATACACTGAAAAGCAGCAAGACGAAAATATATAAGTTGAATTTTGCAAAAAAGGTTTTGGTAAAAACATTATCTACTTCTCTTATTGATCATTATACAGGGAAAAACATTTATTGAAAAGAGGTTACTTCCCTTCATCAATATTTCAAATGACTGCAAGAAATTCAATCAAAATATTTTCTCAATGAAACAAATGAAGATTCTGAATGCTATTGGAGATTTTGCAAATTATACAAATGTATTTCATCAGAATCACATTTGATCCAATTACTGTCAATGAATAAGTGTTTAGTCAGAAACACATGATTTTGGTCATGTATATAATAAACTTTATTTACTTTCATACTTTACTTCAGTCATTGTACACTGCACATGCTCACTAACTTTCAGTGTAATTATATGTTACACAAACAAGTCATGTTACACAAACCAAATTCTGCAGTTTCAGGGCTGATTTTTACCCCCTTTCAAATCACTTCATAGATTAATAATGCTGAATATGACACTGCAGACAGACAGACAGATAGATTGACAGATAGATGGACAAACAGACAGGTGCATAAATTTGGACCCAATGAAAATAAAACAGCCAATTTTAGAAATACATATTATTGTGAATCGTCTAATATTTATGAAAGAAGTGTAATACAAGTAAAAGTACTGTGTTCTCTGTAACCTACATACATCCAGTTTCCATACTGTTCTGTCATTACCTCCTACAGTATGAATTACATGTTGTATTAAGTCCTTCATTCCTAAGTTGGTTTTATGTGACGGCTTCTAACTAAGTACAAAATTTAAAATAATTCCTTAGGCTGGTTCAAAGTGAAGACGTCATCTAGGGAAGATAAAAATTCCAGCATTGCCTTGTTTGGGTTGTTTGTTAAGTTATAACAACATACCCCCTTAATTTAAGTGAAGATTTCATCTAGGGGAGATAAAAAGTTCAACATTGCCCCCTTGTCTGGGTTGTTTGTTAAGATATGACAACATACTTCCTTAATCTAAGTGAAGACTTCATTTAGGGGAGATAAAAAGTCCAACACTGCTTTGTTTGGGTTTCTTATTAAGTTGTTACGACATATCAATCCATGCTTTCATTCTCTATTTCTGTTTCTGAAGATGAGATTTCATCATCATCATCTACAAGTTCATCCCTAGGTACAAAGTCCTCTATCGTTTGTGTTGGTTCAATATGAGAGATAGTTGGCTTTAAGTTGTAGCCTCGATCTGGTGTGCCCAATAATAGGAACTTAAGAAGAGTTTGAAGTACATTGTCATTGAATCCTACGATATTGCCATCCTTCACTCCCTCAAACATATCCATCTCTGTATGCCAAAACAGATTGCAGATAGGATTGCTTTCGTCGGTCTTCCAGAGGTGCAGTGTGTTCAGTTGGTAGGCACCAAACAAAAACTTCCTGCCATCTGTGACAATGGTCTGTGATGTTAAAGGATATGTCATATCATGGTAAGTACTGAACCCTGAAACCAGCGAGAGAAAATGTCATTACCACAAACTTACAGAAATATATAGCATTTTTTAACTGAATGTGCTTTTAAACTGGAGCTTTAGTGTTCTGTTTTTTATTTCAAGTGTACACAGTAAGCTTTTCAATTCATATCAATGCTGTCAGGCTAATCTTAAAATATTCTCTATTTTAGAGGTGACTTTTTGGGATAAACAAACTATCATGATAGTATTTTGGTAGTAAAATTACTATTGTAATATTATTACAATAGTCAAGTGACTATTGTAATAATATCATGAAAGGCTTTTTTTAAACCTCTAAAATATGTCAAAAATATGTTTTCTGACTCAGAAATAGCCTTAGTCACTATCTATTTAAATGTATCAGAATGCTTAATTTAGCAAATGCTAAAACTGAAAAAAATATTTACAGTTTTCATACAATGAACTAGGTTACACAGCGGTATTTGTTACACTTTATCATATTTTCATATTATTCATTCTATACATACGCGGTAATCTTGCTATTCTTCGATATTAGATGTGAAACTCAAGAACAGCTTGACTCAAAGCTATTATTTTCATATCATTTACATTAAATTTAGTATAATCCCTCTGTATTTCAAACTTGTTTTATGTTTTAAAAGGTGATTAATTAATTCAACAATCATATGTTTAATTTGTTTGACAATAAGTTTGACACCATATGTCTGTAGAATAAGTTTAGTAAAGGTAGGATAATAGAACTACATGTATTTATCAAATGAAGGTGCTGGTAATTTCACAAAAGTAGTTTAATAATTTACAAGACCTCAGAGTGAAGACCTAAGATTCTAGAAGCAACGTTCACAATAATACAAAACAATTGGATTCAATCATTCATCATAAATTTTCCTCAGTTGGGGTATAATTCAGGTTGGTGGGTCAATGCCAAACAAATGATATCTTAACAAATGAAGATCATTTTACCATTCCTTTGAGTGGAGGAAAAAAATATTGTGTACCTGACAGTCTTTACTTCAATAAAAGTAGAAATAATTTTGTTTCATACTTCAAGACGATATGTTTTGTAGCTGAATAATTTATGGAGTTCAAAATTTTCTCTTTATCAACCGAGATAAAGTCTATAATGGTGTCTTATCTTGGTAGCAATAAGTAGTCTTACCTGTTATTTTACCTTAACTATATAGTGGAATATTGTCTTAGCTAGATACAGACAGCATCTTACATTTGTATTGTCATGTTGTCTTATATCAGAAATGACAGAAGTGACTTACAAAAAATAAAAAATTGGAAATGATATGGTGTCTTATCTTTGGTATTCGCATGTTGTCTTATCTTAGAAATGATGTGGTGTCTTGCATTAGAAATAATATGGTGTCTTATCTTGGTATTCACATATTGTCTTATCTTAGAAATGATGTGGTGTCTTGCATTAGAAATAATATGGTGTCTTATCTTGGTATTCACATATTGTCTTATCTTAGAAATGATGTGGTGTCTTGTATTAGAAATGATATGGTGTCTTATCTTGGTAATGGCATGTTGTTTTATCTTAGAAATGACATGGTGATTTGCATTGGAAATAATATGGTGTCTTACCTGGCAGTTGACATGTTGTATTATCTTTGAAGTGACACGGTGTCTTATCTTGTAAATATTAGTGTGTCTTACCAAGATAGTGATACAGCAGTGTCTTATTTTGGAAGCGAGTCTGTATATAGCATTATATGATTTCTTACCTTGGTAGTGAGCCTGTGCTACAGTTGAAAGGAAGGATGAACTGAGAGCAAATCCTTGCCAGAGTTCTGGGATGATTTCAGGACTGGAACGGTATGCTGCAGCTGCTCTGTCTAACTTGTAGGAGTTCACAGTCTCAATTGACAAATACCCAAACTCACATGGAGAGCCAATGTTTACACCTGTAAAAGAGTCTTCTTTCACTTAAATCTGTATTGTGTAAATGTACAAAAGAATAATCAAATGAATCGAGGGTGAAGTGGTGCTTTGAGATCCTGACAATGTATATAGTGAACTGAATATAGGCAGAGTACATTAGCCAACACCCTTTCTAACTTTGCATAATAACAGATGACACAACACTTTATATCAATGATTCTCCCTTTTAAAACCAGGAAGCATTGTAATGATTCAGATTATATCTAATTCTGAAGTTGATGACCTTCATGACAATTCACAGCCAACAGTCAACCAATAGGGGCTTTATAACTTCCACCGCTTTCAACACAAAAGCAATGGTAAATAAAAATATTGAATAAATGAGTAACAACCATGTTGGTTTTGTTTTATTTATATAAAGAAATGTAAATGAATATAGCAGTTACGAAGTCATATTTTACTCCCAAGGCTTGAGAAGTAACAGTGTTTTACTCATTGGTTAAAAAATTACCCATTATTACAATAACTAAATTGTAAATGATTGCAAAGAAATAGTTAGACTGAAGCTGTCATTGATCTATTAGTTACTCACTAATGCATGGAACTCACCAGAAAATTTCTGACAGACATGACTGTTCTAGTTCCAATGCATAGTGCAATATCATTGTCTAATGAATTGGCTGAAGAATTCAAATGTGACCTTTGACCTTGACTGATGACCATCATGATATGGTATGGTGTAGAATTTGATCTTATAACACATGTATATATCATAGGGTAAATACAAACAAATCTATCAAGAAATTCTTGATAGGACTGCAAAGACATTACATTAGTTCACAATACCGTATGTATCATGGTATGCGGCTTACCATTCTGTATGTATCACAATACATGTGTATGTTCAAAAGTTCAACTTCATAATCATGCCATATATTTCAATACTAAATATTATCAAAAAAATTCTTTTTGTATGATTTCTGATATTTATGGGGTATGAAATGCACAGTGGACCAACCACATCTTTGCTGAATAATTAGAAAATATCAGTCTATTTCTTTTTGTGGGTATGATAAACCTGATTTAATCCGAAAGTACTTTTTACGAATCATGATGCAGATACACAAAACAAATTAATAGAATACACAAGAAAGCACTGTGATATGATACCAAACGTATGTATCATTGAAGCGCTAGTTCTCAAGATATAAATTGACATGGAATTTGACATGACAGGATAGTTTAACATGGGTAACACTGTATCTTCCTATATCAAATTGCATGGACATTAAATCGTATAAAAGAGTATTGAAGGACTTACCCGGTAAAAAGTGTGGTGTGCATTTCTCTTTGCATTGCCCCATTACTACAGGGTGATAAGGGCACTTTGGGTAATCCTGTCCAACGCAAGTCTCTGAATCTCGACCTACAAACTGCCAACACATAGAACTTTTAAACCTGACTTTATTCTACAACCACTGTACAAAAGGTGTACATGAAATAGACAAAGGGAAAACTTGGGTATTATTTCAAAAATGAGGTGGGCCATCCTATATAAATGTATATCTATGCAGCTCTCTATTACCCGGTTTCGGTGTGTAATTTTCAAACATCTACGGTTATTAATATTTTCTACCACAGTACAATGTATTTTGCCCAAATAATTTCATATACATATAGAAAGATTTATGCAATTTTCTACTGATATGATCAGGAAAGTATTGTACATATATCAAATATGTTTATTTCATGTGAATGACATTTTTGAAATGCAGGATTTTTTCTGTTGCTATCATAGGAAAATGTGCTGGGTTTAGCTATTCATCAACAGCTTTTGTGAAAGCTGTTTCCTATGAATTTATCTAATTTTGAACTTAGATTACACAAGGTAAATACTAGTATCTGACTCTTTGAATGATATTATTATTGAAATATTGTAAATATAAATATCAACCATAGTCTGATAAGAACACATAAGATATATGTAATGTAATTAAGTTTCAGGAGGATTATTAATTGTGTAGGAATAAGCATTTACTGGGGACATATTAACCAAGTCATTGGTACAAATGAGATGGAATAATCTGACAAGTTGTATGACAACTTTAGGAAGAGGTATTTACAAAATGTAGGAAAGCTATTTATCATGACATACATGACATACAACATGTTTAAGTATAACTGTATTAAACAGGTCACATGATATGTACAGTATTTACCACATCACATGATCTGCATGTGACTGAATATCAAAGCATTACTTACCTCTGGTAATGGCTGCATGGTCTTCAACTGAAAACTTGTCTTATATTCTCCCTGGAATTTCATCACTTTATTCTTACTTTTCTCTTTAAGTTTTTCAGCAACAAGCCCAGTTTCAGAATAACGATCCCAATATGCTTGTTGAAAAACGTCTTCCGAAAACTCTGATGTTAATAAGTGAGAATGAATACTGGACAAGTATGGCAGAATCTTCACAATCAAACTTTTTACCAACAGCTTTGAAATTTTTTCCTTGCTCATTCCAATAGGGTTGGCTAGATCTGATCTTCGTTTAACTCTTTCACATTCATTCAATATAATATCTTTAACAACTGGAGTTATAACTTCTAGTTCATTTTTTACATCAACATTGTCATATATACTAGGAAGTCCATCTATGGGAAGTGTCTTTGTCTTGTCAAACTGGTAGTTGAGCAGACGTGGCTCAAGACTTTTGCCGTCAAAGAACCATGCAAATCTTTGATCTCTTGATAACCACTTAGGGGCTCTCTGGATTTCTTTTATATGGTTGATACGCCCTTGTACTGATGGAATCGCCAACAACTCTTGTTCCCGCTCGTACATCTGCCACACATACTCTCGTTCCATTCCTGTCCAGTCACCTAAAATGTAGAAGTACTTGTTTTATTTTTCAATGACAAAGAGCATGAACTTACATACATACATACAAACATACATACAAAAATACATACAAAAAGATTGCAATTGTTTTGCTGAGTGAGTATGCTGGGGCTTCATTGCATAGAAACTCAGAATTCCGGAACATACATGTATACATCTGTCAAGTGGGAGAGCGAGAGAATGCTTCTACTAGGCAACCTGTTAAAATTTGGAAAACCTAGCTACTGTGGTAAGCGAAATAAAACTATAAATATTTCCTGTTTCCAATGACCCTAATATTTTCAGCCCACCCTAACTTTTTAAAGCAATTTAAAAAAGAAAAACCCAAGATCTCTCTCACAAATAAAAACCATATAAAACTTTTTTTTTTGGCCTACCAACCTTCCCAAAATTTTACAGTTGCAGGAAACTCATATATCTTTTGTTTGGCCTGATTAAGAAAAAATTGAAGCCTCATTGACCCCCCCACCCCCACCCCACACACACACACACAACTTCTGAAGTCATTGTGTTGTGTATTAAAATGCCATAACAAGTCAGGCTTTTTATTAATAACCCCCTCAAAAATGACATGTTTATTTACCATCACTGAGATAGGTAGCTAGGATATAAACTTTGTTTTTGGGGAAATTGAAAACGAAAAAGACAATGTCTAGTTTGTTTACAATTACATTTCAATAAATCAAATCATATACTATATATCTGATGGAAATGTATATACAAAGAGTAAAATAAAGCATGCTTCATTTAATTTTGTTGTAGAATGCAAGGAATGTACACTATTACCATAAACATGGTACAACAACAGTCCCCTTTATGAGGGATACGGTAGTTACTGCTTTGAGTATTCAGTTATTCACACTTGTACTCTAATGCTGGGTCATTTTTATAAAGAAACACATAAAGCTCTTTTAAAAATTAGCAACTCAAAAGGGTGTTATTCTTTAAATATGACCCAAAAGACAAATAGCTGACAATGTATATTTTTGCACAACAAATATATTAAATTCTATCACTTAACTTTGTGTTTTGATGACAACTTACATCAGAGACTTTATTTACCAATGACTATAGTGTAGAGCCAATGTTGCATTTAGTGCAAATGTCAATGATGAACTCTTTTTAGCTACACAAAACAGTTAAGTAATATAGAGACCTGTGATAAACAAAAAGTCAGACAATTGAATCATTCATACTTTGTGTAAAAATATCTAATGTTGCATTGGTTATTGGGCCTTGTCAAAGATATCCATTTTTTTTTGTTGCAAATGTTTAAAAGGACTTAACATATAGTTTGGAACATTTTCTTCACAATGTCAATATTATAGAAGTTCTTATAACATGATCAGTAGAAGATTAAAGTGTGATGTTTCAATGACTATACAGTCATCTTAATCAGACAAATGACCAGTGTGGAGTGTACTAGCACTGATGTACATAGTGTATGAGATGGTACGGAACCATTGCCGGTGCAATGCCATGACCAGGGTAAATCCTCCAAATTGTTTCTGACAGGCCTTTGATATAAGGGATGACAACTTGTCCTTTTGTTTTTTTTTCTTTTCCTTGGTGTTTCAGAGGATTTACTGTGGTCATGGTACTGCAGCAGCCTTGAAACCTCACAAGACACTTCGAAATATCCTAGTCCACTCTGATAACAAAAAATCCAAAGAACATGTCGCAGAATGTTCATACAGTATCAGATGCAAGAAATGTTACGCATCATATATCTGGGAAACAGGCACAACCCGTGTTCATCAATATCCATGAAAAACTAGACAACAGCTAAATTGAAACCCAAGATCAGGAAAGCACATATTAAAGTATCACTAATATTCAGTAACAGCGTGGGCATTTGAATGTGGCGTTGAAAACAATCCACGCAAAAATCTAATGTGCACCTAATATCTATATTCTATTTTCTGCAGGGAATCGTAGACAGGGCTGTGTTTTTCATTTTGGGAGTTTTCATTTCATATACATGGAGTTGTAAACCTGTAAACAATCAGTGACAGTTGCATTTGTGAACAAACTGAGCTACATGTATATTATATGCGTGTTAATCACCTGGAGGGTATTTTCCCTTAACCGGTGGATAGTGCACTTCATCATCTTGAATTTGTACTGCACTTGAAGAAAAACATCGTTCAGTGGACTTTCTATGGCGCAAAACTCTCAAATTATTTGAGAAACGGACCGGTGACCTCCACATGTTTGTCGCCATTTCTATTGATCCTGGTCACCATAAGGCTTACATAGCGAATATTGATCATAGTCAGAACACGCTTGAATAGTATGCGGGTTCTCAATCTTAACACAGACCCGGTCGTAGGTGAACGGATTCGATGTTCAACGACGACATTTTCATTAGATCAAATACATCAATTGTCATCGCAAATATTCGCCATTTCTTCAGTTCTGTGAAAATGCTTCACCTCTTTCGACCAGGTTCTACTGCAACACATACATTTACCAAAACCAGTAGTGTGAACAATTGAAATTATTAAAGTTGCAGTTTCTGCTCATTATAGTTCGGAAAAAAGAGAGAAAATAGGAGAACCTATTGACAATAGGATTATTTTTTAGAATCAATGCACATTAATGATATTAGACGATAAATCATCACGGTCTCGGATCTGTAGTTAAGTCGGATTTTATATGCCTGTCACAGAGTATTTTCATTGATTGTTACCAACTGAATTAAGATGTGTATTGCAATAGTCAACAGCAAATGTAAGATCGAATTAGCGATAAAAGTAAATAATTTTAACCGGCCGGTTTCCACCGCATGAACTAATGCTGTTATTGTAATGCACAGAAATATATATGAGAAATTAAATGTAACCAAGAAGTTGATTTTTTTTGTACTGAATGACCGTGAATGGCACTTGTTTTAGATTTTCAGAATAACACACTTGTCTGGATAGAACAGCATTTGCTCCATCACCCTCCCCTTTACCAACGACCAATCTCTACCCATTGGATGGAACAATAACAGCACTCCATTCCTCCTTCCCCTTCACCAAAGACCAATCTCTAATCATTGGATGGAACAGCACCCTCCTTCTCCCCCTTTACCAATGACCAATCTCTACTCAGTGAATGGAACATCACCCCTCCACCTTTACCAACAACCGATCTCTATCCATTGGTGGTAGTTTTCTTTTCATACGTCGTCTGTTTTAATTTGTAAATCCATCATGTAGTTCAACAACGGTGGGAAAACCAGTGGATATTTTGGGAATGGATATAGATTACAAAACCATTAGAGTTTCTGAGTTCAAGCTGAGGAAATTATGCCATCATGTCTTACTGAAAAAAAAAGTTAAGGGTGTCAGTTATTTGTTCCATTACACTTACAGACTTCAAGAATTTGATATGTATAAGAGAACGAGAAGAATCGACAGCCCAAATCAACGAAGAGAAACACCAACTGGTGATTATATTCCATTTCAAAGAAATTTTGATTGCATATTTAAACTACACAGACCAGGAATCGAACCCAGATCCCTCGGACTCTACATGAACTCTACATGACCAGATACATGAGTATCAAATTCAAATTCAGATCTTATTATACTGTGAACAATATAAGACCGAATTTTATTGCTATTAATCTGGACGAAAGGTTCGGTGGAAAATTTAGCATGGAGCGTTGAGATGTATGGCAAAGAAACATATATTTCTGCACAATTGACAGCAACGATAACGACTAAGATAAAAGTAATGTAAGAAAAATAAAGCTAGACAATACCGCATATTATAGTCCATTGCTGAAGGTCACAGACCAGAGCGGTCTTGTTTTGATACATGACACGACGCCAAAACGAAGTCAACCAATACCTTAAGAATGAAGTTCCAGTGATAAGTAGTGTAGATGTTAAAGCCAGGGACAGGGAAAACTATTTCCTTGAAATAGGTCAAACATCAAAAATGTAGGACAGAATGACCTACTTTTGATACTCTGAACACTGCCTCATTAAGGTGAACCCATACCTCAGCTACATGTATGAGATATCAATGTCTAGTAATGTAGGAGAGAGCCACATCAAATTATTGCATTGACTGTACAATGTACATATGTAGGCCAAAGGTCATAATATCGGCCAGAATTACCTAATTTTGAAATATGACACCACCACACCAAGGTGAACCCACACCCAAGTATGAAGTTCCAGTAACTATTAATGTGGGATATTTAGCAGGGAAAAACTTTATTTAGTAATTCAAATGTCCAAATGAAGGATGACAGACACAATCAAAAACTCAGGCCCCAGGTTGGAATTATTATTATTCATTCACCCAATTTTGGTTGAGATAGTGGGATCTCATCTCTTTGGGCAAGGATAATAAGTTGCAAACACCATACAAGCCTCCTGATTATTACCCCACTTTCTCATCTCACAGGGGATGAAGTATTCTCTTGGTCTCGCATCTGCTAAATATTTCTGATCTCAGATTATGTTCCATTCTATCTTAGATTTAGTACAATACCTATGAAGATAAAAGTCTTTAATCATTATGAACGGTTGTAGGTGATAACTAGATTTTAATTTTTGGTACAAGTAGAATTTGTTACCATTATCTAAAGAATTCATCTTGTTAAAAAAAAATGTTTTTAATAAACATACTCTTTATTGCTGATTTAGTGTTGTGCATAGGTCAAGAAGTTTTCTTCCAAACCATGAACACTGAAACTGTAAGTAGCAGTACTTAAAAATGTATACCAACTATATGTACCACTGTATCACTGTCACATGTACCAGGTTTTGTTTAACCAAAGTACGAGGGCTTCTACAGTGTATAAATACGCACTATCAGTGGAATAACGAGCTGGATATCAGCACAGTTGAAGCTGCTTTATCTGTCATCTTATCTTTCAACAAATTTTGCAATCATCTTTCCTATGAATCAATAAATCAGGACAGACAAAACTTTAAAAAGGCATTTAATTAACTTTTTGTTTCACAGTTTCATTAAAAGTAATCAGACATCAAATTTCTGGAATATTTCAATTCACATCACACAAAATCTGCCAGTCATGGACAAATATTGCTCATTTTCATTAGATTCATTCTCATTTAAAAATCCCAAACTCCCAAACTATCTTATCAAACTACTATTTTACTTGTATACATGGATATATTTCCTCGACAACATTCTCAAAAATGAAAGCGATAATCATGGACTTGGCTCTAACTAATTTTTGGCCAGCACACGTCACTGTTGTAATTAGGCTTCATATAAATATGCTTGAGTTGTCTGTCTCATATACCTACGAACAAAGAACTCAAGCATATACTAAATGTGCCTGTACATATTTAAAGCCTTACAACAGTGATGTAGCCCTGTGTTCTAATCAATCCCCATGCAATTTGCATTATGTGTATGTGCTACATAAATTGGGCATAGAGCAAATGATTATGCTCAACAATGTACAGTGTATGTACATAATAACAAGGTAATTGCCATAAGCATGAACTATATCTAAGTCTGTTTAAGTACCCTGGCAATGTATCATAGGTAAAGAAACAAAACAGAACTCGTAAACAAATATACTTGTACACTGATTTAATCAAAATACTTTTAATTGTCTTAGAATTAGCATAGTTCAGAAAAACATCATTTGACTACAAAATACTTTTGAAATGTTTGATATGACATAGAGGCAGTTCTTCCCTGCCCACATCTATAAATCACCTACATTTGTAATTTAACATAAACACGGGATCAGCATAATTTTACTTATCTATAGTTAGAGCACTATATCAACATTTGGAACAGAGACGTATGTAACACAGATCTATACTTATTTATATCTCTGTTTGGAGAGAGAGAAAACAGAGGTTTTTTAATTTTTACATTATTAATTAAATCTACTCTGTATTCCCTGTTGGTGTTTTGTAGTGAAGTAGGAAGTGCAAAGCATAAAAATGACATGACATCTAACTAAAATGCGAACACAATTTCTTCTGGTGGATTTCAGACATTCAAATCTTGCTTTAATATATATAGTATCTAAGGATACAGTTTTCATTCAATGTATGGCACACAGACAAAATACTTTAAATTCTTTATTCGGATAATTGTTGGAACCTGACGTATACATGTTTTGGCAAGAATGTTATTAAAAATACTGACAGAGATCATGGTGAACATGAACAAACAAAAATAGCATTCTGTGTGGAAATAATAGAAAGGTTTTACCTTTTCCACTTCAATAACTCTGAACTCAGGGATTTCATCATTATCATCTAAATAGGGTAAAAAGCTGAAAAAGCTGTTTCTATTTACTCTGTTAACTACGGATTTAAAAACGTATCTTCCAATTTCAATTATCAATATTGCATTACAGAAATATTTGACAGCACGGTGTTTACTAAGCAATACAAATTTGTGATCATGCATCCATTTTTTACAAAATTGAATGAATAAATTTCATTGATTTGACCTAATTTAGTTAGCATATTTTCAACAAATATTCATCATACACTTACCAAGGATGTATAATACAATGTATGTATAATGCTTGCCCTTGTTCCTTGCATTTATATTAAGTTAATTTATCACTAATATATACAGTCAACATATAATATTCAATTGCAGTATCAATAACCAATAGTCAATAATCAATATCATTTACCATAATCAAATGATCATCATAAATATCATATTACATACATACATAATCAATCTATGTGTATGTTTACTCCTCATGTTTACATCAAATACATACAGTATCCATACAATAACAGTATACCAATCATCAGTGTTATCCTTATACATTAATGCCATGGAAAAAATGAATTACACACATCAAACATTCATATCCCAAAATTTAAATCTGAACTCCATTTTCCCCGATATATGTGAAAAATTTGTATGACATCTACGGAATGTGAAAACACATGATTCGATCATGTTTAGAGATGGATTGTTATTGATATACAAAAATAATAAACATTTATAAAATTACAAAAAAAGGGAAAAAAAAGAAAAGAACACAATGTGTAAAGATTGAGGATATCTATAAACAAAGTCTCCTTTTCCCAAGGTTACTGCGGTCAGGTATAGGTTCATGTATTTAATATCTTAACACCTATGGAGGACTCAAAAATAAACAAATGTTTTGAATGATGGGTAGGTTACATAAAATTATTCTGCAAATATGGTTTGATTTATTGTTGTTTTACGTTCTATCAATAGCCAAGGTCATTTAAGGACGTGTCAGGTTTTGGTGGCAGAGGAAAGCTGGAGTTCCTGTTGAAAAACCACTGACCTGCAGTGCAGATAACATGTACAATATAATTATCTCTGTGGATGGTCCCTGTTTGATAAACTTTGGAATCTTCATTCTTGGTATTTTAAATTTTACACAAATAATAACAAGACATAAAACTAAGATAAATTTTGAGACTAGACTTTATGTTACCAATGCTTTAAACGGTAAAGATAATCACATATGTTTTCATTACGACACTTTCAAATTTTCCTACACTCAATGTGTCTTTACAGTAAGAAGTCAAAATGCAATTTGAACCAATTATGTTTATAAAGCATTTCATGATAGTGTAGGGTATGCCATGATCACCTGTCCACCAAGCTGCATTACATATTCCCATATCCATCCAGTCTCAAGTCCACACCTAACACGCATTGTAATGAATCCACACATATCCTATAGGCATCCTTGGATTTTTTTTATTTATGCGATGGTTGACTGGATTCAGTCCAAGATCAATTTAATGTACAAAAGAGCTTACTGGCTGTGATGCATATATGAAAGTCACTTTAATGTGGTCTGGTTTATTTTTATTTTCTTTCAATAAAAGCCCACAAAGAGAACTGTGGTCTATTGGCCAGTTCTATTGTTGTTCTTCTACAGTTGTGATGATTTGTTCTTGAAATGTTGATGTATGTAGTATTATAAAATCTATTAACTAACAAATAAAGAGATATGAGAAGATGGTAATTATACAGTCATGTTTCTCTAACCCGGGACAGGTGTATCCACACTTTCTCCAAAATCTGTGATAAACAAGTCTTGATTTTCCAAAGAGAAGACAGTTTAAGTATGCATTGTTTAAGAAAATGACATTACATATATAATAGGCAAACCTCATGTTTGGCACTTAAGAATCTTTAACCTCAGGTTGAGATCCTCCGTTTCTATGTTATCTCATTTACACTGATACAAATGTCCACTTCAATACAGCTGAGTCTACTTTATACATTGTAAGATATATCAATCACACTGCATATCCAGAAACAGCTCTCCTTATAGTAGGCCAACTTCTCTCCCATAAGACATCTATCTTTAGTGCTATGAGGGAAGGATGGAGAGAAGGCAGAACATATAAAGGGGAAGCACAAGATTGTCAATTTGACTAGTGAGGGCCTCAAGGAGTGAGGTCAAAATTACAGCTTGGATACTCTGCCAAAGCACCACAACAACACCTATAAATGAAGAAAAAAAATATATATATTTAAACAAATTCAATAAAGGACACATTCAAAGAAAAGCTGTTTTGTTTTTCGTATAATTTTTTCTGCTTTTGAGGGAGGACATTTCAAGTTTTACGAAAATCTGAAGCAAGAAGAATGCATAGGGTTTTCCTATAGTAGACATAAATCAGAATATAGTTTTCAAAAATGCAAAAAATTTTTTTGTTTCTTTTTTCGACAATGCATTAATGTTTTTTGCAAGTATAATGTTTTTTTTTTTCCATTTTTAAAAAGATAAAATAATTTGATTCTTGATTGAGGTGACAAAATAAAATAAACTTCAATGAGTATTTATATTTCATTATATATCACCATTATGGCTCTTGGATATAGATTTAATGATTATTCAGCATGAAACAGATAAAAAAAAATTCTGTGAATGTTAAAATACTGTACCTAATTTGGAAAGACCGTATAGAGCAGCTAGCTGTGAGATTACAGCAAACATGGTACCCTCAATGGTTTTCTTACTCCCTGTATAAAAGATGTAATAAACATTTAAATCCAATTTACCAGTAAAAATTAACATGGTAATTGGACAAATATATTTTACTATAAATATAAATACAATCATGTGTTTTAAGGGTAATGTTATTTTAGCACTTTTCATGCTGAAACTACAGTAATTATCCTCAAATTAGCCTCCTCCTTAGAGTAAAAGTTTAGTATTCCAGTTTAGGATGGGCTTATTTGTGAACCACTTTCAGCTTAATATCTTGATATTGATGGGCAGATGCTTATTTGCAGGCAGGTGCTCAAAAATACTGTAATTGTACAAAATAATTTATATTTTCATTAATCAACAGCAAAGATACGTTCAAATTATTTGAAAAATATTGTGTCTATTTACAAAAATTAATTCTAGTTCTGGCAATATCTAATGGGCATTTTTGAGTTATGCAAAGTTAGATACAAGATACAAAATTTAACTTAAAAGGGGAAATTCTGAACTTCGAGAATTGACTCCAGGAATATTACACTTTATATCAAATAAGCATGACAGAAAGGACTGGCTCCTCATCATTTCTTATTTCAATTATCTTTCAACTATCACAGTTTTTTTTACTTATATGTACATGTATATCCATTCTGACTGAATAAGGCAAACTTACAATGTATATAATATGATTTTTCTACCAGTTATTGTCAAATGTTTCTCTCTTTGGTGATAGAATATTTCTATACAGTACGTTTTACATTTTACATGCACACATATTCTGGATTGTCTTTTGATACAGACATGTATACAAATGTATTTTTCAAAATATTTGGAAAATCAACTTTAAGAAAAAAAAACTTTTAACTTAGCCAGAGCAATGAAACTTTTATTCTTTCATCATTACTACATTTTTCCCAACAAAAAGTTAACCAGTTAATTTTGGGACTCAAATAATCAAGTTCTGAACATATGGACTCACTATATCATAACATTATATCACTACACAAAGTGGCCTCAAAATTTTCACAATGAGACCCCTCGCGGGCTTACATCCAGGCCAACAAGAGTGATTAGTATAAGTTCAAATAACTTGTTGTAAAATAAATAAAGTTTATGGTTTTATAGTTATATCTAACTAGAAAAATGCCCTGCAAAACTGACAGAAAACAAACCTAGCCACTGGTGTTTTCCAAAATAGGTGCCTCCTAATGATGCCATTGTATCCCCTACTCCAAGGGAGAGAACTCCTGCATACAATCTTAAGTCAGAACCTGTGAGTGAAGAATTTAGAATTATCATCTCACTTAACACAATAAAATGAACATCAAATCATATACAGGTGATCGCTGGGAAATAACTGTATAAATTTCAAGCCACGGAAACAAGTTGGTTGCTAGGTGGACTTGTTATCGTTAGATACAGAAATAAACACAAATATGTCCTACTGGTCAGTGCACCGAAACAGTACACGCATGTAGATATAGGGGTCTCATCTGTATCTGATAGAAAAGTCCTATTTACAAAGATAATGATGTCTCCTTATATGGAATTTACAGAAGAGTATACCTAGAGAGGTAATGGATCAAACATTGCCATTGCAGGAATGGTATAGGGGTAAAACTGGGAGATTTTCACACATAATTTTGTTGTAAATCTTGTTGAAGTTTTCAGAAAGTAATACATCAAATAAAAAATTTCATTATCTTTATTCAGAATCATACAGTTCTCCCATGATATTAAAGTCTCAAGGAACCCCTGTGGATATGACATCTGTGCCAGTAACATTGCATATGACAAGAATTATATTTCCTACAATAACATATATCACTAATAGCCTACAGATGGCTGTTAGGCCTGATAACATCAGCAAACACAACAATTGTGGTATTCAGAGAAAATTTATTTATCAATCATATATATATAAAGTACTTACTATTCAATTTGTCCATTGGAACTATCCACATTGGCAAAAACATTCCAAGCAGTAGATACAATGGTGTCAGAATTATCTCCCCTTGATCTTGACTATCAACAAACAGTTTGTAGTTCTTTTTTAAAGTTGTTCCGAGAGGCCATATATGATTCATTCGCATCACCTGAAAAATGGATTTATTGTCATTTATTTGACTCATTCACATAAGTTATACATGTACATTGTACATTTGTATGGATTCAAATAAACAGAATGCACATTTTCTGGTTATGTATAAATGTGTGAAATCAAGGAAAATTACCTGAAATTACCGTAAAATCATTAATTTTTGAGGGACTCAAAATTCATGGATTTTCGAAACTATACATTTTTTATTCCACTTGATATTATGGATAAATCTTGATCACCTTATTCACTAAAGCTACAATAATCTATCATTTTGTGGTCATAAAACTTATCGGATTTAAAGCACCAAAGAAACCAATGAAAAAAAGAATTGATGATTTCACAAGAATAGACTGAAGGTTTTTTAAGCCAACCAGAAGAAGATTTTATTGTTACGTATCGATGACTACATGGTCACGTTAATAAGACAAATTATCAGCTGTGTGAAGCATACTAGCACAGATGTATGTAGTGGACAAGTTGGAAAGGAAAACAATTCAGCTGTATTATAATTCTATGTACACTTAGGTCAAAAACAGTGTGACAAGATGGTAAATAGATTACAGAAATGGAAAAAAAATCACAAGATGGTAACAGTGTACTTGTATTGGAGTTGATTTGGCTATAATTTGTTCTGAAGTAAGTAATGATTTTACAGTTTTTTTTCTCACCAGTACAGCTTTGTCTGATATATCTAAAATGTTTTTTACATTGTTTTTCAAAATATATTGAAACACCAACTCCAGTCACATTCACAACATCTTTATAGTTTTGAGATTTAGTTTTTAAAGAAGTTTGTCTTGGAATGATGGAAAGAAATACACATTTAAGTAAGAATCATTCAAAAGACATCATCAAGATTTCTTAAAATTTATAGTCTTGAATAGCAAAACTTTTTTTCAAATTGTTTTATTGGTTTGAACTTTGAAAAGATCCTGTGATCAGTCTGAACGTTGTAATAAAATAACCTCAAAGAATTGTACTTTATTCAAACAGAATTTGCAACTTTCTATATTTTGTCATTTACAAGCACAATAGATTTTAAGGTAACAAATCTATTTATAGGTGACCTCTAGCACTCACCTCTAGAATGACCATGACCCCTAGAGCTATGACTGAGGATGTCCACAGGAAGACTGGGTCCATCACCAGCCCAGGTATATAGACTGATAACATCACAAGATGGAATATTTTACGCTGATTTGACGATGCCTGTCCACTGTAGGTGTTCCTCAGATAAACAGTCAGAACACTGAACCCTATGAGGATGGTCCACAGAATCAGGAGCTTTTTCTATAAAATAATTTCCAATTGCTACATGTCAGCTGTACATGCAGATAAACATCTAAATAAATCATGCTGAAGTTGTAACTCGGTAAAATTTATTCAATTTTTTCTAAAATTTAGTAGATAATTTTGTATCTTATTTACATTTAAAATTACAAGTATGCATGTTTATTTTTGGGAAATTTATCTCAGTTGAACATCTGATCTGATTTTCATTCTATACATTTTACAGCGTACATACATTGAAAACATTACATGCCTTGTGAATCTAATGCATGCACTGAAACACCACAATGTTCTCTGAGAGAATCTTTCACCATAAAAAAAAGCAAAATGATAAATATAAATAAAAGAATGTAAGAAGTCCAAAATTTCTTGACCAAACTTGCAAAGAAAGTCAGACATATGAAAACAATGACAATGAATACACACTTACCCTTGTTGGAGTTTTTAAAATGAACTCCAGGACATTGGTCAACATGCTTGACCCAAATGCCTGAAACAGGAGAGGCAGCACAACTGTCAAAGCTGTTGTACAAAACATCAGGTAAAATAAGGGTGTGGATCGTCCATTGGTTAACTGTCTGGCAATCCAAAACTTGACTGTGCCAAATAACACTCCTTCAAAGGCCACCTGTACAAGCATATAACAAATTATTCCAATAATTCCAAATTTACATGTAACTTTCAATATACTGTATGCACATGTATTCTTCAATCGTTGTATCCACATGTATTAGTCAACATCCTGTATTCACATGTATGCTTTAATATACTGTATTCACATGTATCCTTCAATACATTATTTTCACATGTGTCTATGAATATGCAAATTTCTGGTAAGCTAATGCAAAGTCATTGTCCTATGGCAAACACATCCACTGTGCTTAAATATAGATAGGTTTGCTGCCTCAATTATACATCAAATTCAATAAATGATTATGATCTATGTAAATAGCATTAAGTTTTGTTGTTTTTGTTTGTTTGGTTTTTTTTTTTGCTTTTTTTAAAAAAATTAATTCTTTTTCTTTTTTATATATTCTGTTTTCCTTATATTTTCCGAAATTGTAGTTCAGCCTCAAATATAGGAAAAGAAGTATACCTTACCACAGCTAGCTTCTGACCAGGAAGTAGATCATCCTGTATGTCAACCTCTCCCTATAACACACACAATTATGCTCTAAATTGATTGATATATATTTACAGTAAAATCTGAACATCTGAGGGTAATAAAACTATTGGTCTATCAAAATAGAATGCACACCTTTTTTATCAGAAATGAATGACAATATACATATAAACTGCCACAGAACACAGATTAGAAAAACAAGGTGTCATTGCATATGTTATGTTTTCCGTTTTCCTTTTATTCTCAATTTCCTAATTAATATTCCATATTTTGGTAAAAAGGTATATATATGCTTGCCATTCACCAGATGTAAGAACAAGTAGTTATGTAACAATAGCTATCTCCTCTTTTACAAATAGGTGGGCACGAGGCAAATGCTGGTAGTTATGTAACTCAAGTTATCTCCCCTTCAACATGTACATTTTTTCCCACATGACAGAAATGAAATCATTTTAATGGTGCCGTTTAATTCTAAGAATGACAAAGACAATATAGCCAAGACTTCAAAAATGAATGTTGTATTTGTAACAGACTATCTATCATTAATATCAGCATTAACCTGAGACCAACAGAGGAACCAGGAGGGGAAATGTATACAAATATTTGAAAACAATGCTAGATGTATATCATCACCCAAGGTTTGTACATTTTTTGAGTACATTTGAGACAGCAACTCTCTTTCATTAGTAAAGTCTGTATTTCCATCTTAACTACCCAATGTAAGATCCAATCAATACTCTCAGGGGCAAGTATGAAATAAGCAACACTCTAAATTCTATCATCACTTTGACTTCTTACCTTTACAACACCCAACGTAAGGGAGAGCATAACCAAAAGAACAAGTTGTAGTACCAGAGTTACCTCCCCTTCTGTGAATGACTTCGGAAACAACTCTGGAATCTTTGACAGGAGCATGAAGAACAAGATGCAGATTGCTCCAAATAAACACAGACTCAACACATCTGCACATGAAATATGAAGATATATTGTATCTTGCTTGAGTTTCCATGTTATATGCTATTTATGAAACAAGTATGATGTACATATCTTAGCCCTGGTGAGCTCTAAAGAAGGCAAGTATCATACGTTGCATGAATAGAGAGGTATGTTTTATGTGTTACAAAAGCTATCATATCACAATATGCATGACAAGATAAGGTTTTCAAAAATAATGATTCAGCCTTCAAAGAAATAATTCAATATTTTGATTGTAAATTATTCATTAAAATGACATTCAAAAGAAGCCAGAACAATAACCCGTCAATATTGTCACTTAGTTTTCAAACAAGGCATCAAAAATGTTAATAATCCACTTGCAGTTCAATTCTACTAAAGTGCAACAAAGCAAACTATTTGTAGCCCTTAGTTTATGAAGCGATTCAAGTACTGACAAATATTTTCTAAATACAATAATTGTAACAATGTCTCTGACCCTAAAACCCTGTACATATAACTGATACTCATTTGTGATATTTAAGTCCTTTATATGATCAAAATCCCTTCAGAAGGAATGGAGCTAATACAATGTTGACAAGGATAAATGTTACATATATATATGTAAGCACATTTAAGTATGTAGGCAATATCCCCACCTATAATAATTGATCATCAAAAGCTGCTGACTGAATTTTCATAATAATAGTAGAGAAGTAGAAGTTACCAAGTAGATGGTAAAATGTACTCTTGACTTGCAATCAATGGTTAAAATATTGTATGTGAAAGTTAATGTACAAACCTTGCTGTATGAGATGAGATCGCAGCCATAGTAATTGGAGGGCACCTGTCATCTGGGTAAGATTTGAGGCATTGTAGTGTACCAGACTTAGAGGTATGGTAAACAGGAGAAAGCTAGTCTCCAGCACTGGCAAATTACCTGCTGTAGGAAGAAAAGATAAACTTCAAATCTACTTATATATTTGTTTAACTATGTTTAATCTGTTGATGTAAAAGATAAAATGTGTATCTAGATGCTACACTGGTGCACTACAACATAATAGAGAGCATTTGGCTCATACCTTCAAAAAATTTCCCACCTTACTCATAGCAAGAAGAAAAAATATGTCAAATTTACCACTCACTTTTGATAAAGCCCAGGTGATCATTTTAACTAATTTTGTAAAAAAAAATACCTTTGATACCATAGCCAATGTATGCCAAAGGCAATAAGGCACAGCACCAGATTCCTGGGTCTGCTTTGGTTCTACAAAACATAAAATACTGTGCATATATCACATAAATTATCTCCCTTTGTCATTCTACATATGTACATATGTGCAGTAAAACCTGTCTAATCAAACCTCTGAGTAGTATAAAATAGATGCAAACATGAACATTACAATTATTCAAGTGTCAGACTACACAGGCTTTTCTGTCTTGATGTTGTATCCCCACTCAGTTCTGTTTTAAACAGTCAATCAGACCAACCATGGTAAATGTTGTTTCAGAACGAATGTCATTTTATACAGGTCAAACTTATCTATGATACTTAATTATATTTCACTTGTCATGGGCTTATGACTTGTAAAGATTTATTCTAGAACATGAAAGGAAAACTACAACAAAGCAGAATACAATTGAATAATTCATTTTCTCCTGACACAATTCTAAGCAAAATCTGCAAGGTGATAACAAATTACTATAGTAACACAAATTATATCTAGTTCACTTTCAAAGTTTTATATATCAAAAATGTTTAAATACAGGTGTTACAAACAGTCATAGGGTCCTGTATACCTTCCTGTTGTGAAATACACAACAAAAAAAAAACCATGACAAAAATAGATTTCATTAGTATAGGATTTGGATTCGCTTCATAAAATTTGTTCAAGACCAACCTGTATAATCTTCTCGATTCATCTGTTCGCTTCAGGTCAGGATTAAATTGGGGCACCAGTTGATGTAACAGGACAAGAATATAGGAACAGCCAAGAAATCCTGTGCAAAATCAAAAGCAATATGTACACTGCAAGAAGATAATGTAAAAAAAATCTGCTTGTGAAATAAACACTATTGGAACAAGAAGGAAAAAAGCACGACCAGAACAGTGTTTGAACCTGTGATCCTCCAAACTCTATGCACAGGTGCTTTACAAATTAAGCTACGCAATTGCCAAAGATTGACCAATCACTTCACTACTATAATCATTAAATCTGCATATATCCTTGAGGAGTCTGAGGGTAAGATTTGAGTAATATTTCAAAATAATTAGTAAAATGTTTCCTTATCAGCCTAACCTGAAAAATCAAGTTTTCATGACATTAAATAAAAAATTTCTTTGGACAATAATACATATAAGGACTAACAGTCCTGAATAAGCGAAAATGTTTGATAGGAAACATCTATCTACATATGATAAGTCTTCCTATAAAATAATACTAGTATGAGTGTAGTAGAAGAATCAGAACACAGCCAGGAGGTTGAATGTTATTTACTGTATACATGTTTGGGGCTGCTAAGCCACCATCATCAAGAGTGCATGTAGCAGCCCAAAAAATGTAAACAATAAGTAACACAAAACCTATTGTGGTTTTGGGCTTTTTTATGTTAGGTCTTCTTAGTAAGGAACTTTATAGAATCCACCTGCAGGTCAACACTAAGATACTACTGCCTAGTTCAACATTAAGAGTGTTGTTCATCCTTTATTTATCATACAACTTTTATATGAGTAGAGATTTCAGGACTTGATCCGGGGGCTCTGTAGAGCTGAATATTGGCCACCTTCTATATTGGATTTATTTCATAATATGGCCAAATTCCCAAAACATTGTAGTTTAATCATAAAAATCTCCTTTATCATTTTTTTCGCAAATGAGATAAAAAGGCTGATTTCCAAATGAATGACACATAACCCTTGATTTGAACTTTACCTAGACTGTGGAACTGAAAGCCCTCATTGGCCGTATCCTGTAGGTACGTTCCAAGTGAAATGCACCCAGCAGTAATCACACCTGTCTCCAAAATGGCACGGGCCTCCATTTCCTTTTCTTAAGGTCGGATTTTAACTAATGTCTGATCGGCCTGTACTTTATTTTCACATCATAAACAACCTGAATGAAATTTGAAAAGTCACAATCAATATTAACTTTACATCAGAATAAATAAAGACTGACACAATAGATGAATATATACAATTATGGGAAAAGGTCTTAAATATCTTACATAAAATGGGAGTGAACTTAACCAATTTCCCCTCCCACATGTGTACATCATTTTATTTTACTTTCTCTGGTTAAAATGTCAAAATGACCAAAAGCAGTACTCCATTGGAGAAACCAGATGTTAATCCTTAAACAGTGATGAATTAGTATTGCCGGACCACGTGGGTTTTCCCCGGGCACTCCGGTTTCCTCCCTCAATAAGACCCCTCGCACGCTTACATCCGGGCCAACAAGAGTGATTAGTATAAGTTGACATAACTTGTTTCAACACTGGATGCACTTGATTCCGAGACTTGATTGTTGCCGAAAGCATGTAACATACATGCTACCAGTCATTCAAAACTAGTTTACATTTTCCGAAAGTGCATATTCGTTGAATGTGCACATGCACATGGAGGTATTTACAACTGCCAATTTGCCATATCCACCTGTTAACCAATTATGCTCTCAATTGTAAGACAAATATCAAAATATCAAGTTTTTGATCAACCTAAATGATACCAAAATATATATTAAATTTTTTTTTCCTAATTTGTTCAACATCTATGACTTCAATACAATTGTTTGTTTTTACTAAATGTTCAATACAAAATAGTAAATATTAACAAATGCTACCTACATATATATGATTTTTCTCATGCCCAGGTTCTCTTTTATTTTCTTTTTGTAATAACATTTTCTTTTTAAATGCACCGTTAATAAATAAGGCGTCTATCATGTATGATATGATGTGCATGTATTATGGTATGATAAGCAGATTTGGCTGCAGAACTGCACTTTAGGAGTCAACGGAGTTTCAGTACAGAAACCTAAATATCCCATGAAGGTAGAACAGAAGATTGTAATAAATATTGCGTTCCTGTGATAAAATGTTTCCTGTTTCCATTCGTGGAGGATATATTTACTGATTACTGGATTAGAAGTCATTGATCATTACACAATATTCTGTGACAGAACCCAGCACCTTGCATTTGCTTCCATGATGTTTTAGGCTGGACATGCACTTTAAATCAGTTTAATAAAAGTATAATAAACACAATCACTTATCATCACTTTAGAATCAATATTCATTCATGCTTCTTGCCAACTTGATGTAAGCGACCTTAGGTATGCGTGGTTATGAAAACCACAAGATTTAGTATTTCAAATGCCATTGGTTAAAACCTAGTCTACTTTCTTCACATTTCTGGCTGAAGTGGTATGATCAATATTAATATACAGCGCGACATTTCAGCTGTAGTCACAGGGTCGCTAAAATTCCAGTATGTAACCACAATAAAAATCTTTTAGAAAATGTGGGAATCGATGTTAAGAAAAAATGACATCAATACCTCAATTTCATCTATGTATTTAAGTTTCACGTCCACTATTATGGCCTATCACTGTATCAGCGGACGATACCCACTGGACTTACACTGAACCCCTGTGTGCAATATGCATCTGGATCCTATCTAAAATAGGCTGAGTCTGAGCGAATGTAAAACAAAGATTTAAACCTAAATGTCGGTAATTTTTGAATATTTGACAATGTCTCAATGTAATACGCCACCTCCGTGTTACTTTCTTCCAAACAGTCTCAGTGGCAGCGTACCGGCAAATGTTCATTCGGAACATTTTAAGACGTGGTTTCCGAATGGATAATGTAGGGAAGAAAGCTCGCCATCTGATCCATAGCCGCACCCCTCGCTATGAGCTCATTGAAATAGAACAATACATCACATTTGTTTTTGTCAAGATAAAATACTTTAAGAATCATGAAGTAATATTCTTTTACGTACATCCCAAAAAATGTCTCCTTCTTAATGGACATACACCATGTAAAAAATATGACATTGCAGGAACGTATGATATAATATAATATAATATAATATAATATAATATAATATAATATAATATAATATAATATAATATAATATAAAATATAATATAATAGAAGAACATGGTATATGTACTGCATGTTGTACTGTATACAATTCGAATATTTTGGAATCACATGCTTTTGAAAACTCATAAAATTATGTTTATATATATATATATAATTTGCAGACCTATGATATGTTTGTGTCCTTACATGTTTCGGGATTTTAATCACACATTTTACATTGTGACCTCGGACATCTCTGCGCGTGACTTCTAATGAATATTATGGACCCCGAACCTTGAGCTCAAACGTTTCTTCGACTGTACTTGAAAGTACATGTAGCTTGTTAAACACATTTATCACATAAACTTGAACCAAGTATGTTGTGTCATGAATGTTCCAGAAATAGTTATAGCAGAGACATATATAACATATATGTATGTGATATATACATCTCTGGTTATAGATCGGTCTTAGTTTTGTTGTTTAATTTAAATGATATCAATTATTGAATGACCTAATTCTCTGTTCTTTACTAAATTGAAATGTTTTTGAATGGGATTTATTATTCAGCAATATACATTATATAGACAAGCGGAGACTGACCATTAATAGAGAGTGATTGGGCTATAGATGCATTAATTTGTTGCTATTTATAGCACACTACATAAAAAAAGTTCACTGTCCATTGGGTCATGATCAGAGGCCTACGGACATAATGGAGGAACAAGGTCTGTACAATTTACTTATATTCTATAGATTTTCCACACATGTATATTTACAATAGAATTAAATTTTTCCCGATCACTGACTGTACTGACTGCTCGCACTTAAGTTGAATCTTGATATCCTTTATAGAACGTCATTTGTAAGTCAGAGCTGAAGTGAAGGCATCTAACAAATGCTTCACAGTGCTCATTCTTTCTACAGATATTCTCAGCTAAAAGGCAACAAAGGATGACGTTAGTTCATGTCACAAGCAGTCATCGAATTATTTTAGTAGGACACATACTGCGCTATATCAAAATGTTAATAATTTCAAATTTGCTGTTGTTACCACTTCTAAATACCGTTTACATATAATAACTGATGCCACGACTTCCCTAACGTATGGTGTTAGCATGTAGCAGCCTATTTGATTTTGAGATGCTTGTTTCTATTATTAATATTTTCATTACAGATGGCGAAAACGAACCTATGAACTTATAATATGATACAAGGTTTCGAATATTACGTGCTGAAGTATCATCATTTCTTTATTTCCTCCAAATATCGAAGAGTAATTACAATGACAAATATTGTAAATTTAGGTGAAAATTAAAGAAAAAGGTGCAAGAATGTATGTATATAAATATTGAACAATGAATGTGAATAACCAATCCATCAATAATTGAGATTTCTAGCAGAACACATCAAACATTAGATAGGAGATGGCCTTTACTGAAAAGTCATATTGTAGGCCTTTTCAGAAAACATTAGACAATCTTTAATAAAAAATGTAAACAAAGATGAATTGTCATAAAATGATTCATAAATGTCCTCACTGGGGGCACCCAACAGAGACGCTATCTGGACATCTCTGTCCACCTGGTCAAATGATACATACACATTAACTGGATATTTGTCCTCAAAACTGGTAAAAAGAATATCTCGCAGGGACTTTAATATGGGCTCTTTGCAGTCAAGTAAACAATGGGCGACTGCGTCTTCAAAAGTGCCTTTACATCGAGCACATAAAAGTTCACAAGTAGGAGGGGCAATCCACATTTTTGCCACAGTTTTACATGTCCTGTTAAAATTTGGATGGCGTTTAGAAAATGACTAGATTACTGAAGGAACCATATCAGGATGAAGAATTTTGAATCTATGAAATTCTAACGAACTGTTTATACGTAAACGCCAGTCATCAGATTCTTTACACAGAAGGACATTCTTTACAAGATATTTCCAGCCAAGTTTGGATGGAAATTTCCCAGAATTAAGAAAATCAAGTAAGATGCCTCGGAAGTTGTATTTGTGCAAAGCATCCCAAACTTCCTTGATGAAACCTTTCTTAGCGTTATTTACCCCAAGATGTTTTTGATGTAAACGCAACAAAAAGAGTTGCTTTGAAGTACAAGTTGTTTTGATATTACACAAAGCCCCGAAAAAACGAAGCTTACATTGCTCTACGTAAAGATGTATAGAAGATAAACCTAACATTCCCAATGCTTCATCAGACCTAGTACGAAGTGGGAAATTTTGTATTAATTTTGCACATAGATGATGGATTGATTCTAGGCGATGCCAATCAGAGATGGAGAGAGAGTTCCAGAGCTCACAACCAAACATACCTCTAGGGAGTACAACAGACAAATATAGATGGACTCCAGTCAAGGGATTGATACTAGGACCAAATAAATTACAATTTAGTAGAGCAAAACACTGACCTCGTAGTTTGTGGATAACATCGTCAACATCAGGCCGACCTGGTTTAAATTTATTCAAATTAATACCCACGTGTTTAACATTTGTGCTTTCATTAACAACATTGTCACCTAGATACCAAGTACGATACGATTGTGAGCGAACATTGCTACTTTCATTGAAGACAATAACTACTGATTTGGAGGCATTATATTTAAATCTCCATTTACAACTATACTTGTAGCAAATATCTATAAGCATATCTAAATTGTGTTTGGTAAGTGAAAGAAGACAAATATCATCTGCTTGCGTAGGGCACGTGACATTAACATCAGATATAGCTAGCGAGTATACAGAACTACTAAGATCATTTAACAAATCGTTGATATAAACAGAGTAGAGCCAAGGGGAGATGATACTGCCCTGACGTGTTCCCTGGCTTATCTCGAACACTTCAGACACAAAGTTTTGATACATAACAACACTATACATATCCTTGTGTAAAGACATAATCATACTAACAATTTTTCTGTCAAAACCCAAACGTGATAGTTTTCAAAACAGACCGTCGAGCCAGACACAATCAAAGGCTTTAGACGCGTCTAAAAAACAAGTGAACAATTTACTATCATGTTCAGAAGCGTACGCAATTGTTTCTTGCACGATATATGAAGTCATAGAGCTACTAGCTTGTTTTTGAAAATCATGCTGTAATGAATTTACATGAAAAAGGTTCATGGACTCTAATCTTTTCAAGAGTAGTTTTTCATACACTTTTAGAATAACGGGTAGAAGAGAAATCGCTCTGTAGCTATTTGGGTCATTCTTTGGCTTATCATGACCTTTATATAACGTGCAAGTAGGAAAAGAATCACATTGTAAAATATCTCATTTCCTATGGGATATGAATTTAAAGATGTTTTCGATTCTCGTTATTATGGGTGGTGGTTTCGTTATAACTTACATGGCTAAGACTTTGAGAGCATGACATTAGGTGAAACAGTTGATATTGAGCAGAAAACATTTACTCATCCGGCTCATCTGGTATTATTTTCGTTGTACGTTTTCAAGGCCTTCATGTAAATCTTTCATATGTATACAGTTTATCCGCATTCATGAATTTTGATTTGACTAAGGAATCTATAGTCGTATTGATAATTTTCTTGGTAATATCGTTGTTTAATTCTAATCAAATACGACAATGTTGAAAAGTGATATATTTAGCAGTAGTCGGATTTATTGAATATGTACATTGCACATATATACACAATTATAGTTCAGGCAGTTGCGACTGGTTTAGGTTTCTGCCTGCCTCCCGTATTAGCTTTGTACCACAACTTGAGTTCGGAGATCGTTGTTGGAAGTTCATGGCCCGAGGTTTCTGGTAGAAAAGACGTCAAGTATACCGTTAGGAGACACATAGCAGCAAAAATAGCTCCTGGTAACCAAACTACGACACCAGCCTGTGATATAACAAGAGAATACGGTTGCAGGTAGAAAAATAATGACGAGAAAAGACAGCTCCATGCCACCAAATAGCGACAACAGTCTGTAAAACGTAGAAGAGACAATTATTGGACTCCTGTGGTACATAGAAAAGACGGCTACCAATTGCCATGAGTAGAGCCAGCGATATACAAGGAAAAGATAGCTCTTAGTATAACTCCGAATGACTACAGCTAGTGATAAATTGATATTTCTGTCAGTTTTCACTCACCACGGACGTAGCAAATGGGGCAAGCATTCCTCCCGCCCGAGAGCACATCGATGCAAGTCCTAGTCCAGCACTCCTTTACAAGGTACGGAAACGTGTTTAAAACTTTTGCTTATAGCAACTTTTATTTTAGACAATTAACAATCAAAAAGGGGGAACAGTAACATTATCTTTTGACTTTAAGACATTTTTCGGCAGAAAAATAGTGCATGTCATATGTATTGTGGTAAATTTTATTATTCTCCAATGACTGAATTTGCATATAACAATTTGATTTGAAACAGTATATTTATTAACTAGTCACCTTCAGTAACTGAGCTATGGAATTCAGCCAGAACCATTTGAACTATTAGCCAACGTTAAACAAATCAAGTCTAGTAAACTGTTTCGTAGCAAATGTAGAGCAACCAGGGACGTGTTATAGAATTATACGACTCCAGCACTATCGCGAATTGTTATGGAGTTGCATACAATTCAACATTTCCAATTTGTTTTTTTTTACCTTAGGTTAGTGGGGTAAAGTTCCGGCGTATAAAGGAATACAGTGCTAAATGAGGCCGTGATAGCGTACTTTCCCAAGAAGTTGAAAACAAGAGAAACTGTTGCCAATTCGGGAATGTCATCTGCAAAACGGAAGCAAAATTCAAATATTTACCAGTGATAAGATATATTCTCCAAAATGTCAAGTAATCTTAATGTAGAATTTTTGAAATAATACTATCTAAGAACTCTTAGATTAGGTTTTTAAACAGTTCAAGTTATGTTTTTTTAATCTAACTAATCACAGATTGCGATATTTATAACATTAAAAATGGACTCATGTCTTTGATGATTTCTGTTCACTCTGCAATAGCCGAATAAACATGACTACACAAAATGATGTCTTCTATGTATGAGATAGGGTGGTAACATGAAATATTGACCACTGAAAATGCTCGTTTCATATTACGTATTATATCAGTTTTTATTTGATGAATCTGGTTGATTGGTTAAGCACTGATTAAATGCTATCGTGATGCCGATAGACGTATTTGTGCTTTTAATAATGACGTCATTTAATTTGCCTCTTGCGAAATATTCATCAGCTTAATAGATTACTAACACCTCATTTTAAGAGGTAAACATTTGGTAAGTTACATATGTATTGTTATCATATACCCAATGAACGCTAGTTAAAATGATATGAAGGAACAGTGGTAGTTAGGTCAGAAGATATTTGACCCACGTAACTTCAATTGGTTCAAGATCCGAGGTGTATGGTTCGGCGCTCACTGGCCATGGCGGTTTGTGTTTCTCATGAAGCTAAGAAACAGACAGGTATGTGCTGACGTAGTTGCGTCCATTGGCATTACTTAACTTAATGGTTCTGGGTGATATGTGAAGTAACTGTCAGCCATTAAAGGCGATCCCGTGTCAAAATGACCCTGGTTGTTCACCGGAATCCATCAAACACGCAACAAAGTAACACGAACGGGCTTTATAAAGTATTGCTTAAGAGTAGAAATGCAATGCATGTCTTGTTATTGTTTGGTAATGAGATTACAGTGAATCACTTAAATTTCATACTTTATTTTGCGAACTCACTTCTACATCTTTATTCGCGAATATATGATTTTGCACACGCTGGTCTTGAAATGACTAGAAAGATGAGCTATTTGAGGTATGGGCTCTGGGAAGCTCTTTATCGACAACTGATAGCGTCATATTGGCCACCATTTTGTTCATGAGAGTTATGTGACTATACCGTCAATATAATTCGCAACTGGCTCTCTCCGCGTATTAACGCGAAAATAAACGCGAAATATAAATGATAAAAGCGACTTTTGTGAATAAGGGATGATCCTCTTTCAAAACATGTTTGTTATTTTGATTTTTGTCTAAAACTCTATTTGAAATATCACGTACATGTTCATCTCGTTGGATAATCTAAAGTGGCAATGTATTGACACAGTCGAGAATAATATTACAATATTTCAACTCTATGTTAAAAAAGGATCTTACATTGTCACGCACAATGTTCATGTACTAGATAAAAGTTAGAAATTAATATATCTACCTTGGTATACTAAACACACTGTGGATACTGCTAGAGATACACCGGCAAGTGTATGGAATATCAAACAAGATTTTCTCCGTCCGTATCTAAAATAAAAGACAAAAAGGATTACAATAGAACTGACAACGCATATCATATTAACCTTCTATATCGAATTTTGGTGGATTTAAGTCCCCGAGGTTTGTCGTTAACTGCATGCTACGTTTTAATTCACTCGAAGCGTAGCACGAGCCATAATATACAATCTCCTTGACGCTTTTCTAAAATTATCTGATATATAAGATTGCGAAATTTATTTAATTATGGGGTTGCTGATGTATCTCCAGAAAAGTTCGGGTTTCTTAATGATTATGTTTATATTAAAATATTCAAAGGCAAATATAACCTATCATACATCAATGCATATATATATACCATGCTAATCTTCATTACATTGTCCAACACATTAGGTTGTACATGCAGTTGTACATGCAACATGGCAAACATGAATGGATTATAGAAAAGTCATAAGAAATAAAAAAAAATAATTAAGGATCAAAACGAACCGATCGCAAGCTGAATAAAAGCCCTTTAACAATATCTTCTTTCAATTAACTCGGAAACGACATATTGCGTAAGACTCGCAATTGTTTCATAGTTCACAGTAAAAGATGTCATATTTAAAAAACAAAACGAGATATTTTAAGATTTTCAAAAATAATTAATTTTATGCATATTCAGAATTGGTTTATTTTCAGGATACAAATTTTTAAAGAAATGCAATGTAACACCTTAATAGGAGTGACTCATTCACCTTTTAATGGAATACCACTGAGAGGCTGCAGCTGGGTACTCCACAAGCGCCATCAGGAAGTAGTTGATGTAGCGATCCCCAGAGAGGGACGTTGAACCCAGATATAACGCATAATACACAAGACTGTTCGTTGTCCTAAAAAAGATAGTTGTGCACTGCGGATTGAACATCACTTCATATTTTGTTTAAAACCCTAAAACCAGCTTGGGTCATCTAGGAACTGTTCAGAATATACTGTGGGTACTTGAAGGTTTCTTCAATTTATCAGATATATATAGAAATGACGAAATTGATTGAATGAAAGAGATTTAGCACCTCCCCATTTAAATTTGAACTTTGTTTCATTCAATTTTAAATTTCCTCGTGACATCGCCTGATCGGTTTCACAATTTAGAACTTTATCGTCCCTAACGAATCCTATTATAAGACTCTGGTCTTGGTCTTGATATTAGAAAAAAAACGTCTCTCGAATTTAATTTTAACATTGATTCCGATTCAAGCTAAACTTGAGTTACTTAATCAGCGAACCAGCATTAATATTTTGCATGATCTTCACACATAGTGTTTAAGAATTCTCACCATGTATACCAAATAATGAGAGAGTTGAGTAGAATCCTCTTGTGTTGGAATATAGTAAATGCATTGTATTTCTCCGGTTTTGTGGGTTTTAAATCATCTTTAGAATCGTTTACCACGCATGCCTCGGACGTCGGCGTTGTTACTGCAGGTGTGATATTGTTTGACAGAAACGTCTCCATTTCTTTCGCCTTGGTAGAAGCCGCTTTAATCACAGAATTAAAGTCTTTTCCGTTCATTCGAGCAGCCATCCTGATAATCTTCTCAGCTTGGTCTTTCTTGTTGTTTGCAAGAAGCCATCTAAGCGATTCTTCAAGAAACCTATTTATAAGTAGATGCAGTTTCTAAATGATCGCATTAATAAAAATGATCTAATTCAAAATAATTTATTCTAATATTGTTCAGAAAGATAACAATATCGGGACGCCAAATACAATACATTACAATTACCAATTCTACAATATATATATATATCTTGTCTTTAAATAAAACATTTATTGACTCGCCACAGTACAATAGGTATTGAAGACAGTTGCAAAACATACCAATATTCAAGAAGGCTGTAAGCAGATCCAACGGCAAACGCAATTTGCATAGAGCGCCATGACATATTCCGGAAGATGTAAGCGACAGGTGCGACGAGGATGCAGCCTGTGGTCCAACAAATTAAATCAGCAATTTCCCACAAGTATCTGGAATTCACTGGTAGAGATTCTAGTGCCGCAACAGCAACTGTTAAACCAGTACCCTATTACAACATGCATGATAAGTTATTGAACATGAAGAATGCTAATAGACACCTAGCGTTTAGGAAATAATCTATCATTGCGAAATGGAAATCGCAGTACTTGCTTACAAAATTTACTGATTTATTTTCTTTACTCTTGTGTCGTTTACGTAGTTGACTTTTGTTATACTAACGTTTATTTTTATGTCTTAAAAAAAATACAATTCAGGCAAAAACAAAATGTTAGAAAGAAAATGACATATACAGTCGAATCGTGTTATCTCGAACTTGTTTAACTCAAAGATCCTATTTACTTTTAAACATTTCGTCAGTTCTTTATTAACTTTGCACAAAATATTCGAAATCACTGAAATCGGTTATCTCGATGTTTTCCTATGATCCCGTTTAGTTTGAGATAACAATGTCCGACTGCAGATACATTTTTAATAGTATGGCATTTCTAAAATTGAGCAACTGGTCAAAATTACCGCCTGGAAAGCTCCTATTAAAAACCGCAAGGCCGTAAAGACAGCAGGATTTGGAGACCATGCAGCACACAACGACACTGCAAACATGGCAATATGACAAAGTATATGAACAGGTTTCCGTCCGTACATGTCTGCCAAAGTTGAGAATATCACTGCTCCTATTCCTTGCCCAAGAATCACTAAGGTTTGGGTTAGCTCTGCTTTCTCTCCTCCATCGCAAAACAAATTCCACTTTGAAGAAAAATAAAAATAAAACAAGTACTTATAATGTTACTTCATTGTAACTTATTCATGTCATTGGGATATTCTAGGTCATATTAACGTGAGATGAACTATAGAGATAATAATTGCGACAGGTAATGCTATTTTCAAAAACCTTAATAGTCAAGCTAGAGAATGACAGTTTCCCTTTAGTCGTGAATGAGGTACGGTGATAATGTAGAGATCAGGTAGATTAGACGTTAAAAAAATCTAGAAGGTTGTTCGGTCGAATGTTTCATTTTTGATGTAATCGGTTAAATAAAAGAACATGGTTTTTAAACCGATAACATTAAGAATGATAGATAGCAAACGAAGTTACAGGTTTGGTGGAACAAGATGTGCCATTGTTAAACATATATTTCGTTTCTTGAGAATCCAATATATATCATTCTAGAATAATTAATTATCACTTCTACAGAAACAATACCAGTTGAATTTAAACAACATAATGTGTATATAACTTTGAATGGAGAGTAATCATTTCTAGTAGGAAAGAATTTCAACAGTATACCAAGGGCTGATTCAGATATTCAGATAGTATGTGGTCATGCTTATTGAAAATATACATATTTGTGTACTTTCGGTATTTTTCAATTCAAATGTAACGAAACGAAAACCTACAAGAAGTTTTAAGTTAATTGGTTTTATTTTCTATAACATAAACCAAATGTTATATCCATTAAAGGACATTTTACATAACTTACTTCCGTTACTATGGAAACATCACGTGGCTCGTCATACGTGTATCCCGATACACAGTCGGTACTTGTTATGAGTGTGGAGTTGAAATCCGTATCATTGCTAAACACATCTATAGTACATTTGTTGTAAACGAATCGATATGTAGAGTTGTTCTGATCTTCATGAGGAAATATGTCACTGGCTGTTGTCACATTGCACTCAAAGGGAGGACGATAGACTGTGAAAAGTAATAATAAAAATAACAATACATTGATAAATGTAAACATACGCACAAAATCAGCATATTCGGAATGGTAAAAAGTATAGAAGTGTATTAGGAAATCAGTTTCACTAGCAGCCACAGGAAATAATTTCTTACAAAAATATTAGTTGTTTCTCAGCGGTATATACTGATATTTGTTCACTCTCATTCGCGCAACTGATTATATATATATAACCACAGTCGCTACCGGAGGAATGCAATGGTTATATATTACCAGAAAAAAGTAATCTGTCGACGATTCTAGAATATAACTAAAGGAATGAGAAAAAATCTTGACATTTCAAAACAAGTTGGTAAAGTGTTTATTTGAAGAAAAATAAGTCCTTACCTAAAAATACTACTGAAAGGAGTTGAAATGCTACAGGTACAACTGCAATTAAACACAGGAACATTTGTCCTCTTTGGTATCTACCCCATGTTCCGAGGGATTTCCAAATCTCATCAACGTCAAGGGGACCGTCCATTGCTTTAATATAATTCGCCGTACAAAACGTCTTTTACAGTGATGATACGAAGATGAATGGTGATTCTAGTGTGATCACGTGATTTTCTGAGTATGATATTGAATAAATCAATAAAGATTTGAATTAAGTTAATATGTAATACTGATACAATATTACCGCGATATAGATATTTCTTATCAGGGCGGCACGTGCGGTTACATAAGATTTTAGTCATTTGTATGTCTCATGTTTAAGTGAGACCTATTCCCATTTGAAAAAACGTGACATTGACGTCCATGTCTTCTTCTTGTACTTTTTCCGTCTCTATATAAGGCTTTTCTCATTATGGCATTTAAATTATGATTACAAATATTTTTTTTATGTCTATCTGAACAAAATGTTGAATAATTTAATTAAGTTATATATTAATTTTTAAAAGACAAGCTTATCATGCCATGTTACAACTTGTTTCTTGGTAAGGCCTTTTCTACCTGTTTCGATGAAGGCCTTTTCCACCTGTTTTGATGAAAGCATTTTCAATTGTTTTGATTAAGGTATTTTCTGTCTGTTTTTCTGGAGAGAATTTCTACTTATGTTACAACTTGTTTCTTGGTAAGGCCTTTTCTACCTGTTTCGATGAAGGCCTTTTCCACCTGTTTTGATGAAATAATTTTCAATTGTTTTGATTATGGTATTTTCTGTCTGTTTTTCTGGAGAGCATTTCTACTTATGTATCCGCTTTGATGAGGGTCTTTCCAACCTGTTTTGATGGAGGCATTTCAATACCAGTCAAAAGATCGTTGATGTACATGACATTGAATTCAATTCTTGATTATATTAACTAACATAAATGAGGAAGGTCCATAGTTTTCCTATCACACAGATCGTGATAATGAAACTCGATAAGCGCAAATTAACAAATTTCCTAATTAATATTGCATATTGTGGTAAAAAGGTATACTATATATTTATATATATATATATATATCATATACATGCCATTCACCAGATGTAAGAACAAGTAGTTATGTAACAATAGCTATCTCCACTATTACAAATAGGTGGGCACGAGGCAAATGCTGGTAGTTGTGTAACTCAAGTTATCTCCCTTCAACATGTACATTTTTTTCCACATGACAAAAATGAAATCATTTCAATGGTGCCATTTCATTCTAAGAATGGTAAAGACAATATAGCCAAGACTGCAAAAATGAATGCTGTATTTGTAACAGTCTGTCTACCATTAATATCAGCAATAACCTGAGACCAACAGAGGAACGAGGAGGGGAAATGTATTCAAATATTTGAAAACAACGCTAGATGTATATCATCACCAAGGTTTGTACATTTTTTGGGTACATTTCAGACAGCAATTCTCTTTAATTAGTAAAGTCTGTATTTCCATCTTAACTACTCAATGTAAGATCCAATCAATACTCTATTTGGCAAGATTGAAATAAGCAACATTCTAGATTCTATCATCACTTTGACTTCTTACCTTTACAACACCCAAGGTAAGGGAGAACATAACCATAAGAACAAGTTTAAGTACCAGAGTTAACTCCCCTTCTGTGAATGACTTCGAAAACAACTCTGGAATCTTTGACAGGAGCATGAAGAACAAGATGCAGATTGCTCCAAATAAACACAGACTCAACACATCTGCACATGAAATATGAAGATATATTGTATCTTGCTTGAGTTTCCATCTCATATGCTATTTATGAAACAAGTATGATGTACATATCTTAGCCCTGGTGAGCTCTAAAGAAGGCAAGTATCATACGTTGCATGAATAGAGGGGTATTGTTTTATGTGTTACAAAAGCTATCATGTCACAATATGCATGACAAGATAAGGTTTTCAAAAATAATGATTCAGCCTTCAAAGAAATAATTCAATATTTTGATTTTAAATTATTCATTAAAATGACATTCAAAAGAAGCCAGAACAATAACCTGTCAATATTGTCACTTAGTTTTCAAACAAGGCATCAAAAATGTTAATAATCCACTTGCAGTTCAATTCTACTAAAATGCAACAAATCAAACTATTTGTAGCCATTAGTTTATGAAGCGATTCAAGTGCTGACAAATATTTTCTAAATACCATAATTTTAACAATGTCTCTGACCCTAAAACCCTGTACATATAATTGCTACTCATTTGTGATATTTAAGTCCTTTATATGATCCAAATCCCCTCAGAATGATTGGAGCTAATACAGCGTTGACAAGTATAAGTGTTACATATATGTAAGCACATTTTAGTATGTACGGCAATATCCCCACCTATAATAAGAGTAAGTCAGAGCGGAAGTGAAGGCATCCAACAAATGCTTCACAGTGCTCATTCTTTCTACAGATATTCTCAGCTAAAAGGCAACAAAGGATGGCGTTAGTTCATATCACAAGCAGTCATCGAATTATTTTAGTAGGACACATACTGCGCTATATCAAAATGTTAATGATTTCAAATTCCCTGTTGTTACCACTTCTAAATACCGTTTACATATAATAACTGATGCCACGACTTCCCTAACCTATGGTGTTAGCATGTAGCAGGTTAATTGATTTTGAAGTGCTTGTTTCTAGTATTGATATTTCCATGACAGATGCCGACAACGAACCTATGAACTTATAATATGATACAAGGTTTCGAGTATTACGTGTTGAAGTAGGAAAATAATAACATTGTGAAATATCTCATTTCCTATGAGATAGGAATTTATAGATGTTTCCGATTCTCGTTACTTTGCGTGATGGTTTCGTCATTACTTACACGGCTATGACTTCGAGATCATTACATTACTTGAAATAGTCGATAATGAGCAGAAAACACTTAATCCACCGGGTCATGAATTTTGAATTGACTTAGGAATCCATAGTCGTATTGATAATTAATTGGTAATGTCGTTGTTTAATTCTAATAAATAAGACAATGTTGAAAAGTGATATGTTTAGCAGTAGTCGGATTTATTGATTATGTACATTGCACATATATACACAATTATAGTTCAGGCAGTTGCGACTGGTTTAGGTTTCTGCCTGCCGCCCCTATTAGCTTTGTACCACAACTTGAGTTCGGAGATCGTTGTTGGAAGTTCATGGCCAGAGGTTTCTGGCAGAAAAGACATCAGGTATCCCGTTAGGAGACACATAGCAGCAAAAATAGCTCCTGGTAACCAAACTACGACGCCAGCCTGTGATAAAACAAGAGAATACAGTTGCAGGTAGAAAAATAATGACGCCCGCAGAGAAAAGACAGCTCCATGCCACCAAATAACGACAACAGTCTGTAAAAACATAGAAGAGCCACACACAATTATTGGACTCCTGTGGTACATAGAAAAAACGGCTACCGGTTGCCATGATTACAGCCAGCGACATACAAGGAAAAGATAACTCTTAGTATAACTCCGAATAATGACTACAGCTAGTGTTAAATTGATATTTCTGCCAGTTTTCACTCACCACGGACGTAGCAAATGGGGCAAGCATTCCTCCCGCCCGAGAGCACGTCGATGCCAATCCTAGTCCAGCAGTCCTTTACAAGGTACGGAAAAGTGTTTAAAATTTAAGACAATTAACAATAAACAAGATGAACAGTAACATTAGCTTTTGACTTTGAGACATTTTTCGGCAGAAGAATTGTGCATGTCATATGTTTTGTAGTAAAAGTTAATATTCTCAAATGATTGAATTTGTAGATCATAACAACAGTATTTTTATTAACTAGTCACCTTCAATAATTGAGTTATGGAATCCATTTGAACTATTTGCTAACGTTAAACAAAATCAAGTCTAGTAAACTGTTTCGCAGCAAATGTAGAGCAACCAGGAACGTACATTAGAATTAAACGAGTCCGGCACTATCACGAATTGTTGTGGAGTTGCATACAATTCAACATTTCAAATTTGTTTTTTTACCTTAGGTTGGTGGGGTAAAGCTCCGGCGTATAGAGGTACACAATGTTAAATGTGACCGTGATAGCGTACTTTCCCAAGAAGTTGAAAACAAGAGAAACTGTTGCCAATTCGGGAATGTCATCTGCAAAACGGAAGCAAAATTCATTTATTTACCAGTGATAAGATATATTCTCCAAAATGTCAAATAAGCTTAAAGTAGAATTAAAAAAAATATCCAAGAATTCTTAGATTTTTTTTAAAAACAGTTCGTTATCTTTTTAATCTAACAAATCACAGATTGCGATATTCATAAGATTAAAAATGGACTCATGTCTTTGATGATTTCTGTTAACATCTCATTGGCTGAATAAACATGACGATACAAAATGACGTCTTCTATGTATGCGATAGGGTGGTAACATGAAATATTGACCACTGGAAATGCTTGTTTCACAAAGGATGAAATTTTTACGTATCATATCAGTTTTTATTTGATGGATTTGGTTGAATGGTTAAGCACTGATTAAATGTTATCGTGATGCAGATAAACGTAAAAGTGGTTTTGATAATTATGTCACCTAATTTGTCTCATTTTTTAGACGTAAACATTTAATTTAATTCTTTATTTCTTTAACGAGGATTGTGAACAGCCTTACGGCTACGAGTCATTTTCCTCACATTTAACATATAAAACGTACAACGTAATACATTTGTAGACAATGACATGCAGCAAACGATAAACAATATTAATAACAGACACAATACTGTTACACTCACGCATACACACATATTCTCATTCAGATACACACTATCAAACATTAACACTCAACCAGTAGATTCATTGGAATCTATTAGTTGCTTTAATGTACTCGAATACAGAGGAGAAGATTTTAGTATTTGTTTCTCTTTCAAGAGTGTCAGACCCATAAAGAAGGATTCAAAAGAGGTCTCGTATCAGGTGTAGAACGGCTAGTGGATTGACATTTGGTGATTGTTTTGCACATGCTTCTCTAAAAGACATCTGTAATTTTGTCTCCGATCTTAAAGCGATTGCAAGCCTAATTCAAGAAGTAGATTCAAATTCTTGGTAGCTCTGTATGCGCCAGTACATAAA